AAATGTCCACCTATCCGGCCACCTAAGTGTGGCATAAAACATAAATGAAAATTCTGAATCATATTGAGAAACATTACACAAGTATATCTCAAATGTCCACCTATCCGGCCACCTAAGTGTGGCATAAAACATAAAATGAAAATTCTGAATCATATTGAGAAACATTACACAAGTATATCTCAAATGTACCACCTATCCGGCCACCTAAGTGTGGCATAAAAATTGAAATGAAAATTCCGAAATCATATTGAGAAACATTACACAAAGTATATCTCAAATGTCCACCTATCCGGCCACCTAAGTGTGGCATACAAGAATTGAAATGAAAATTCTGAAATCATATTGAGAAACATTACACAAAGTATATCTCAAATGTCCACCTATCCGGCCACCTAAGTGTGGCATACAATCACAATGAAAATTCTGAAATCATATTGAGAAACATTACACAAAGTATATCTCAAATGTTCACCTATCCGGCCACCTAAGTGTGGCATAAAACATCACAATGAAAATTCTGAAATCATATTGAGAAACATTACTCAATGACCTATATATAGAAATGATACATTACACAAAATATATATCTCAAATGTCCGAATACCCGACTACCTAAGTGTAGCATACAACTATTGAAACCAATTCCTGAAATCATATTGAGAAATCTTACACAAAATATATCTCAAATGTCAACTTATTCGACCGCTTTAGTGTGTGAAATATAACTACGAAATTTCGAATACTAATCATATTTTGATGTTGTGGAAAATTGCTCAAAATTTATCTCAAATGTTCACCTATCCGATAACTTGAGAGTGACAAATATTTTAAAACAAAATTTTGAAACCATATTGAGGAACAATACAGAAAATATTATCGCAAATCGTCATTTACTCAGCTACGTAAGTGTGTCATGTAAATGCAAAATGATATTTTGGAATGACAATAATATTAGGAAGCATTCAAAAAAATTTCAACCATCCGACCATTTCAGAAGGTATGTAATTAAAACACGAAATTCTCTAAAAAAATATCGAGAACCATTACACACAACATATCTCAAATGTTCAATTAAGTGACGTTTTCAGTGGGGCCTATAAATGCGAATGAAATTTTGCCCATGTCAACTAAAATGAGAAACATTACTCCAATTATAACTCAAATGTCTACCTATCAAGGCGCGCTTAAGTATAGCAGTGATTATACAGTCAACCATACAAGCGATCAACATGAAATTATTCAACCGCCCGATATCAATTTAGAATCGTTGCACAATTTATTTTAAAATTTTTGCACCAACTCGGAATACAAAAACATGATTGTTATTTTGAATTTATAATTAAATAGTAAAAATGTATGCCAAGTATGTATACGAATGTGGATATGCCCACTAGATTAAGTTGTTGAGGAGAGACAAAATTATGTGCTCACTGCCGGTTCATCTTTATGAATTATACAGAGATGTCTTGAAGCTTTACAATAAACTTCTCGCAAGATATACAAAGCCGTGCAATTATTTTTTCTTTTCGTCGTTTCTTTTCTGGTTCACGTTTATTTAGAAGGTTTTTTCGAATTGATTTACAGCCCTTTTCTTTTCCGTATATATGATTTTCTTTTAAGTCACTTACATTGCTTATTGAAAGTGATTCTGAAGATGGTGCGGTATAGTCTGTTGACTAATCTGAAACTTTGGTCAAAAATACATGCATAAGTCACAAAACATCATCACAGTGTTCTAGTCCAATTCAGAATTACGGTACTCTTGATTGTCCGAACAAACGAAGTGTTTGAAATGGGGAATTGCATTATTACTCAAATAAAACAGTGGGGGCTCCCGAAGTATGCGAACCAAGATGGCGGACATCGGAACGTAACATGGGTAACAGGTTAGGGTTAGGCGATAATTTTTTTCCAGTTTTCCTTATTTTAGTCCTATTATCAGTTCGAAGACTAGCCAAGAGCCTCCCGTAGTATTTATACCTAAAATTATGGACTAACCCTAACCTAGTACACATATTACATTCCGATGTCCGCCATCTTGGTTCGCATACTTCGGGAGCACCAAACAGTGTTTTTAAACGGAGCACTACAATTATTCGTAGATAGCCGCGCTATTTGTGATGGGCTACAATTGATATTATGATTTGGTTTATTACCATTCATTGGTATCAATTTGAGATACCGTATTTAATTAAAAACAAGCATAGCAAACTAATTTAATCACCTCCTGGCACAGCGTTCTCCGAATCACTACCCGCATTTCCGTCTGCCAAGTTCTGAAACGTAGGCCATCTCGTTGGAGAGTCACTTACATGTGAACAAAAAATACAGCCCAGTAAATAGCTAGATGAGGATGGTAAAATAACACAGGGATATGTGCCAAATCACAAAACAAAATTGCTAGCAATGCAATTCTTTAAAACTGTTTTCCGAAGATAAAATATTCTAATCTAATATGAAGCGGTGTATTAGATATTTTAATTTATACAAAGCTATACAAACCTATATAAAGTGGCGTCAACCACTCGCTTCTCGTATCTTCTTCTGTTTCGAGAAAAATTTGAATTCATTGAATTTCACAATCTTCGTTTGTATTGTCATCTGGATATAGAAATCCTTCTGAATTACACACTCTTACAAACGCAAACCCAGTCGTAGCAATATTTTGATGGTCAGATCAGAACTACGACCAGTAAAAGCATAACAGTATCAGTAGTCTTTTGATAATCAGGAATAAGTGAAAAATCTCAACAACAAAAATATATGCTAATGATTTGGTTTCTGCAAGACTAACCACTTAACCTTCTTCTATGCTTTTGTGTCGGCGGATCCGTATGCATATAGTGCAAGGATGCTGTAGCAAGAGTAAAGATAACTATCCTACAGTCCTAAGTGATTCAAGAGTCTTGATGCACACTAACACAATTATATTTCTGTAACGTTTCGTCTGACCAAGATCAGACTCCTTCAGACATACATAGTAAATATAATTGTGTTAGTGTGCAGCAAGACTCTTGAATCACTTAGAACAAAATATAGTAGCCCTATTATTAAAAATCGTTATGACTAATCACCTTATCCTATGAGTGATGATTTCCAGCAGCATTCTTCGGTGACGTTGAAAACCTTGTTTCAAGTTATTATGACTCGACTTCAACTCACTGGGTAATTGATAACCCCTGACACAAAAGACTTGGATCGCTTCTCCAAACACAACTGTTCTATTTTATCTAAATTTCTGCAATCACGCACTCATGAAGATCCCGATCCCCTCACGGCGCCCAGGTTACTTGCGAACAAAACGGCAAACGTGGTAGGTAAAGTTCTTGGCAAACCCGACAGTTTTACTATTGCGACACAAAGCCTCTTTAGTACGGAGTTTGTGAATTGAGGTCCTTTTCAGTTTATTGAGCTTATATTGCAAAAAACAGAACGAACGATCTTCATGTTCTGCCTGGTTATTGTATCAAAATTATCAATCCTACTCTCCAAAAATCGTAAAGACATATACCGAAAAATTAAAAGATTTTCGCGTAAACAAAATGTCCGCTTAGTGTACGAAAATTATACCCGTTGATTATAAACCAGCAGAACTACTGTCCCCTTAAAGTTGGCGAAAATATGCAGATATTTTAAAAATATTGAAAGAACATATTGTTTTTGATACTGTTTTATCAGAGAAAAAGAGATTTCAGCAAAAAATAGCAAAACGTTTTAATTATGGAACGTGGAATAATTAAGCGGACAGGAAAATGTCTACCCAATTTTTCCGTCTACATAACTGTCGCTTTTTTAGCACGGTATGTCTACTTAACTACCGTATTAGATATATATATATATATATATATATATATATATATATCATTTTTTGATTGTTATATCTACATTATATAAACTTGTGATAAAATAGAATATGACAGAGATTACATCTTGATATAAAAATATAACATCTTTTACAAATAGGCTTTGTTATATTGAGACTATAATAGATGAGCTTTAGCACGTTCAGAAGCATGATGTTTTTTTTTTAAATATTTTTACTTTTATACTTCCAACTGTAGTGGAATCATTGTCATTAGTTGAACAAATGTACCGGCGATAAAATACAAAAATCCGTTTTTAAACTCGATAGGTCATATCGTTAAAACACTGTTAAACATTAAGTTCTTTTCAATCAAGAATTATTTGAATCACTTATAACGACAGTAATTTTAAGCGAAGCTCTTGCAAAATCTGCAATGCTTATTTACGCCAACATATATGATGTTAGTACACGGAAAGCAGGAGAAAAGTTTCTTGTAAATCTTTATGAATCTGGAGAATTTACCGAAAAATGGGACAGAGAAGAACTGACGGAAATGTTCGAAGAATATTTGGATGGCCAGAACAAAAATTTCAATGATGTTTTGTATCATATGAGTCGATATCATCCAATCCTACTGTATGTGAGACGCCACACAGTGGTGGAATTTGTACGTGGGGAAATTGACAAATTGTACGAGAGGTATCAAAGGAAAGATAATCAAGATAATTCATTGTTCGCTAACACGAAAGAAAATCAGGATTCTGGGGAGATAATTCCAGGACGGAAGCCGATCTATTCGGGCGGTGCTATTCCTGCATCTCTATTGGCTTTGCACTCGTTTCCCATTTCGGATTCTATAAGAAAAATATTTTCAAAAAATGATGGAGTTAGTCAGATTGTTAAACAAAAAATGAAAAATTTACTGACAACTCCGTTAGTATTTTCAAAATATCCAGATGAATTTCATTTATTACTTCACATTGAGGAGTTGCAACACGAAGTAGATATGATGACGTATGACATGGAATCAACTACTCTGTTTCGAGAAAGCAAAAACGATAAACTATTTCTGCACGTTCCTGGATTAGCGGAGAAGCGGTCTTCAATATTGAAGGGAGATCGTCTCTTCGCAAAAAATTGGACATGTATGGCAAACTCGGCAAAGATTGGTACGAAGATTAAGTTCATGAGGTAAGGCAAAATAATGTTGAGATTCAATTTCACAAAAATTTTCACAACGAGTATATCATTGGAATGAGAATATATATCAAATTTAGACTGAATCGTTACCCATTAAAATGATGCATAGGGAACTCACATTGATGAAAAAATTGGAAAACATTCTGTTTCCTGTCGATGACAGTTATCTACTGAGAGATGCTGAAAAGCCAAAACTACTTTTAAAGACGGGGTTTATAGAAAATAACCCACATCAAGTAGCAGCAATTCAAAACATCGTGAAAGAAAATTCCTCGAAAATCTATATCATATATGGACCTCCAGGAACTGGAAAAACTGTAACAATGGTGGAATCAGTTTTCCAAACGATAAAAAATATCCTGATTTCCACATCCTTGTTGCTACACCATCTAACAGTGCATGTGATTTGTTAGCAAAACGATTATTGAAACACGTTAACAAGAAAGACATTTGGCGTTTAACAGCGCCCTCACGTATGGATATTCCAGAATCTATGGTAGAAATATTAATGTTTGGCACTTCGGCTTCAAGAGAAAACCTTAGTAAATACAAGATTATTGTCAGCACTTTGATAACGGCAGGAAGAATAACATCTGCAAATTTCGAACCGAGGATTTTCGATAGAATTTTTATTGATGAATGTGGTCAATACATGGAACCAGAATTATTGGTAGCAGTATCAGGAATAATATGAGATGAAGGAAAAGTAGTTTTAGCAGGTGACCCAAAACAGTTGGGCCCGATAATTCGCTCTCGGATAGCCAAAAAACACGGATTACAAACTTCATTTCTGGAAAGATTGATGGGAACTCCATTGTACGTAAAGCAAAATGGCAAATTCAACGAACATAGAGTGACCAAGCTATTGAAAAATTACCGTTCCCACGAAGCCATTATTGAAATTTCAAACGAAGAATTCTATGATAACGAATTAGAAGTTTGTGCTGACGAATTAATGCGAAATTCTCTGTGTTCGTGGGGAGAGCTTCCACGAAAAAAAATTTCCGGTCATTTTTCATGACGTTCGAGGAAAAGATGAACGCGAAGAAAAGGGTCCATCATTTTTCAACAGCAAGGAGGTGAAAATAGTACAGCAGTACGTTGAGAACCTTTTGTTAGATCGCAGACATCGTGTTAAACCAGAAGAAATAGGAATAATAGCACCATATCACAGCCAAGTACAGAAAATCAGAAAAGAAATTAAGCAACCTGGAATTAAAATTGGAAGCGTGGAAGAATTCCAGGGTCAAGAACGACGTGTCATTATTATCAGTACCGTCAGAAACAACGAAAAAAATCTTAAAACCGATGCACGTTTTCGACTTGGCTTCCTCGCCAAATCAAAACGATTCAACGTCGCTGTGACTCGAGCTAAAAGTCTTTTAGTAGTAGTCGGAAATTCCAAAATTTTATGCATGGATAAATACTGGAGAAAACTCTACGATTTCTGTAAAATCAATGGTTCTTTCATCGGAACGACTTTGGCTGAAAGTAAAATTCTGCATCTCACTACGTTCATGCCTACGCAAAACGATGACGTTTATGACCTCACAGAGGATGACGTCGAAGATTCCGGAGTTCCGGAATGGAAAATGGACTCATAGTTCTCAATATATATATATATTGTATATAAAAAGTAATAAAGTAATTTAGTTTTAATTTATATAAATTATATGTAGCAATTGATATTCTTAAAATGAATAGAAGATTGGACCAAATGCTATTTTTATATTCTCAACGAGGTTGGAACAATGACGCAAACAATTATGTGTCATACCAATCAATCTAAAAACTGTGTGGGCATTTGGTATAAAATTGCAACATATTAGTCATCGGAATAAGTTCAGCTTATTTTCCGATATCCTATAAATTTAATAAATTATTAGGAATTGATTTTCATACTCAATTAAATTAAAGTAAATATGTGAACTAAAATACCAAAAATTATATAACTTTCAAACTTTTATTATGGCAGAACTTGTTCCGCTTAAGATCTTTTATACTGGCGTCAAACTAATTTATATGACTAATACTTCAATGCGATATATATTCTAATGAGGTCCTTCAAATGGCGCATGGAGCCATATTACCACATCTACTTCATTTTTTAGAAATAGATTGTAATAATTTATCATTTCGTGATTATTTGTTTACTTTAATTATTTAGATGACATAATAGTTTGCATTGTATTGCTATTGTATATAGTAAAAGTAATAACAAATCTACTTTTACTGTTGTTTCAAGAGAAGCCTAATTGTGCGAAGCGCGGATAATCATTGTATTTTTAAAACGTTTTGAGTTGAAGAGAAATTTATGTACTATTTTGGTCTTCATTATTGGTCCGCAATTTACTCTTGTGCTTTCTTAAATCAATTTATATGTACATCAGTGATTAAAATGTGATTGAATGTGAATGCAGAAAAATGGCTTTTTTAAATTTTAAAAGAGTTTCTCATTAAATTGAATTCTCTGCTTCTGAATTGCATACTTCATTCGTAATCCTATTCGTTTTATTATGTTTTTGACATTTTGGATTGGTTTTGCTAGTTCGCCGGTCCGTAAAATCACTTTCGAAATTTTAGTGACATGTGATAAAGTTAGTGATTTTAACGAAAAAGCCCTCCTATTTGAAGTACACTATGTATTGTGCAGCTCCCCCAACGCCAATCCCTCAGCCTGCGTTACATGTGTTATAACGAAACTCCTGACCTATATTCATAACTCAGTCTTGATAGAATATGTATAATCCAATAATTGTACTTTGTTCTTTCTTATTTTAAACTTTTAGTGAGATTTTACGATTTATTCGCGAGTACTAGCAATGTGGAAATACGTCAATAGCATTTTTTCAGTTCCAATGCGCATAGATCTTCATTGATACACTGTATAATATATTATAAAGCATTGGATGTGATTAAATTTGTAATAAAATTTTGATTTGAATGGTATCTCTAAAATGAAACAACCCGTAGCACAATTTCGAAGTGCCTATACGAACGAGCCACACTATTGGATGTATGTATCGTATGACTATTTTTTTTAAACCGAACTGATTTCTCCAAGCAGTACAAATTTGATATATACACAAGTGACGCTGGTGTCATTGACCTAAAACGTCCACACAAAGAATTCGTGAAAGTTGTATCCCTATTTGCTATGAATAGAGTACCTTCATACAGACCAAATGACACGAGTCCAAAACAAGTGCAAGATCAATTTAAACTTCGCCTGACAAAGGTATCTGTACCGGGGAATCCCACGGTGTCTAATCATGCGATAAATATCTACGATTCAACCAGATAAATCTTATAGTATCGTAATATGACATACATGCAGTTATGTCCGCAGGTACTGGTTAATGGCGGTAGTTTGAATTTGACATATTTAGCTCTTGGATTTCACGAATTATCTCTTTATCGAATTCTAAACAGAAATATAAAATAAATTGTTTAAAGTGAAGTGATATGCAGCAGGTCTTCAGGCGAATAGAATATTTCGTTGAATGTTGAAGTTAAGGTTTAAAGCAGGGGGCGGCAAACCTTTTGTCGCTCGCGGGCCAAAACTAAGGATATCAAGTCATTGGCGGGCCGCACTTATTTTTAGAAAGTTGAAAACCGAACGGATGGTACTTTGTATAATAAAAATCAAGCAGTGATACATCTCTCCAATAGAATATAGATTTATTTCTTCATTGCATCTCAAAAAATTTCATTTTTATATTTTCTGGGCCATTATATCCTTCGCATTAAGCATAAACTTTTCTACGTTTGGTTGTCATTTGTCTAATTATAATTAAATTATTGGCTCATTAAACGAGTAATTGTGAACTTCATGCATGTTAGATTATAATATGATTTAGTCTTACAATAAATTCTGTTACTTAAAGAATATAATCGTCGAAACAACTGTTTTGTTACTATAATTCAGTAAAGCGCCGCGGGCCTGATTATATTGCTCCGCGGGCCGTAGGTTGCCGACCCCTGGTTTAAACGTTATGCAGGAGAAGGGCCACCGCATTAGATGATAAAATTGGTAATTAGTCAGTTCGGTATAGGGTTAGAAGTAGAGATTGCGCTGGAAATTCAAAATGTTAAATCATTCCTAACTCGAACCCTAACTGGAAAATTACAGATTATTTATTTTAAAACATGGCGGGTGATTTCTACATAAGATCCAAAAGGAGTTTTATGAAGGATTAATGAATTTTGTACAAAATTTACATTAAAGTAAGCTGCTAACGCTATCAATTGGCTTTATGGAAAAGAACAACCACAGACTAAGCATATACACATTAAATATAAGATTTTTGTATATATGGAAACAACATATATTTACAACATGATGGCAACAAAATACAAATTTCCGTTTTCAAACGTGCTAATTGATATGGTCAAAACATTATATTACTTGTTTTTTTTAGGAATTATTTGAACAACATATAACAACAGTGATTTTAAGAAGGGCTTTTGCAAATTCTTCCATGCCTATTTACGCCAACATATATGATGTTAGTACACGGAAAGCAGGAGAAAAGTTTCTTGTAAATCTATATGAATCTGGGGCATTTACAGAAATATGGGACAGAGAAGAACTGACGGAAATGTTCGAAGAATATTTGGATGGTCAGAACAAGAATTTCAATGAAGTTTTATATCACATGAATCAATATCACCCAACCCTACTGTATGTAAAACGTCACACAGTTGTGGCATTTGTACGTGAAGAAACTGACAAATTATACGATAGGTATCTGAGAAGAGATAATCAAGATAATTCATTATTTGATAATACGGATGAAAATCAGGATTCTGGGAGAATAATACCAGGACGGAAGCCGAAATATTCGGGCGGTGCTATTCCTGCATCTCCATTGGCTTTGCACGCGTTTCAAATTTCGGATTCCATAAGGAAAATATATTCAAAATATGATGTAGTTAGCCCCAGTGTTAAACAAAAAATGAAAGATTTACTGACGGCTCCGTTAGTATTTTCAAAATATCCAGATAAATTTCATTCATTACTTCACATTGAAGAGTTGCAACACGAAGAAGATATGAGGAGGTATGACATGAAATCCACTACTCTGATTCGAGGAAGCAATAACAATAAACTATTTCTGAAGGTTCCTGGATTAGCTGAGAAGCGGCCTTCAGTATTGAAGGGAGATCGTCTCTTGGCAAAAAAATTGGACATGTATGGAAAACCTGGCAAAGACTGGTACGAAGGTTATGTTCATACAGTAGGGCAAAATGATGTGGAGATTCAATTCAACAATAATTTTCACGATGAATATATCGATGAAATGAGAGTATATATCCAATTTAGACTGAATCGTTACCCATTAAAAATGATGCACAGGACACTCACATTGGTGAGAGATTTGGAAAACATTCTGTTTCCTGTCGATGACATCAGTTATCTACTCAGATCCGATGAAAAGCCAAAGCTAGTTTGGAAGACAAGGTTTATAGAAAATAACCCACATCAAGTAGCAGCAATTCAAAACATCGTGAAAAAAAATTCCTCGAAAATCTATATCATATATGGACCACCAGGAACAGGAAAAACTGTAACAATGGTTGAATCAGTTTTTCAAACGATGAAAAAATATCCTGATTTCCACATCCTTGTTGCTGCACCATCTAACAGTGCATGTGATTTGTTAGCAAAACGATTATTAAAACTTTTTAAGACGAAACATATTTGGCGTTTAACAGCGCCGTCGCGTATGAATATTCCAGAATCAATGGAAAAAATATCAAGGATTGGCACTTCGGCTTCAAGAGAAAACCTTAGTAAATACAAGATTATTGTCAGTACTTTGATAACGGCAGGAAGAATAGCATCTGCAAATTTCGAACCGAGGATCTTCGATAGAATTTTTATTGATGAATGTGGTCAATCCATGGAACCAGAATTATTGGTAGCAGTATCAGGAATAATAAAAGACGATGGAAAAGTTGTTTTAGCAGGTGACCCAAAACAGTTGGGCCCGATAATTCGCTCTCGAGAAGCCAAAAAACACGGATTACAAACTTCATTTCTGGAAAGATTAATGGGAAATCCATTGTACGAAAAAGAAAATGGCAAATTCAACAAACATAGAGTGACCAAGTTATTGAAAAATTACCGTTCCCACGAAGCCATTATTAAAATTTCAAACGAAGAATTCTATGATAACGAATTAGAAGTTTGTGCTGACGAATTTATGCGAAATTCTCTGTGTTCGTGGGGAAAGCTTCCACAAAAAAATTTTCCGGTCATTTTCCATGACGTTCGAGGAAAAGATGAACAGGAAAAAAAGAGTCCATCATTTTTCAACAGCGAGGAGGTGAAAATAGTACAGCAGTACGTTGAGAACCTTTTGTCAGATCGCAGAAATCGTGTTAAACTAGGAGATATAGGCATAATAGCACCATATCGCAGTCAAGTACAGAAAATAAATGAAGAACTTAAGCAATCGGATATTATCACACGATATCGCAGTCAAGAACGGAAAAAAAAAAAAAAAAAAACGAAGCAACCCGATATTAAAATTGGAAGCGTGGAAGAATTCCAGGGTCAGGAACGACGTGTCATTATTATCAGCACCGTGAGGAGCAACGAAAAAAATCTTGAAACCGATGCACGATTTCGACTTGGCTTTCTCGCCGATCCCAAACGATTCAACGTTGCTGTGACTCGAGCTAAAAGTCTTTTAGTAGTAGTCGGAAATTCAAAAATTTTATGCATGGATAAATACTGGAGAAAACTTTACGATTTCTGTAAAAACAATGGTTCTTTCATTGGAACGACTTTGGCTGAAAGTAAAATTCTGGACCTCACTACGTTCATGCCTACGCAAAACGATGACGTTTATGACATCACAGAGGATGACGTCGAAGATTCCGGAGTTCCAGAATGGAAAATGGACTCGTAGTTTTTAATATATATACTGTACATTGAAAGTAATTTAGTTTTAATTGTATTTAAATTATATGTAGGTATTTCAAACAAGGATAGCAGATTGGACCAAATTCTATTTTATATTATCAACCAGGTGGGAGCAATGACGCTAACAAATATATATCATAACGATCAATTAAAAAACTGCGTTGACTTATGGTAGAAAAATGCAACATATTAGTCATCAGAATAAGTTCAGCTTATTTGCCGTTATACAAATATTTTCATCACACACATTTTTGAGTGTATCAGTAAAAATGAAATTTGGAATTCAATGAAGTATATTGTCAACTTCTCAATCTGGTCAAACTGTCAACCGACTCTTGTAGTATTTCGCGCGTGGTACAACTCTGAAGACATCGTGAATATGTAACTAAAATAACAAATAACAACAAAAATAATACTTTTAAACTATTACTATTGGAGAACTTGTTCTACTTAAGATCATTTATACTGGCGTCAACCTTATACATATGACTCATACTTGAATGTGATATATTTTCTAATGAGGTCATTCAAATGCCGCATGAAGCCATATCACCACCCCTACTCAGTTTTTTAGAAATAGATTTTCTTAATTCATCATTTTGTGACTAAATCTTTACATTGGGTATTTAGATGGCGAGTAATTTGCATTGTATTGTTATTGTAAAAGTAATGACAAATCTATTTACACTGTTGTTTCAAAAAAAGCTTATTTCGTTCAAAACGCAGAAATGCATTGTATTTCCAAAACGCTTTGAGTTGCAGAAAAATTAATCTACTATTTTGGTCTTCGTGATTGGTTCGCAGTATACTGTTGTACTTGCTTAACTTGCCTTCCTATGTACATCTTCATTCAAATTCAGATAATGTGGGTTATAAAGGTCGAATACTCAAAATAAAAGGACAAGACATCAATGGTTTGCATTTTTTAATTGAGATATATTATTGCAATATATTTGGCGTACCGGCACGAAGGTTGACGCAAACCGGCGGTTGAGAACCATTGGACTAGCTAGAGAGACTTCACTTAGCAATCGGAGACGATTTTGGGCTGCTGAGTGCAAAATAGAATATAAATCTGAAGAAGTACGATTGATCAAGTCAGTGGGTTGACTGCTATCAAAACAAAAACTTACTAGCTTGTGGCCATATGGGACCTATTAATGAAGAAGTTACCATTATCTGATTAAGGTTACTTTTGTTTTTGATATGATATTAGGTCAGCAAAAGTCAATATAGTTTCATGTCTTTGATACCATTTAAAGGATTTTGATGTCGATGAACCTAAATTTTTCTTTTGACTGGAATGTTCAATGACTCAATTAAACTTGGGTAGTGGGCTCTTCTTCCTCCCGAGAACTCTAATATGGATGACAATTTTCCCATCATAGTGGTATCGATTTATAATAGTTATTATTTACGTTTAAAATATATAGGAAACTTTGAATTGGAAATTGTTTTCGCAGATATACTGCATAGTAAATCATTTCACAGTGTTATGTATCCAGAATGATGATGTACATATGAAGTTCATTTAAGCAAGTACAACACTAAACTGTCAATCAATAATTACGACCAAAACAGTAGACAAATTTCTGTTCAACACCGAACGTTTTGGAAATAAAATGCCGTTCCGCTTTTTGCATGAAGAAAGCTTTTCTTGAAATAACAGTATAAATAGATTCGGTATTACTTTCACCATATATATACAATAGCAATACAATGCAAATTACTACGCCGTCTAAATAATAAATGTAAAGAATTAGTCACGATGAGTAATGTAGTAATGAGTCATTAAGGTACAACTAAATTGTGGCATTGCCAGCCCGCTCCGATTTCTTGGTGTATTGGAAGTGGCCTCGCTCTCTGGAGTATTTTCTTTGAGGCCACCCCGGCGTTTCTTTAACGAATTCTTTTTTTAGTAATTCGTTATCGCTTTCGTTTGACTTGCTTTGGTTAGGTAGTAGTAGCTGTTCAACTTGTTTTCATTGTTGTCTTCGTTCCTGCACTACCATAAATAGTAGTTTTGTTATAAATATAGAATAGCTAACTTATATAGCTTTTCTTGCTGAATTCACCCCTTTTGCGGAACATCTGGTTGTCTAACTTGTTTTCTTGGTCTTTTTATGTCTGCCGGGACACACTTGCCTCTCGGCACTGATTTAGTGATTTAGTTCAGAATACAGTCGGAAGTCTAAGACCATGTCTACATTGGTATCTTCTGTGTCGCCTAAACCGCCTTTTTCAAGCGTGGCGGCGTCTCTACCTAAGGTAGTTAAAGTAAAGGGGGTGGAGGTCTCTCGCGGCGAGTCGATTGATGTTTTAACAGCTCAAGACATACCTACCGTCTCGGCGTTTTTTGAGCTTTTCACTTCCGTGGAAAAACTGCGTCCTTTTAAATTCCTATAGTTGAGGGTATTTTTCCTATTCGACGAGGTTTGTAGAATTTAACTTTTCAGTCCACGGATGGTGGTTCTACTCGTGATAATTTTCTTGATAGTGTCGGTAACATCCTGGACACTCCCTCGGGTGAACTTAAATTTGGTCTCCCTCGTGGCCCTGGCACACGAATCAGAGTGCGAGGTATTTCAACTGAAGCCACAATGGACCAGTTAAAGTCGATGCTTAGTTCTTTAAAATTTGGAAATATTCGGCGAGTATTCAAGATCTTCCTAAAAAACACCAGGGTCTGAAATGGCTATGTACAGGCCATAGTTGATGAGTTTGATGCATCTAATTTCCCAGACTTCATCAACGTTGGTGGGATGCGTTGCAAGACGTCCCTCCCTGCCGAGCTTTATATAAAAACTTGCCTGAACTGTTTCTAATCTGGGCATCCTGCTCGAGATTGCGTATTACCTCCGTCTTGTCGTCTCTGCAAGAAATCGGGGCATGTTCACTTATAATAATAACTGCGCTCTGTCTGTTCTTAAGATCTTTCAAATCCTTAAGGTACAGATAATCAACTTAAAAAAGGCTCTCGATAAAGAAGACCGATATGTCAAGACAAAGGATGTAAATAATAAAAAGGTAAGTATCGGTGGGTTGAGGCCTACTTTAAAAAAAATATAAAATAAAAGTACAAAAATGCAACATATCAAAATAAGTGTAGTTCACAAAAAAAATACTTTCAAACTTTTATTATGGGAGAACTTGTTTCGTTCAAGCGGATTAAGTTTGTAAATTGATTTTTTTTTTATTCATTTTTTATATATGATTGATATGACACATAAATATTGGTGTCAGTACTCACACCTGCTGGTTGATACTACTAAAAATTGCATCTAATCCAATCTGCTATCCTTGTTTAGAATAATATTTGTTATAAATAGTTTAAATACAAGTAAAACTAAATTACCTCAGAGTGGACAATATTGATGGGATACAGCACAATTTTGTTGAAAACTACGAGTCCATTTTCAGTTCTGGAACTCCGGAATCTTCGACGTCATCCTCTGTGATATCATAAACGTCATCGTTTTGCGTAGGCATGAACGTAGTGAGGTCCAGAATTTTATTTTCAGTCACAGTCGTTCCAATGAAAGAGTTATTGTTTTTACAGAAATCGTAAAGTTTTCTCCAGTATTCATCCATGCATAAATTTTGGAATTCCCGATTAATAATAAAAGACTTTTAGTTCGAGTCACAGCGACGTTGAATCGTTTTGGATCGGCGAGGAAGCGGTTTGGAGATTTTCTTCGTTGCTTCTCACGGTACTGATAATAATGACACGTCGTTTTTGACCCTGGAATTCTTCCACGCTTTCAATTTTCTGTACTTGACTGCGATATGGTGCTATTATGCCTATTTGTTCTGGTGAAACACGATGCCTGCGATCTGACAAAAGGTTCTCAACGTACTGATTAACTATTTTCACCTCCTTGCTGTTGAAAAATGATGGACTCTTTCCATTCTGTTCATCTTTTCCTTGAACGTCATGAAAAATGACCGGGAAATATTTTTGTGGACGCTCACCCCACGAACACAGAGAATTTCGTATTAATTTGTCAGCACAAACCCCTAATTCGTTATCATAGAATTCTTCGTTTGAAACTTTGATTATGGCTTCGTGGGAACGATAATTTTTTAATAGCTTTGTCACTCTATGTTCGTTGAATTTGCCATTTTGCTTCTCGTACAATGAATTTCCCATCAATCTTTCCAGAAATGAATTTTGTAATCCGTGTTTTTTGGCTATTCGAGAGCAAATTATTGGGCCCAACTGTTTTGGATCACCTGCTAAAACAACATTTCCTTCATCTCCTATTATTCCTGATATTGATACCAATAATTTCTGGTTCCATGGATTGACCACATTCATCGATAAAAATTCTATCGAAAATCCTCGGTTCGAAATTTGCAGATGCTATTCTTCCTGCCGTTATCAAAGTGCTGACAATAATCTTGTATTTACTAAGGTTTTCTCTTGAAGCCGAAGTGCCAATCCTTGATATTTCTACCATGGATTCTGGAATATTCATACGGGAGGGCGCTGTTGAACGCCAAATGTCTTTATTGTCAACGTGTTTTATTAATCGTTTTGCTAACAAATCGCATGCACCGGTAGATGGTGCAGCAACAAGGCTATGAAAATCAGTATATTTTTCAATTGTTTGAAACACTGATTCCACCATTGTTACTGTTTTTCCAGTTCCCGGAGGTCCATATATAATATAGGTTTTTGATGAATTTTCTTTCACGATGTTTTGAATTGCTTCTACTTGATGTGGATTATTTTCTATAAACCCCGTCTCCATAACTAGTTTCGAATTTTGATCCAATCTGAGGAGATAACTGTCATCGACAGGGAACAGAATGCTTTCCGAATTTTTCACCAATGTGAGTGCCCTGTGCATCATTTTCAATGGGTGACGATTCAGTCTAAATTTTATATATACTCTCATTTCACTGATATACTCATCGTAAAAAATTTTGTCAAATTGAATCACGCCATTTTGCCTTACTTCATGAACATAACCTTCGTACAAGTCTTTGCCAGGATTGCCATCCATGTCCAATTTTTTTTGCCAAGAGACGGTCTCCCTTCAATACTGAAGGCCGCTTCTCAGCTAAGCCAGGAACGTGCAGAAATATGTTACCGTTAGTTCTTTCTCGAAATAGAGTAGTGTATTTCATGTCATAAGTGATCATATCTGCTTCGTGTTGCAACTCCTCAATGTGATATAATAAATGAAATTTATCTGGATATTTTGAAAATACTAACGGATTCGTCAGTAAATCTATAATTTTTTGTTTAGAACAGTGGCTAACTCCATTATATTTTAAAAATATTTTTCTTATAGAATCCGAAATGTGAAACGCGTGCAAAGCCAATGGAGATGTAGCGCTTAAATATAGGCCGGTCTTCGTCCTGGTATTATTGCTCCAGAATACTGTTTTTTTTTCATGTTAGCAAAAATGAGTTGTCCTAATTTTCTTCCTTTCCTTAGATACCTGTAACAATTTTTCATTTTTTCCCAAGTACATATGCCACCACTGTGTGGTGTCTTTCAAACAGAAGGGTTGGATGATATCGACTCATGAGATATAAAACTTCATTGAAATTCTCGTTCTAACCATCCAAATATTCTTCAAACATTTCCATGCTGACGTACCCAACGGCTGACAACCAACTTTCCTAATGTTAAAGTGAAGTGATATACAGCAGGTCTTCAGGCAAACATAAGATTTCACGCCTTTGTTGAATGTTGAAGTTAAAGTTTTTGGTTTAAAGAAGAATGGCCACCGCTAAAGTTGAGAAATTGGTAAGTATTCCGGTATTGCATTAGGAATACAGATTGCGCTGGAAATACAAAATGGTATATAATTTCTAACCCGAACTCTGACTGGATAATTACCTATTTTTTACTTTAAAATATGGCGGGTGATTTCTACAAAATATCCAAAAGTAGTTTTATGAGGAATTAAACATCTTTGTACAAGATCTACATTAAATCAAGCTGCTAGCGTCATCAGTTGTCTATATGACGTAAAACAGCCTTAGCCTAAGCATGTATACATTAAATAAAAGATCCTTTGTTGTATATGGAAGCAGTCTTTTTACAACAAGAGCGAAAACTTTTTACTGTGTTAGAAAACAAACCTTATAAAAACACGTTGGATAGTTTGTGAAGTGAAAATTTTAAATACTATTTTTACAACTGGCTATTATAAAGGGATCTTGTTTTTGATATCATCATTTCATATATAATTTACCGCTTATCTTCATATATTTTCAAACTATATAAATGGGTGAATTTGCCAATACATAAATTGACCTTCGATCTAAAACTGCTTTTATTGGACTCGAATGGGTGCACCAACTAACACGCCTTAGTTGATTATCATAAAAATTGTTCAGATGAGCGAGTAGCCTCGTTTAGATGAATATAATTCATTTAATACATTGTTCTCGAACAATATCAAACTAACATTTGGAATATTAGCAGACGACAAAATGTACCATTTACAAAACATACTAGGCCTATATGACTTAAAGTTCAGAAATGTCATACATTGGTACATTATTCAAACTGGAAGAAAACTTTGATCACCTGAACTATGGCAGTCTGGTGTAGACTTTGAAACATGTCAAAAATAAATATTTTCCAAAAAGTGTACTGGTAACCATTTGTTTCACAGCAATCTACCTACTATACTGACTTTGTTTAGAAGATAAACTACTTCTCCGCATATAAGATATTATTGTACTTACCCATTCTGATGACTGAAATACCAATCAAAACAAAAACTGACAACCGCACTTCAAGTTGTTGACAAACTGGTTTATGACATGGCGAAAAAAATGGCGGTAGCGAATTGTTAAAATAACTTGGTTTAGTGTGTGCAATTTTACTAAAATAGAATAGATTGAAGTATCCTTTTTCCCATCAAATACATTTTGTTAAGTCCAGCACAAAATCCTTTTGTATTTCTCATAATAATAATAATAAAGTAATAGTCGTATAGACACAACAACAATCTTTTACAACTAAAATTATGAGGCAATTGATTCAGTAGTTAAATAGTAAAGCGAATTCTTCACAACAACAACATATTAACAAAACGATTATTATATAATATATATTTTGTGTCCATCAACCACATAATAATAAAACGATCCATATTCGCACTCCGTGAAGTGCAGTGTTTATCTTAGATTCCATTCAAAATCTGATAAATATATTAGATTTTTTTCTGTTAGGTTTCCAGTCGGATAGGCTCCTGCTGAGTATAGCGGTCCAGATGTCAGACTGCAGTCACTTTCTTTTCGCTCCTCATTTGACATACATCAAAGATATAGTAAGCGAATTTACAGGTTGCTGTAGTCGCGTTGCGTGAGGAACTCGCACTGACTTCCAAAATTCGTTAAATTTGCCAGACATATTCCTATGGCGTTGTCCTTAATCAAATCATTCTTTAAAAAAAAACATTGTCCAAAATCTCAAACATTTCAACTCCGTGTTAGGTAAACTTACAAATCCCAGATAATAAATCAAAGAAGCATCCATGATTCATACTATCAGGTTGTTATAAGTAGCATTTTTCGCTAGACGGTTATTACATTTATTTATTTCAAAATTTTCTAAGAATCATATGATAATTCGACATACAATTCTCATTTCTCGGATGATTTACATAAATATATGATTTGGACGATGCGGGTCATTGCCCTCAGCTGCGTGATTTTATTCAAGTATTCATTCATGGCTGATTGTACCTATTTACTTACATCGCGAATTTTCATAACTGAGCAGCGAATTGCATATTCGGAATCTGGGGCCAAATTGAGTCATTTACACACCTGGTACAGAGTGAGCTGTATACTTTTGGTAAAATAGCTCATTTACTTTTGTTTGGGTTTACCGCTGTTCTTCATTACTTCAAGATCATTCAACAATATGTTTACAAGTTATACTGTCATTCTCGTCGTAAAGTGATACCATATTGAAGAAAATTACTAGGCCTATCATTTAAGAATGAGGTGTGAATGGCTAGAAACTAACCCGACTCTCGATCGACTCACGAGAATTTGAAACCTCTAAAATTTAAGTTTGTTTGTTACAATAAAGGTTACATACAGTTCCATAACTCATATTCGAATTTTATCGATGTGACCATTAACGAAAAATTTTTAATACACTACTTCTCTAATTAATTATGCAAACATTTATTTCAAACAATTTATGTACAATAATTAGAAAGCTTTGTGTTACTATTTTGGTTGTCCGCATATGACGACAAAGTGACTCAGATCGACCCCGCAGAACAATTGATGGAAATTTGAAAAATAAAAGCTGTCGTGACTTGACATACCAAATTTGATTCATATTATAAAGTGGAGTAGACAAATATGATCACAATTTTCTCCCAATGTATCAGCTAACGATAAAAAAATATCAATGTTTCAAAAAAACATAAAAAATAGTTCATATTAAAAAGTGAATTTTTTTTCTTATCATGATTCTACCTCGACGTTATTTGCGGAAGACCATGGTATTATTTATATCTTCAACGCATGCACAAAAATGTAAATTATATAAACATGGTGAGGTTGAAACTAAATAGACATTATGTTGTTCTTGCCTTTTTACATTTTCATTTGTAGATAAATTAAAAATATTGTTTAGAAATTGACATAAAGTTAGATTTGAAAAAATAATTACAAAGATAAATATAATTAGAATTTTGAGTAAAAATATAATTAACAATTGTACAAAGAATTATCCCATAATACCGATGTTTTAAAAAAAGAAAAAAAAATAATAAAGCATAGTTTAAAGATAATTAATATAATTATAACAAAATATAATTTCACTCGCATTTTTTATTTGTATTTTACATTTTTGCATTATAGCGAAAAATAAAAGCTACACAATATAACATAACAAAGAAAATTTAGATTCAGATTTTTTCTGGCCCTACGAAATGAATATAATTTGTTGACATGTCACTCACTGTTCTAATGAGTGGAAACTACAGCTTTGTACTGGAGGAGGCCTTCGGCACTACCAGATTGCTGCCGTCACATGGCAAAACAAATCAACTGAACAACGGGAAAAAAAATTTCAGCAGAATGCCCTATCATAAAATTGTCCAAAAAATCTTAAATTTCATCACTTCTTACGTCATGCTACCAACTGACGTCATCGTTGCTTTTGAAATTGAATTTTGGGCTATTCTCGGAATAGAACTGTGAGAACCACCGTCTGTATTTTGTGATTGGTGCCTCTTCCTTAACAAGCAATGGTTTGGCACTGAAAGTTTTGTTGTTCCAAACCATAACATCTCTGTCAACCTTTAAAATTATCAAATTTAAGTTTCCTGAAGCAAGACCGTCATATCTTGCGTATAGCTAAGTAGTTAGTTTAGCAGTTAATCTACAGTATACAAACGTTTTGCTTACTTGAATAGCTTCGAAGGTGAGGAAAATCTTTGACAACCATGTAGGACATTTCCAATCAGTGTAGAAACTGTGAATTATTACTTGATGTAGTGGACCCACAGGAGTGAGACTTTGAACGAGAACCGATCTGGCGAACGGTAAATTCATATGTAAATGTACAATCCCCGGCCCAATCTGCAATAGGAAAACAATGTTATCAGTATGCTTTTGTCAAAGTTTGCTCAGCTATATATTTAGTTGTCGAGCTTCATTTTGAGGTTCCCAAACCCGGCCCTATACAGTAACGGTTTCAACTTTTCGTGGTTCGTACTTCAGTCATCTACATAGGTGAACGTGGGTGACATCATTCACTTTTTTTTCATAACAATTAACGGTAATCATTTTGTTTCGTTCTCACACATTTCAAAATATTAACAAAACGTGTACAGTTTGAGTAATATTTCTGTTGTATCCATGGTATTCGTTTTTTTTGTGTGCGATGACGTTATCAAAAATTGCGCACTTTGTGGCGGTTTCACTTTTGCGTCAGTCGTGGAGATTGTCGTACCAGTACTCTATACCAGGGCTACTCAACTGGCGGATCGCGGTACGAATCCGGACCTTTCGACTATTTGATTCGGACCGCACCCAATTCTTTATTTTGGATCATTATCCCCACTTTTGAAGTTTCATTTTCTAAAATGACTTTTATTGTTTTGAATATATATGAAAAGAACTGTAACACCATAATAAACAATCTTGATTATCTGATAATAATCGTTAGCCGGTCGAGGAAGTGCGCGTTTGCGGATGCCGAAATATAAATTATGGAAACACCGGACCCAAACTATTTTGATGTTTTGTATGCGGATCTTCGGTAAAAATAGTTGAGTGGCCCTGCACTATACTGCCACAGACCAAGAAGCGCGGTTCGAATGACGTGATTCCACTCGGCGGCGCTCGGGTGTTCGAGCACTAAAATTGTTTGCTTAGCTACCGAATTGTTCTAGTATCGAGTTGTTCGACCACCGATGTATCACTGTATATATATATTAACGGTGGCAAACCGCATGCGGTTCGCCAGAGATTTTTTGCGGCTCTTATGGCTTGCATTTATTATTGTGGCGTGGAATTTTGAATCAATCAAGCAAAAAATCTTACGTCACAATGGTCAAATGTACGTTGACGCTTTGGCGGTATTGTAGCTTGATTGGGTTTAGTCTCAGATACAGTGCTATATGTTCTCAAGTAAGAAGCGAAAATACGAAGATGAAAACAAAGTTGTCAAGTCAGAATGGGAAGAAGTATACGCTTTTATTAGTCAAGAAAATAAACCCTTGTGATTACTCTATCATAGGCTGCTAAGTCATAATAAAATCAGCACAGTTAGCATCAGGAAACGAATCAAAAACTTCGTTCGTATTTAAATTAATAAAAAGACAGCGGGAACTTATGATATTATTTGGCAAGGAATCCGATGCATCAATTGAAGCTAGTTTTGTTATATCATGGAATATTGCTCGTGTTAAAGACCAATACGAAAAAAATATTGCTGATGTTGGCGCAGTCAATAGCCGAAACGCCGGTTTCGCGTCGCACTATACAAAGGCGCATCTCCCAAATTAGTATAATATATATGTAACAGTCTCAATGCAAAATGATTAAATGAGTTCTAATATTCCTAATTTCAAAAATTATGCGGCTTTAGCATATTTCTGATTTGCTGCATGCGGCTCTTATACTAAAAAAATTTGCCCATCCCTAGTAAATAATATGAAGATCGTCGCAACTAAACTTTAATATCACCAACGGAGATTTAGCCGACTGGATTAAATTAAACAAAAAAAAACGTGAAATGTTCACCTGTTCCACCTGAAGATCGATATGGAAAAATTTCCATTTTTTGAAGAACTCAAGATGGTGAGTCATATCAAACTTCGATATGTGTGGAAGGTCGTCGTCCGAACCTTTACAATCAACCTAGTAAATTATATAGAATAAGATACCTTTGCACTACATCAGGTCATATATGTAATATAAAATGTATAAAAACACTGTCTGATTGATGAATGATAATGTTTCGTATGAAAGGGTTAGCTCTCAGAAGATTATAATTCAGAGGCTGAAAATCGTAATGATAATACAGTCAGACTTCTCAGCCATATAACTGTTATATATTTCATGTGTGAACATTTTCAAAAGGCTTACAATACATATTCTTTAAAATGATACCTTAAAAATATGATCTGCAAAATTGAACCAGGAATCGAATTGTTCCGCCAGGTTAACCCCGCAAAATACACTTGGAACATGAAGATGAGAGAGATGTGCTAGATCTGATCCATTTTCCGGTATATCCTAAAACAAAAATTATTCGATTTATATGAAAAAACTATTTACTACTTTAGTTTTATTAATAGATTGAGCTGTGGTTTAAACCAGCGGTGTGCAACCTACGGCCCGTGGGTCGAATGCGGCCCACAAAGAAAAATTGTACGGCCCACGAAACGAGATTTTTTTTAGTTTGAACAATCTCAGTCCATTCGCGTTGCAAAGCCAATATTCTAGTACAATTTATTATCTATGCTTATGACGTTACAATACCCTAACAGCTGAGGATTAATAACCAAGATTTTTGTGCCTGCTGTATTAAAAGGTTGGACACCCCTGGGTTATTAGATCCTTCATATATATCAAGAAGAAAATTGGACCTAAACAAGAGCTCTGAGGGAAAACTCAGGTTACCCAACAAGTATTGGTAAAATTTTGAATATTACTTCAACAATTTTTACACATTGCACTGGATTTTATAGGTTCACGAAATCCATAGTTACACAGTTTATAAAGAATGAGATGTTTGGTTCTGATATCATTGATCTGGAAGTATTTTAGTCATCTTCTAAAACATGAAGGCCCTGACAAGCCCCGTGCCTAATGCAATTTTGAGATTCATATTCATCACGGGAAGAGGAATTACAATAAAACTATTCAATCATATGGCTTACGTCGTCCGATTACTATAGTTCATGTCTGGTATCGGGATTAGTTAGTCGGTTAATTGTGTTAGATGGATAGACTGGATTGTGGGGAAAGCCGTAACCGACCAGCAGTTACGCGAAACACCCTCTGGCGAGAGGGGTTCAGCAAATATCTCGCACATAACTTTCCCCCATGGGATTCAAAATCGCAAATATTCACTCAGAGTAATCGGAGGTGCGGTGGCAGGCATACTCCTAACACTTAGCACGTACGTACGCCTCAATGTTCGTAAATACTGAGTCTGATACGACTAAGTCTCCCCTACTTCGATGTATCGATCAGTCTCGTGATGTTTGGGATTGGTGTCTCTAGGTGGATAATTTATCGCATTCAAATCGCGAGCTACCTTGTGGTAACCGACCACTAACAAATAAAAGGAAAATTTTTACGCGGGAAATATGAATCCAAAACACCCTATTAGAAATTCACGCTTGTAAACACGGCGTAAATTAAATTACATATTTTATCAACTACGTAATTATTAGTACCGTTATGTATATCATCATGACTCAGCAGATCCAGAGGGCCATATTTTGAATAGCAAATCCAACACAAACATCGAGTACAATCCAATTGTATTACCCATAGTTGAAATCAAGGAGCACAATAGTACGAAGACAAATAAATACACACAAAAGAGACGATCATTAGTACAAACTATACGAAGGAACTTAGAAGTCGTTTACCAACGACGAATATACGATAAAACCGTGGTTTGGTAATAACATACATTTTCAACTCAGTGTAGGGAGAGTTACTTACATATTTTTTCTCTAAAAGCATTGTATATATCAACGCGGCGAAACGTGCCCATAACAACCATTTTGAAAACAATATGCGGAGTTGAAAACAGAGTAATACGATCCCTCTCCAGTAATAAACATTTCTCCTTTAATTTCCGGAAATGAAAAGTGTTAACGAAACATTTGGTCTATGATCGACTAGTAGTCCCTTGCAGTAGGTATGGGATTGGTAATTGGAAAGACGAATGTTAAATGTTCGATAGGTGATTATTAATTGCGGTATTCAACTCAAATCCGGTCCAATTCGTACCATTATAGAGTGATGGAGCAAAACATTTACCTGGTTATTCATTAATCTTCTGGAATCAAATTACCGAACCTTCGAGATCTTGTAGCCTTCAAGAACTCGGTAAAATGCGTCATTTTTATAAACGAAGTCGGGTCATCATTCATGTTTTAAATTATCTTAAAAGTAACACTAATCAAGTTAAAATGTCATTTGAGTCGTGATCAACGGCTTGCTTATTGTGCTACGCTTTATACGATCACCATCATTCAACACAATAGGTGGGTTCGCAATTTTGAGTGATCTTTACCCTACTTTACTTGCACGAATTTCAAATGGCTTTTAAGCTATAATTAATTACCTGAATGTGAGTGTTGACGTGATGTTCCACACGTCCTCTATAATAAAATGACCCCTGCTTGATTTCCGGAATGGTAGGAATTTCCCATTGAGGTTCGATGTTGTCACAGTGATACCAAACGAAAACCACGCCGTTCACTTCGCGACTTGGCCACACCTTCGTCTTGGCAATTGATGGCACTTAAATAAAAAGATCATTTAATTAGTCCAGATTCGTTTAGCCGACTAAATAGGATATTATATTTTTCACGACTATTATCAACGCAATCATTTGCTTTATTCAATTGATGAGTATATATGGATTGTTGACGCAGAACGCTGTCGAAGTTAGGTCGGCTTTGGCTGACTCAAGTAAAAACGAAATTTTCCTAGATTCGAAACCGCACGATTACACTGACGATAGTATCTCGTCAGCATTGACTAGTGAATACATTATCGTGGTAAAAGCCATATCGGAGAATGAATTCTTTGCAATACCTCATATATTGAGAGATAAAACAGAATGAAATGCGCATTCTGTTAAAGAGAGTTCATGCTAAAGCATCATTAATCTTACGATTATAACGTGCTCAGTAAAACAAACATTACAATTTCCTGATATTACACAACACAACGTCTTTAATGAGCGCAGTCACGTTTCGCGGGTTTGGGAAAGGTACGGTGACCCTGTCTGTGGTGTAACGGCACTTCGGACATGATTAAACATATTTATTTAGCAAACGGACAAGTAAACATCAGGTCATAATATTAAACAGATAAAACATGCATAGCGCACATCCCATCTAGTTAACGTCATAATTTATCATGGAAAAGACAAATAGGGGTATATATATTAGGTCCAGAAAAACACGCTCTAAAACCGTGCACTAAGCCACCCCAAGAAAACGTTCCAAGCTTTTGTTTATGTCAATAAGGGACCTTTTAATCAATAGAATTATTTTCTTATTCCATAGAAATGCACACATACATTCACCCAACGTGGGCTAATTTATATAACCATAAATGTCACCTTGTAGCCGAAACTAAAATATCCGTCCGTAAGAAACCCACCTATTGACATAATATATTTCGAAGAAGGCTATGAATAAATAGGTTTTTGAGCGGTTCAATATTCATGGCCCGTGACATTGGCAACGAATAACATTTTAGACTTATAACCAAAACAAGCTTCTAGGTTTTTGTACACTTCTCTCAAATGGGCAGTATCTAATGGCACATACTCAATGACAAAATTTTTGACTTTTGAACAAACAGACGCTCATTCGGTCATAAGATGGAGGTCAGTATAATGCAATTACCTGCGATCAGGATCCGCAATGTACGCTTACACAATAAACATGCTCGTGATAGCGGGGATGTCAACGTGTATTTGTATGACTTCAAACATGATTGTTTGTTAATAAATTCAGGTGCCGGTTACTACAGGGCGTTGGAAGTTCACATCACCTTGTAGCCGAAACTAAAATATCCGTCCGTAAGAAACCCACCTATTGACATAATATATTTCGAAGAAGGCTATGAATAAATAGGTTTTTGAGCGGTTCAATATTCATGGCCCGTGACATTGGCAACGAATAACATTTTAGACTTATAACCAAAACAAGCTTCTAGGTTTTTGTACACTTCTCTCAAATGGGCAGTATCTAATGGCACATACTCAATGACAAAATTTTTGACTTTTGAACAAACAGACGCTCATCGGTCATAAGATGGAGGTCAGTATAATGCAATTACCTGCGATCAGGATCCGCAATGTACGCTTACACAATAAACATGCTCGTGATAGCGGGGATGTCAACGTGTATTTGTATGACTTCAAACATGATTGTTTGTTAATAAATTAAGGTGCCGGTTACTACAGGGCGTTGAAAGTTCACATCAGTACAAAATCTAATGGCCGGGCATATGTTGCTTCATTTCAATATAGATCACTAGAAAATCGACAGCCCTGATAGACAAAAGGGCAACAATTTTGCAATGGACGAACCGAAATTTTTTGTTTAAACAGCAGTGCAAAAGACCAGGGTTATTATTAGTCATTTTGTATTATTGAATAATACTTTTACGCGTATCCCGAATTATTTGGTCATTGCATAACATTGTTACATCATATCATTTCCCGATATGAGCAATGAGGCAAAATACAAACAATTAGCATATATCTCTGGGTAAAATAATATGCTACATGCCACACAAAACACGATAAAAGAATGACGGAAAGTAGGTTGTAGGACATTATATAAAGATAGCATTGCAAGCAAAGGAAATGATAATCATTTCCAGATGAATTTCATTGAATTTTTTGAAAAGTCCAACGTGCTTGTCAAAACGACAATAGACATCCAATACCAAAGACAACTATCGCCAGATTGTAATCATTCTTCTTTTGTTTACTTGTATTTGTCGAAGAATATACCGCACCCACACGACAAACCACGCAAAATGAAAGAATAACTTCCTAAACTAATAATAGGACTTTTACGTAGTTTCACTATTTCGGTTTATAGTTCTATTTAGAATTATTTATTTGTACATAAATTTATTCTATAGTAACACATTCACCCGTTCGTGACATTTAATTTACAATCGATCAGTTGTGGCTCATATATGGTAGTTCTACTACAGAGGGCGCCCAGTTAATAATTAGCCTAATACAGTTCGCCCTTCTGGACTTTGGAATTTGAATGGATGGGATAGGCGTAGTGAAAGTAATAACGTGTGTTGGTATGTCCACCCCTATTTTGACCCTAGATGGAGAAATACAAAGATATATCCACAGCCTGCAATAGATACAGTTGTTGCAAAATTTACCAATGAGAAAAAATAGCCCCAAGTCCATAGTCATCACAGAATATAATTGAGCCGTGGCGATGCGACTTTTTTTTATTATTCAAAAATTTTTTGTAACCATCTTCATATAAAGTGATACTTCAATTTTGACTAAATACAGTTCAAATTTACTGATGGGTTCACGCATAAAGGTGACCACACTAAGGAAATGAGAGTACGATTTAAACTTCCATTAACAAAACTCAATATAATAAGTCATAAAACTGTCATGGAGTATATTATACTGGCGACCTTCATTAATTGAAATAACTTACAACTTTTGGCCTGCACTTATATGTTGGCTCTATATCTTTACATGGGATGGGAGTACTTTTTGAACGTCTGCGTGTGGAAGTATGTCAAGTTCTTGGATTTAGTGAAAAGCAATAAATGAAAACATTTGAAATATAGTTTCAATATCACCTGGCAAAATTATTGTTGAACATAAGCAGATATGAGTCGACGTTTGACCTAATTTCTATTGAAATGATTCGTGCCTGTTGGATTTAATGAAATCCATTGTCGTGAAAAGGATATGCTTTTCATGAAATACGATTGTAAAACCACTCACGTTTATGGATGGTAAAAGCGTGGCATTGAATCAAGTTGGTTTACAAAGTACGATATGTCGTTGACGACGACTATTCTTTGACGTTTGAATGTTTTGTTCAATCGCTTGAGAACACATCGCGATAAGAAATGAATATCTTTTTTTATGGGTAACATAGAAGTGTGTTGTTGTCTTTGTACGATAGACAACTAAACACATAGGAAAGTAAACATTCAGGGCTTAAAATGAATGGATACCGAGCACCAAGGGGTAAAATCGACGACAAAACGGTCCCATCTCTACATCACATCTATAGAATGGCAAATGATAACAATACCTAATATTACACGAACTTTGCAGTAATATCTGAGGGGGTGATCTAATGGTTACGCAACATTCTCCAACAAGGCATGATGTCTATAGGTATTTTACGAATAGATCGTTTCCAATAATATATACCTCATGTAAACATATTAAGTAAACATTGGCACCTTAGCACAATAGAGACATGTCTCTTACTAAAATACGTGAGGCTGGCCATATTCATTTCTCTATTATAGCAAACCCATTTATAAAGTTGATTTACCCATTATAGTTAGTAATCACAGTTTGAAGACCTGCGTTTTTATTTTAACGAAACGCTGTTCGCCATAGTACTATTGTGTTTCTACAACGTGGGGGCTGCGGTATATTCAGTATTTCATTGGACGCCCTAGGAATATTAATTCTATGTGATTCAAACTGTTTAGCATATGACTTTCAGCTAAATAATTCTATTCGGCGTTGAGATTTATTACAAAAGAGGAATGAAGTTTACAAGGTGGTCTGCATTTTGTAGTATGACAATAATCTTGACATCCTTAAATTCCGATAATTCACATTAATCAACTTGATCGATTATTGTTAACACGGAAAATAGAAAATTGCAGTTTTACCTTTACTAGTGTAGGGTATTCGAACAACTTTTCCTTCGTCATTATACACCCAACCGTGGAACGGACACTCTAAGCAATCTCCGAGAACTCGTCCACCTGCTGCTAGGTTTCCCCCCATATGAGCGCAGTAAGCATCCATCACAGTAACTTTACCAGATTGGCCGCGAAATACGGCAAAGTTTAGACCTGGGAAAATTTCAAAGTTTCGGGATTTTACTTGAATCTCCGGAAGCAATTTTTAGAATTTTTTGTCCAAAATTGTTATTTATATTATATTCATTTCACTTTAAAGCAATAGCATGGCGAACAAGAGTACACTCCTGGATTAACTAATTTCTTGACCGATGATTATATAATAAAAAGATTATCGACCGTTATGCTAAATCACAACTAACACAAATCAACACGAAGATACTGAATATCTGTATTGAATAAATAAATTGAAAAATTAATATTAAACGAAGTTGAAATACTTATGTTCGAAATCCATGGTAAAATAGATAAAGACGATCGATACATTGAAACGCTAAAACTTTTAAGTCTAATTTACTACAAGCAAAAGAACAATCAAGCATATGAATGCACAATAGTTTATAGTTGTTGTATGGAATGTGAGCGCGACATATGAGCTGCTAAACTAATAAAAACGAGGATTAAAAAATGTTGTAGTTCAATTGTGGTTATGAATATATCTCATGTCATAAGGAAATAATCATATTTCATACCCATGGCATGTACTTGCTTAACCTCTTTGCGTCGAAGTTGAACCGAATCGATGACCCGAAACCATCCATTTGGATAAACAGGAGGTATGTCTTGGCCCATTTTTCGCCTTTGTCGCATGAGGTTGGCAACTTCTTTTCGAGATAAATCTCCAGCTTCGTGGTTGATATACCTATGTGTAGAATATAGGGTTAAAAGCCATTTATGTCGAGTTAAATTTTAGTAAATAGAAGACTATTCATGGTCCATGACTCTATATTTACTACGGAATACAACAGAAATAGGGCTTATGAAACTTAACAAAGAGAACAAAGAATTCAAGTCATTTGTACGTACACGAGTATAGTTTTTGTAGTAAACTGGCTCAAAAGATAATCAAAGACCACATTTTCGGCGTATGCCGGTAATTGATCAAAATGTTGGGTAACCACAAATCTTTGAAACTGGCATTCAAGCATTCGACCGTGTAAATTGCTTTGATCTTATCATTTGACGAAAGAAGGGATTTTGCGACCAGTATGAAAATAATTACGCATATTAGATAAAAGTAACCACAGCATTATTGGAAAAAGTCCATCAATTGAAGTAATCCAAACCATAATTTTCATTTCTTGGTTAATTTGGCAAAAGAGTATGTGCCAAATCAAAAAGCTAGCATAATTCAACATTTTATTTATTTAAAAAACTACATTTTCTTTTTTTGCCATCCTGTTTTTTTTGTGTTTGTATTTTGGGTAGAAAACTGACATGCAACCGCATATAAATTGTTCATTATATCCCAAGGTTTTCGTGGTCCTACGCATAAAACACTACATTAATATGAAAATACTACTTAATACTTACCCTATATCTCCAAGTCTTCGTACCCTGTCCAATGGCACAAATAGCCATTGGTTTAGTTTTCGGACTGTCAGATATATAAGATACAGAATAAATAGTAAAATTGATATTGTAATTCCGTTCAATATTGTTGTTGAAAATCCGGTATTTTCAATAAATATCCGTTCGTCAGTTTCATTATTTTTAGACCCCACGGGGATAGAGATCTTTTGAACGAAATCTCCGGCCAAGTCCACAAGAGGCCACACCATGGCATCACCGACAACTGTGAAAAATCTTTGAGATAGACCACTCATTTTGGATTATCGTGGTGGATGAACGCGAGGTCCTGCCAGTATACTAATCTGCGTGCTGTGAAAAGAGCTAGTTAGTCGCAGTTGTCTCAACATTAGTCCTTGGTTTTCCAATACCCATCCCATAAAACGTTAAATATTAACACGCTAGAAATAAACCAATGTTAACACAAGAAAGGTTTATCGGCAACGAGAGCGTTGCTAGACTGCGAGAACGCGGATCAAATACGGACCCGCCCACGCATCGTGGTTCTGTTTCGTCCACTCTGGAATTTAAGACGATGAAAAAGTACGTGAGAAACGAATGGGATATAAGTGGTCAATTTCTCTTGTGTTTTGTTCTGACCAACTCATCGATACAATTGTTATGAATACGTTACAAGAATAGGCCAGTGCATAATATACGCTGTTTTAAAACGTGATCAAGTATTAGTCTTCATTACGCTCGCATTTGAAAAGTGTTCCGACTGCAAATAAAATGTCGGCACATTGGTCAATAGCATAATTATCGTGCGTTAAACTGCAAGATGTCGCTTCATGCAGCGAGGAAAGGGTGTTTGGGCGGGATAGAATTAAAGCTTTAAATAACATAATCTTTTTGCTGTTATGTACAAGCAAAAGTCTTTTTTATTTACAAAAAACTATACTTTTGTTCGAATGCTTATGATTTACGTTGCAGAACTGAATTCATTTTCACATATCAGCGTCAATCAATATACACATTAGAAAATATCAAAAAATTGAACAAATTTAGACTAAAATGGCTAGAAGTTGATAGCTTTCTTCACGTTTTAAAATAGGCTATATATACTTGTCAAATGGCGCCTCTGTACAAAGCACTACTAATTAGAGGTAGAGAGTGTCGGGTTTGTGCGTGTATGAACCATATTTGCCGGTATACCAATAAGCGAGAAAGACCGTTGCCACGCAAATAAAATTAGGAATTTCTTTAGGAATCACAAGACCCCTTTTGTCTTCCGCTCTACGACCGGCCCACTAGCGCCATCCCGAAATGCGAAGTTTTTTGTGCATCTCGCGGACGTCTTCAAATGGTGGGTCCTTCAGCGTTTTCAAAGAGAAAGCGGATGTATTTCGAAAACATTGTGATGACGCACGTCCGAGTTCTTGTCGTTAGAATAGTATGGCTAGTTCTACCACTATTTTCTTTTAAGTAATGGTATTTGATAGTAACGAAGAAAGTGTAGAATGCACGCTTAAATTGGGGACAATTATAACTAGTCAGCACTGAACACTCACTCTTAATCAAAAAATGTATGAACATTTTTGATATACGAGTACATTGCCAAAACGCGAGTGTTTTCCTGCAATGTAATTTATAGCTATATATAGGTTAAATTTTGCTGAAGATACTTTTACAATGTTATAACGAAATCAATGGAAAACGTTTTAAAGTGCGTCTTTCAAACCAATTTCAAATGCATTTAAAATGACACTGATTGGTGGAAATTTAAAAAAATCATAATATAATAAATGACAAAGAGACATTAACATATCCCCACAGTTAGCATTAAGCAATTCAGTCGAATAATGGATGTCCCCTTGTTTGCCTATATGCAGATTGCAGATATTGCCATATGTTTCAATATTACAGAACAAAAGCCTAAACAAATCCGAGTTCTCGATAGTTCACCGACTCTCAGCGTATCCGGTTTGAGCTGCACAGTTGCACACATAAGATCTCGAGACTAGTATCTCGTATAGCGATGGCCACCAGAATATCTGACAGATGACAATGATGATATATTTCTCCCATCATTTTGTTAAAGTGCGCTACACTCCATTCCGGACAAACTAAGAATGATTGATGCGAATTGCTGCAATCAGCTCGGTACGTCATCGCAGGGAACTTTGTAGCGTTGACATTGAATAGGGTTGGCATATCACGATTCCTAAATCATGATATTTTGGCCATTCATCGTCTAGACTCCGGGATTATTTCGAATAAAACCTAAAATTCTTAATTTGGTGATTTGGCTTTCATCAATCATTGCCTAGTCAGTTATTATGAATTTGGAGTATTAGCATATTTTTTGGTACTCCCGTAGTTTGTGAACCAAGACGGCGGACACCGGAACATAGTATGTGTACCAGGTTAGGGTTAGGCCATAGTTCCAGGTACAAATACCACGGGAGTAGTAACCCTAACCTGGTACACATACTATGTTCCGGTGTCCGCCATATTGGTGCACATACTACGGGAGCGCCGATTTTTTTGTTTAGGAGAAATTCGTGGTTCGCCGGCCATAGGCCCCAATCATTGCAATTGCTTACAAAAATATATATATTACACATGTCTAAAATACAACGCAAACCCAACTTCACGTTTTAAATGAGACTATGCGGAATTTTATATAACGAATTACATTTTACAGTCACTCTGAATGAAGTGAACGGAACTGTAGTTGAATGGGTGCCGAATGGATGAAGTCGGGCACTGTGCAATTCGACCAATTGTTTTGTAAGCATGAGAGTCGAGCGTTCTTGAATGCTTTAAACTTTAAATATGCAAAGTTAATCTTCATGCAATCGAAGAAACAGCATTCCTACCGTTTTTCACCGAAAATAAGACAGTGTCTTATTTCAATATTCTTTTGAAAAATACCTCTAGGGGTTATTTTGGAGGATGTCTTTTATTTTCATTTGCTGAAAACAAAATTACAAAGTATAGAATTACGAGATTCCCAAATATACAAAATATGAAAACCGATATCCATTTACTTATAAATAACACGTTTTTATTTGAAAAAATAAAACTGCTAAACATAGATTATTAATCATTTACAACGAGTAGGAAAGATTTCTTGCTATCACTAGATCAAAAAAAAAAAAAAATTCGCGCTATCCACTAAGACACTAGGTCCTATTTTTTTAAGGGGAGGGCTTATATTAAAATCATTTTTAAAATTCAGGCTAGGTCTTATATTGGGGGAAACACGGTATATTGCGAGATGTAAATATTGCAAACAGCATAATGACACTCATCGGACAACTTTGAGAACAAATTGTCCAAGCGTTGAATAATCAATCTTTTTATGATTAATTGTTGAAGTTTTGTTAACAGTATTTGGCAAGCAACGTCCTTCTCATACTGATTCTCGTAATCTGCACATTTTATTGCTACTAATTACGCAACTGTTATATCAACTTCTTACAGACGTGATTCCAGCTTTCTATAGCGACTGCTTGCAGGCATAATCTCGACCTTTTTCCTCACACATCCACCCATGCGCAGCCTAAAACTGAGATCCTAAACACAGTATTTTGCATATGGTACTGGCGCTGCAATGAGAGGGACTATCTGTAAGTCGCTGGTCGAAATGAGTGACGTGCGTTCAATATGAGTCACGCGTTGCTTCCTTTTCACAAATTTGTTAAATTAGCCTAGATATACCTTCATAAGACCTACAGGCATGCTATTGGTGTAATCGAATAACATCAAAACTGGAAAGAGCCGCTCTTAACAAAATCGGGGTAACACAACATTGTTTTATCTGTCCATGTAAAAATAATAAGGGGCTTAATCTGCCCCGGAAAGGGCCCATGTCGTGAGTTCTAGGTCCAGTCGGGTATGATTCCCATGAAACTGGCAGGACAGCAAACAAAATACAAGGTAAGCAGTGCTAAGCCCAAACATGAAATTAAGTTATACTTGCGTAACACGAGTACGCGTGACTGTCAATTTTGCTTGTACTGTGTCAAAACTGCTTACTAAATGGACATACTGTATACACTACCGTTATCACAGAGAATTCAATTTATTCGCCTTCCCGAAACAATAGGACGAAAATGGAAAACTGATTCATATTTGGAGAATTTTTGTAACGGGAGATTTTTCTGCATGTCAAAACTGCTTACTAAATGGGCATACTGTATACTTGGTATGTCAACAGGTGACCGTACATTTGAACCCATGTACATTTGAACCCATGCGTATATCCACGGGTTCAATCTATATGCGGGTGCTAAAACCCATGGGTTAGGGTTAGTATGGGTTTAACTATCCGTGAAACAAAAAAAAATCCATAGGTGCAATAGCATACAGGTGCAATTGTCATGTGTTCAAATGTAATGGAACACTATCGTTAACACAACAACGAATTCAAGTTCTTCGCAATTTCGAAAATTAGAAACCGATTCATATTTGGAGAATTTTTGTAGCGGGAGATTTTCTCCTATCCATGACAGAGAATGTAAAATTCAGCATAATGCAGAACGTTGTCAAAATTACTCATATCGTAGGATTTATCCTCACCAATATCATTGTACTTACATATGAATTGCATTTTTGTTTCCCGACGTAGAAACTGTATATGTATGCATACTCAGTACTAGCGATGTAAGTTGTTTTTCCCAATCGAATCAGAATGTTTCAACATCATATTAAATGCTAAAATTCTATAAATTTGGAACAACTCTAGGATAAATTGTGATTAAATTAATATTTGTGCCTTTTAAAAAAAAAGTTTCTCGAAAAAGCTAGGATGGGATTTTAAATATTTATCCCGGAAGAGAGGAAAGTCGATAAGACGGAATTATATGTACAACCTTTTGCTTGATTTTATGTACGGTTATCGTATACTGGCAGAAACATAAAAAAATTTAAGGCTTATTTTGTCCAGATTATTCGCAACACATGATAGGGAACTCATGACACCGTCATTGAAGATTATCCTATACTTTATTGCCATGCGAATGACCTTTTCTAAAAAAGGCCTATTGAGATACCATTCACTTACAATAATTCCACAGTTATAGTATAGGAAGGAAAGTTCACAATTGCAAAGGAATATATTAAAAATATATCATACAGATAGAACAGTGTAGCACAGAATAATATGTTTCTTTAAAGATAAGAGCAAATCATCAGTTAATAGTACCCAACGTACTTTACATAATAAATAGCATCTTTTGCAATGAGCAATCAAAATACCACTTGCTCGAAAGTTCCCCTTGACACACACACAGAAATACAATGAAACTTGACACTGTACAACTCCCGTTGTTCATATGGCTATTCAATAAAATAGCCAGCTGGGCAAAATACCAAATAGGAGCACTGAAAAATTTTAGGTAACAGGCCATATGTATAAGCGGAAAGTATAAATTCTAGATGAAGTAGTGTTTCCTCTATGAGGCAGAATGAGGGAAATTTTCAAATTGTGGCCCAATACATTCTATGCGAATATATTGTGTAACTGTAATGCATCAACCAATTTCAAAAACAATATGGAAGTACTATATCAAGAAAGTTTGAATATGAGGATAACCATAAAATATTTTCGGATTCTTTTCACTAAGAAAATAAAACTGACACAAACCTTTACATTGCAAGCTTACCAAAGATATTACATTTTATGAAGTGGTTAGATTATCCAAGAATTGTCCTAAAACACCGGAGTTTAACAATCACCCCAAACTTAGCTGACAGCTTAACAATTCCAAGCTTTCGTCAACTAAACTTGACAATTCAAAAATCAATTTGGTCCGATTCAACTTTTACGAACTCCAATCAACATTTAAAAACTCAAAATGTACTTACTCATTTATGAATTTAAAAGAATACTATTGTCATTTCACAATGATCGAAATACAGTATACACACTACTTTTACTACATAAAAAGAGATGCACCAATTTTGGTTTCTCGCGGCTCCCCTCACCCTGAAATGCCTTTTTATTTATTTATTGCAATTTGTATATCAAGTGTGCATTTAGTATGGTGAGAAAATAAACTACTGATTACTGATAACGAAACAACAAAGCATAGAAAACTTGGCAAGTAAATCCGTCATTAAAAAAGTATTCTGGAATGCTTATGAGGGAGAGAAATATGCCAGATGAAACACTTATCTATTTACATTTGATGAATGTGATATAACAAAATCCACAGAATCAAAATCATGCAGTGTCAAAATCAGTATAATTACAACAATAAATTTATTTACATAAAAAAGTGAAAGAGTTGAAAATAGATTATCCTAAGAGATTGAAATGTTCGTCCGCCTCAGAATTTCAGTTAATTTTTATAGTTATAAAAAATCTTTATGGCATCAAAGTTACAATAATGAAAATAATTTATATATATATATCTGCTATTTGAAAAAATCCAGTCTATTCAAAACAGGCCAGAAGTAGTATTACAGAAATACATTTGTGTTGGTGTACAGAAAGACTATTTAATCATATAGAATAGTCAGCATTATTCCTGCAACATCATCCTCTTGTTATACACATACTAATCAAATCCTAAAGTCAAATTCAATAGCGCAAAGACATAGAGAATAGATTGGTACGGTAGTTAGTCTTTTGCAACCCCAACTAATAGGTATTCAGAACATTATTTGGTGCTCTTGAATGGTGTGCACCAAGATGGCGCACAACCTTAACCCCAAACTGGTACACATACTATGTTCAGGTTGTGCGCCATCTTGGTGCACATACTTCTGGAGCTCCCATTAATATTTATACATCCCACAAACGGAAATAACTAATACGAAAACTGGACAATAAAATTTATGATTGCAAACCAAGCGTCTTGAAGAGTTGAAATCGGGTATAACACTCTCCAACTCTGTCACCCAGGCATAAAAGACAACGAATTTTTACGACACATGCATGAACCATACTACCCATCAGTACCTTGGATCACCAAATTTGGCATGAGAACATAATGTATCGCTTGTATATACTGTAAGTTCCAATAACAGCACCAATGTACGAAAACAATAAGTCGTATAAAAAGATATTAAAAAAATGTAAAATTTATATATATCTAACTTTTATATAGTATAATAATTTTTAGCTGATTTCAGCTTAAAACAATTGCTTATGAACTACTGTGGGTCATAGGTGGATCAAGTATGAGCAGTATATCCTATTATTGACCCATACTTATGATGTTGATAAATTAACACATTCTTTCAAATGGTAAAATGTGCAATTAAAGTATTACGCAATATGCAATATTGATCTCTTTATCCAGATGGTAATTGATCAGACAACCAGGTTATTCCTTCTTGCAATCCATCACCTGTTTTTGCATTGCTTGCACTAAATAAATCATAATTTATTCATATTGCTTAAGGAATGTTTAAACCTTTTTTTTTTAATTTAGAAATAAATAATTCCCACGCAGCGCGATAATTTGGATTTTTTTCTCATGGAGTATTGAGCCAGGGAGAGCAAAATCTGAACAATTTACTATCCTGAAATAAAATATTCGAATATCACATTCGGATACATACAAAACTTGGGTCATCTTCAATAAGAACATTTAAAAAATCATAATCATGAACATAAAGACAAATGCGGAAAATTATGGCCTATGTATGGTACTTTAAAAAATCTTTGATTTTGATAATCTACACTCAAAGGCCCGATATATTTTGTGGCTTATTAAAATATATTTCTAACTATATAAATCATTATTTTCTTACCATATATGCCATGGTTTGTTTTTTAATATGGTCTAATCCAAGAAGTTGAGAACATTTTACAGCCGATAATGAATCTTGTAAATCCATTTTATTTGCGTAAAACAGTATTGGAACCTTTCTCATCTTTATATCTGAATATAACAAAACAAACCCAGTATTACATGTTTAGATGTTAAAGAAATTTTTTAACATATTTGCTACTGGATAAACAATATTTTCAAGAATGCACATAACCTATGTGTATAAACTAGTAAAAATTAGAAAGTTTCAAGCAAAACAATGACATACATATAAGTATGAAAAATACAACAGTGCTGTAGAATGAGTAAAAATTCACACCAGACACTATGAGCATTTAAAAACTTTAATTCTGATCCCTAGATCAAGGAAATATAGACTCGACCAACACCAGCTCGAGATAACAAAATCTTGACTACAAACACTTTGGCATATGCCAGCCTTGTCAAATTGTTTATTGAGAATGTTTCAAAACCGTCAGAAATCAGAATGCTTATTTAGATTTCAACATAAATGTTGACTTTACCCCAGTTAGAAATAGAAAGATGGAATTTCCAATCTGACCCTGAACATTTAAAATCTCTAAATCAGCTCTGACCTCAGAGGTTTGAAAATAGGTCTCCGGCTAGGAATTCAATAGAATATTCAAAAACTGTCTCCATAGCCCCAAGGTAGTGAAGGCATATGAATGTGCAAATGATTATTACTTTTATCAGTGAAAAAATTAAAAAACTTTAAAATATTCAGTTCCCAACCAGGTTATATAAAAAGTAATACTTACCAACATGATTTAACAAATGATCAAGTTCATCTTTTGCGACAGCCATTCTCAGTTTATCAGCGCTATCTAACACAAATATGATTGCATGTGTTTCTTTGTAATAATGTTCCCACAGATTACGATATCGTCCTTGTCCAGACATATCAAAGACCGTAAAGGATATACTGAAAAAAAGGATATTGTTATGCCTGTTTTTTTGCAATTGCATTTCTTTAATATTGTTCAAAATCTAACTTAGCACTTCTATAAGTTCAATCATAAAGCCGAAATAATGGTTTAGCTCAGCGTTTTTCAAACTTTTCCGATTCGTGGCCCCCTTTTACAGACTTCCAGCAATCTGAAGGCACCTGTGCTTCTATAAAAATACATGAATTTGTGTTATATTTTTCGCCTGTGTATAATAAAAACCAGCGAATGAGAGCAAGAGGAATAAATGCATCATACTGGTAGACAATTTACTTTAATATTGCAGAAATTGGAAATGGTACGGTATCGTATCTATACAAGGTCTTTGCTCATGCCCCCCACTCTATACTTAGCCCCCCCCCCCCCCCAATAATTTAAGTATCTAATTCAAAACATGTATGGTATGGTAGAACAATACTAGACTATGTGCTCTAATTTATCTACCACTGCAAAACATATTTCGGGGTAATTATATACCGTACCCGTAATAAAAACAAACTACGAACCTAGAATTGTTGAATTTTTCAACAGTAAATCCAACAGTTGGGACAATATCTTGACGTTGTGTATCGGGAGGCTTCAAATGATTTATGACAGTTGTTTTTCCGCTGTTGTCTAAACCTATGCACAAAATGCTTGCTTCTTTTTTCTTCATACCCAGCCATTTTCGCAATTGGTCAAAAAGACCCATTTTCCTATGCCAGTCTTCGATTGATGTATTGTAACTTCTCAGTACCGGTGTTTGGTGATGGCCAATAACACCGTTTCCTGAGTCTATACCGTATGTACCGGTACACGCCGAATTATTACAATTCGTTGAGTCGCTTCTAGAACGGTAGCGGTACCGGGACAGATTCTTCTTGGTTGGATCTACCAAATACAAATCTACAAAATACAGAGAAACAAGACGCCAATGCAAAAATTTTACTCTTCGTTTGGTTGTCAGTGGAGCAACCAAACATGTGCACCTTCAGAATTTGTACAATAATTGTTATATTGCAATTATATGTTTTGTTGTACGGATATTTTATTTGATAACGTATAAAACTACAATAAAATTTTTGAAATCAACAAAAGATAAGTTTTAATTCACAATCCCGACTATAACTGCTCCATGCTAGTTATTTTATATTATTGAACACCCTAATTTTTCGAGTGGGAAATTTTGAAATTTTTGAATGTTTGTGTATTTGGAGGTGTGACAGGAGGTGTGTCAGCATAATCTGCTCTTAATCTCCCGAAGTTCTTCTACGATGGAACATTACAGAAGGGATAAATCTATTAGCCACAAACTAGAAAATCCGTTTGCCGACGTGCTGAAGAATGAAAATATATGTAAGGTACAGTAAGTTTTTGATTATTCCAGTGTTTAGACTTTTGCATCGGACACTGCCAAAATCTGGTGTATCACTAAGGTTATTTTTAAACTAGGTTTCAATCATGTTCGTGTGACTATTGCCATTTTTCGCTTTCTTTCTGTAACAAGCTAGTAAATTCTTGATTATTTTTGATAGCATGAATGGACGTGGCAAATTGCATTGCCTAAAACAATCGGGTCTCGTGTAGTTTCGTACCTAACGTACTTCTAGTAGGCGTAGCATAACAATTTTTTGACATGCCAATCCTAACCCTCACTGACTACGTCATCCAAAAATTATGTCACTATGACGTCACAATCACGTCATAGAGCTTGCCAAATACTTGTACGATCGCCCGAAATGGCATTGGCGCTGACGATGAAGAACTGACTAACGTCAGCGATCTCTCACCTATCGGGATCGTTGCGACGAGAAAACGAGAGATATTACTGTTCGATTTCGGGTTCTCGTCTGCGCGTCTTGGATGACAGTTTGCATTATTTGAAGGGCTCTATTACGTCACTGTGACGTTGTGGTGACGTAATTTTTGGATTGTGTGGTCAGGTGGGGGTTAGGATTGACACGTGGAAAAATTGTTATGCTACGCCTACTAGAAGTACGTTAAGTACGAAACTACACGAGACCCAAACAATCGGGTCTAGTGTTGTTTAGAACCACAAGGGGTCTTACTACTTACTGAATACAGCGCGAAACACCGCAAAGAGCACAAAACAGCGCAAAAGAGCGCGAAACAGCGCAAAATAGCGCGAAACAGCGCAAAACAAAAGGAAACCAGCGCAAAACAGAGGGAAACAGCGGAAAACAGGAGACGCAGTCATTACCACCTCCTGCCACGAAAGAACCACGGCGCCTCTCGCCATGGTTTTATGGCGCTATTTCCGGTATATTTACAAGGTTATGTACCGGATTATAGGTCATCATGCGAAATTTTATCTACCTTTTTGGTGCTCCAGAAGTATGTGCAGCAATATGTCGCACAACCTGAATCCGCCACACACACACATACATACTATTTTCAGGTTGTGCGCCATCTTGGTGCACATACTTCTGGAGGTCCCTTTTGATCTAACCCTCTATTTCCCTCTGTTTTGCGCTCTTTCGCGCTGTTTCCCTCTGTTTCGCGCTGTTTTGCGCTCTTTGTGGTGTTTCGCGCTGTATTCAGTAAGTAGTAAGACCGGAACCACAAGTATTTCAGAATTCCTACTCACTAACCCCTCTCATATCGGGATCATTATGACGAATAAACAAGAGAAATAGCTTGCTCGATTTCGGATGATTGTATGCTTTTGGGCAACCATTCATAGCCTATATTTTGGCGGGCCTCATTACATCACTAATGACGAAGTCATGATGTGGTCAGGAATGACATTTGCAAAAATTGTTGTACAATATGCAGATATGGTACTGAACCACACCAGACCAAAATTTTCTTAAAGTTCTGAGTCCAGTCTCTCTGGCGATCAGACGTTTCGATTCGAGTTACATTGAGTGTTTGATACGTGGATTCGGGTCCCCAAAACGCTGGTATATAACACTTTTCCAATGCATCTACCTCTTTACTTTAACTTACAGGTTCAAATATCCGAATATAGTCAACTGAGCAAAGTTTTGGGATATGCAATAAGTAAACTTCGTCACCCATCAACTAAACTTATCTTGATCCAGGGTCAAGGAAAAGCTTTACACAAAGTTGGAAATTGTGTGAGAATATTGATGACAAAACATGATGTGAGTGGGTTTTGAGTAGTGCTTGTGTAACGTTATATACTTCTCAAGAGCTTTAGAGATACATGTTTTGTAGATCAGAATTTACTAATACCCTTTTATAATCAGCTTGACGACATCCTCAATGTTTATTAATTTGGCAATGTTTTCAAAATTAGTAATACAGTGTCACTATTCAAATAATCAATTTTTTTATTCTCATTTTTGTTTATTAAACCTTGAATTGCTTCTATTTTGCAGGTATTTATCAAGTTTAGTTCCACAAAATATGAACACTGTTTTTACTTATTTTGTTTCTTCAATTTTAAGAATCTTCACAGATGTGATGCATTGACTCATAAGATACATGAAGATATCTGGTTGCCAATAGATACAGAGAGTAATTTAGATGGGTAGGTTTTGAAAAATATATAGAAAAGTAGCCATATATTATACATTGAGACAATTTTTCTTTTTTCTCAAATTAGTATGACAAGAAAAAGACTATCTTTAATTGTGTAAAAGAGGCTAGCTCTTTTTTATAGCTGCAACAATAAAAGTTAGCAAAATTATCCATTGGTACACTACTTGCCCAATAATTGCAGGATTAAATGGATATGCACCTATGCAACATTTTATCAATATTGCCCTTTTTTCGGTATTGCATTGCACTGTAATTCAAGAACAGGGTACATATGGTAAATAGGACTCGCAGAAAAGTATGATTTTATCGATGCAGACAGTTTTATGAAAAAGCTCTCGCTTTTTGAATATATTAATTGAGAAATTTGGTGCTTGACAGATTTAGAATAGGTTGTAAAAATTGAATAACTATATCAAATTTTGTGTTTCTTCTTTCTGTGTTTACCAGGATAAGTGTTAAAAGGCATATTCCTGCACTATTTGTGATTTTGGCTAAAGATGATCTACCTGTTGCTCTAAAAACTCATCCTCAACGACTACAGTTAAAATCTGCTTCAAATATCGCTAGCCGACCGGAAACGAAGTTAGCATCGGGACATCGCCAAAGAAAGCCGCACAAATAAACAGAAGCTCCATGTGTCGCGGTCAGCTGCAGATTTTTTGTCGAATGTAGTGATATACACGGTGATTTTCATCGTTTTTGGTGAAACGGAACCCCAATGAAACACTGTGTGGAGGCTCAAGCTTCAAGGAACCCCTATCTTGTGCAATAGTCTATTTTCCTATATATTTAACCCTATTCGTATAATAATAATAGATTTTCGGATTTGAATGTAACTTGGCCTGTATTGACGGTAGGTACCCTGGTCGAAAAAAATACTTGTTTGGTATCTTGTGACACCAACGAACGGTTCATATCTACAAATATTTCAAAAGCTATGAAAGTGATTCCGAAAATAGCACTTGTGAAGTGTTGCTAAAGTATTGGAAGTGCATTATAGACAGGTACATCCCATACTGCTGTGATGAATGTTCTTTTATGGTCATCTTCGCTATGACAAACTGCAGGACTTTTATAACCTACCTTAACGCTCTGTCTACATGCATCCATTCTATAGTACCTTTGTTACTATAGTATTATATAACGATAATAATGCAAGGTATATGCAATTCTCTTGTCTAGCCTGTTAATTAAACATAATTCATTGGAGAATGGATGGAAAAAATGACATCTAAAGTGGGGCTTCCCAACCTTTTCCAGTTCGCAGCCCACTTTTATTGCTATTATGTTTGTGTGGCCCTGTTAATATATGAGGGAAAAAAAACAATGTATCCATGTGCAATTTACTGTTAATTAACTTGAGCTCACATATTATCAGACCAAATATAGGCTTGACAGGAGACCAGCTCACCTGGAAGTTGGGGCATGTAAGGGCGTACTGAAATTAATAACGCTACACAATGCATAGTTTTAATTGTTTTGTACTGTATGTCACAATTTCCCGATCCAATCGAAGACTGTATGTAACATCTGAAAATGCTTCTTCGTGGATCGCAACCCACTGGTTGGGAAGCACCAACTCGAACCCTCTAGAGCAGGGGTTCTCAACCTTTTTTCTGTCAAGTACCCGAGTCACGAAACAATCAATGTGAACCCCCGGTAATCAGACACCAAACAAAGTTGTGATATATTTACTAGCAATTTGCTGCAACAACAATTTCTTGACTAACTGCTGTAACTAAATTAAGTCCTGATGCTATTGCCCTTGTTCTCCGCCTAACTAATGTATTCTTAAAATCTCTCCCAAGTTTCAATGAGCATATATATCACTTTCTGCAATGCTCGCAGCACACTGTGTTATGAGATTTCACAGTTTGCCTGCAAAGCCGTAAATTTCACATTGTTGCCTCACAATCATAACAACGCTAGATCAGGGAAAATCTACACGCTGAGTTTCAATCGGCACGCATTTTCTTCTGGTAGTAATGAAATATATTAAAAAACAGCTACACACAAAAACTCGACTGCTATCCATCCAAGTACCCCTGGAAATCTTCTCGTGGACCCCTGGGGGTTCGCGAACCCCTGCTCTAGAGTCCGCAATTTTATTAGCACAAAGTCATTCATGCAAAGCTTGTTCAATGTTTATTCGACAATAACATACCAATATGTACGGTAGCTAGTTAAAAACATTCCAATTCAGTTTTTGTAAGACGGACCATCTTTATCACCTAAGGTATCAAGCAACTATCTATTCTTAAAAGACCAGTCTAGCGGTTCTATTACAGAGTAGATAAATTTTTCTGCTCGCATAAACGACAACAAACAAAAAAGAGATAACAGTGCAAAACTGTGTATGAGGTGATTTATATATTGAAAATATAGGCATTTCATTTCTGTTTATCAGGTTCATATGGAAATCTAATGCACTATCACAGAGCAGATTCTTTTTTCTCGCATAAACAACAACAAAAAGATATTTAACAGTGCAAAACTGTGTATGAAGTGATTTATATATTGAAAATATAGGCATTTCATTTCTGTTTATTAGGTTCATGATCTACTAAGCAATAAGTTATTACTAGCTAAAAATATTTACAACACTAAAAAAAACACATGCGAAAGTACTTAAATTAAAAATGAATGCAATAGCGGATGATGCACGCTCCAAAATAGTGCGAAGAGAAAATTTATTGCCAATGTACAATTTGATGCAGTGCTTTAACAGGTGCAGGTAAGTTTTGAATTCAGTTCAAACATTTCTTTTTGTCTGCTGGCATAAGTTTTGATTTTAACAATTCAATCGAGAGATCCTAATGGAAAAAGAACTAAGAGGCACAAAATTCATGTATTAAGCTCTTGCAATAATTGGATGGGCGTGGCTTTTTGTCGAGTAAGCAGGCATCCATATTTATAATGATGCAATAAGTACCGGTAATAATGAAGAGTGTTGGTAATCAGAAGTTCTGCCAAAGAATATTTTAGTTGTATTTTTACTAACAACAAAGTGTCACTTCGCTAGATCTAGTTATTCCATTTGATCAAAATATGCCCCAAGGGATGTCCAAATCGAATACGTTGAAAATTGGTTATATTCGATCCAGTTAATTCTTGATTTTATAAATAATTTATATTATTTTTATTTGAAAATGTCTTTTTAAGCATTTAAAATATCTTATGAGACAACAATAAGTAACTACTGACAAAATAAAATAGAGGATACTAATTAAAACAATGTTTACTTCAATTATTCTGCGTGTCCAAATTGATAAAAATGAATAGCTACCACGATGCTAAGACAGTGCAGAAGATGCAAAAACAATTTTGATTGGTGCAAAAAATAGCATTTCATCTAAAAATAAGCCAAATGTGTAACAATTTCATAAACATAAAAAAGAAAAAGGATAGCATAAGCAATAAGGAAACATGTCCATTTAAAATCATTATATAAGTCTTGGTATTATTTGCAAAGTGCACACATGTTACATTTTTTCATGGGTGACACAGGTCAGAAACAATCCTGTTCTTTTTTATATAACCATATCCAAACAAATACAATCGAAAATAAAATCAATAACCTAAAGAGAGACAGAAGCAGATGCAAAAAGTACCAAATAAATAAATAGGAATTGAACAGTTATATTTCATAACCACTTTCATTCAAAGTATTTATATATTGTGAGTAAAAGCATGATGAATCAGTCTAGTTCTGTGGGCATGGGCAACTATACTTGGAACACTCGTGACAATATTGCATTTTATACTCGCCTGAGAGAAATGATGTCTTACAATTAACTAATGAGGTATGTGTTATTGACAGGTCAGACACAATATCCAAATAAATACATTCAAAATTTAAATCAATACCCTAAAGAGAGACCTAAACGGGTGCAAAAAAGTACCAAATAAATTAATAGGAATTGGACAGTTATATTTCAGAACCACTTCCATTCTGGGTATATATATATATATATTGAGTAAAAGCATGATGTATTGCATTGAGAAAAATGCTGTCTTACAATTAACTAATGAGGTTTGTGTTATTGTTGATATCCTAAAAATCGTGTTCAATTTCTTTCTGTGTAGTAGCTGTAGGCATAATTTTCTGCAAAAATTCTGTTGTCCACTCTGTAATGAAGAAGTGACTATGAGTGAAAAAATATGGAAAAGCGAATGTATACATGGTAAATTGGGTACTCCCGAAGTATGTGAACCAAGATGGCGGGGACCGAAACCATTTGGATTTTTATACAACTGAAAAGCATTTTTTTGGGATGCTGTATAGACAACGAAAAAGTACAATAAAAATAGACTCACCGATAGAGCTTCGCAAACATTTCGGGTGCCTTGACGGTTTGATATAGACAAACAGAAAATATATTGGAAAACCTAAAAAAAATAGTTATCTACGTTAAGTATGGTAGTGTGGTGAAGAAGAGAATATAAATTTTTTTCTCTTTCTGGCGTAATTATTCATTTGATTTTTGTTTCTAAATATTTGAGCATTACTTTCTTGTATTAAAATCAAGTCACGAAAGCAATTTACAGTTCAAAACAAAACTCGATGAAACTCAGTAATTACTTCACGAACCTGATAATACCATAGCTGTACCAATAAGGGAATCCACAGTTTCAGTGATGAACGGAACAACGATAAGGAACAAGCATGCGACACAAAAAACAAATGGAAATACGATATTGAACTGTAAAAAAATGGAAATTGAGTAAGAAGATTTTTACACTATTCCTCCAAAAAATATTTTAAAAACAGTTACTTATACTTAAAAACTACTGTCTACAGAGGGATGTGCAACTTTTTTTTGTCGGTGGGCCATATAACTAACTTCAGATATCGAGCTGGAGGAAAATAAACAATTTAGTTCTTCCATGTACACAACCATTAAAAAATGAGGATATTTAAATCACAATATAATATTGTGAACAAGCGTTATAGAAGTCTGCAGCAATGAAATACATTAGCGACAACAAAGTGCTGCCGAAAATAGACTGGGGGGAGCGATACGACCTCCTGGTTATAGACTGTCAGATTAGTATTTTACGCTTGATGGGAAAAAATGACAGTGATAAGAGCCATACTTAATGGCTTGTCGTGCAGTGCCGCCTGTTGCTCACTTCTGGTCTATAGCTCAGTCTACCCAATTGGATACATTCTAAGCATGCAAGTAGGAAGGAGACTTCAACCAAACATTAAAAGTAACATGTTTAGGTCCAATTCACCTTTGAAAATATGGTTGGTTGAACCAAGTCCCAACTAAATAAGCTTATTATTGGAGAATGACCAATGGATAGCTCGTTAGAGCTCTTTAGTGCAGTGGTTTATTATGAGGATAAAATGTGAAATAGCTGTGTGAAATTGACATTTATGTGAACCACACTGTATTGAACTTTAATTCAGTAATACTTTTCTTTTCGGTTTCCCGCACATTATTATACTCAAATGAGATGACGATGCACTAGGAAGCTGGTTCCTGCTGCTTCGCATTGATGAAAATGTAATACAAATCCTCAGAATCTATAACTCTATAGACATTTACATCAGAACCACTTACGTCAGGGATGGCAAACATTTTTTCGATGAATGTGTTAAAAACTATATTTTCATCATGGCAAAGAAGACTAAGTGCCGCTGCTCGATAACCAAATTTGGTTTCTCGCGGCTCTCCTCGCCCTGAAATGCTTTTACTTATTTATTGCAATTTGTAAATCAAGTGTGCTTTCAGTCTGGTGAGAAAATAAACTACCGATTACTCTGAGTCATAGATGTGTAATCTATGTCTGAATCGATGAGAGTCTTGTTGTTGCATTTTTCATCAAGTCTCATAATCTTTGCTGAATTTGTGCAGTTTTGAGCTTCAATGTCAAATTGTACTGTTATGCCACATCATTCTCCACAATGGCTGTGTATCATTATACTATGGCAGTTACCTATTGTTAGATTTAATTGAACTGGCTTTGTTATTCGTTCCATCACAGAAATGGGCGCTCCACAGAAGTGTTTGCACCAGCATGGAAGTAACTATATTTGTTCGCCTATTTTACATCGAGTTGTGCAAAGGGACTGAAACCCTGACTGGGCAGGGGGGATATTTAATTGGCCACTACAGACAGCCCCAAACTCGTAGTAGAACTAAACTAAAGAAAATTGAAATGAAATTATGGCCTAACCCTAACCTGGTACACACACTGCGGAAGTACCCTTTCACTTTAAGATGGTGACGCCTGGGTTAGTGGTTCATGAATCCATTACCTGGGTAAATACCGGTAGAATATTAATAAGAAATATTTTGAGAAATTCTTGCCTTTAGTGGTCTAGGTAGTTCTGGTCGTTTAAATCGTAGAATAATTTGACCTACGATTGACAAGCCGACTGTTAACCAATACATGAAGCTGTAGTAATTGATCAAATCAAAAACATTCTCAACACAAAGATAGACCAGAGTTAAGAGACCCTGAAACAAATGTATTGTATATTAGATTTGGATGTTTAAATAGAATATTTCTATCATGCTATAAAAGGGAGACTTCCGCCACTGCAGATTTTTGACTTTATTACTCTTGAGTGAGATCTTTATCAATGACTCCTCATGAACTTGTGTTCAGCAAAGAAGGTAGGACTTTCATATTTAACCTGGGGTTGAGGAAAGTCGATAAGACTGTTTAATCATATGGTAGCTTCTTGCTCGATTACCAGTTCATGTCGGATGTAGGGATAGTTTACCAGTTATTTGTTTCAGATGCATGATCTTTATGGTGGAGGAAGCCATAAGTGCTACCCCACGACGCCAAAGAGTTCAAAAACTCCTCTCACGCAGAGATTGATCCCTCATAGGGTAATGAGGGCTGCGATAGCGAGTGTCTTCCTATTGCTCAACACGTTGCACCAAAGCGTTGAGTAAAATTTTAATAATATAAACTGTTCAAAACTTCAGGTACCGGTACTTCATATAAAACTTTATATGGTAAATATGAATGTACCGTTAATATCATGCTAGGTGCAGGTGTGTGTCTCTCGTTCTTCTTGCTAACAGTAACCATGGCGAAATAATCAGGAAGATGACCTTCACGAGCTCCAACGAAAAATAACCTAAAATGCAATAAGAAAATCTCGTTTATTTCGATCTATCATATCATACCACAGTGTAAAAAAATTCTGAATTGAAATTGAAAAGATTCTGCAACTATTATCAAATTTGCTACACTTTGAAGATCTGGCCCGCGAAGTGATAGAATCCCGCCCGCGACTTGAGATGCAATGAGGAAATAAATCTATATTCTATTTGAGAGATGTATCACTGCTTCATTTTTATTATATAAAGTATCATTCGTTCGGTTCTCAACTTTCTAAAAATATGTGCGGCCCGCCAATGACTTAATTTTGTCCCGCGAGCAACAAAAGGTTGCCGACCCCTGTCCCCTGCATTAGACAATCAATAAAATATTGCACAGGGTTCTTTATTTGGCCTCTAAAAGGTTTTATTACGGCTCTGCTCTGCCAAAAAGGTTGAAAACCACTTATATTGAATATAAAGATGATGTTCGATTTCATATTCATATTACCTTGATGACGCCATCATAGAAGAATTCAAACCACCAAACGTTGACATTGCGACAAAGATTGGAATAGTCCACTTCATGACCCCAAGAGTTTCTGCTGCAAATGTCTGGATAAAAATTGAAATCTTTTGAAATTTGACAATAATTGTTGACTTCAGACATAACATAATTATTATGTTATGTCCCAAGTCAAGTAAATATAATAACGTAACGACTCTTCAATAAATTTTCAAAAGTAAAATTTTCGAATAAATATCAATATTTCCAAATCTCATTATAACTCCCTGAACATATCGGAATTGGCCAACATAAAAAAAATCCACAATCATGAGTACTTCCTAACATTTTTTTGAATAGTAAACATCGATAATTTTCTATATTGTGCCATGTTTAACAAAGAAACATAGAAGCCAATGGTCTTAAACTTGAGAATGCTAATTTCAGTGCAATGAAGAAGATAAATTCTAATAAGTTTTAAACAATATTTTCGAATCAGATTATTTAAACCACATTTTTACTATCGAAAACCAAAATTATCATACCACTGCTACCGCGTCTGATGAGATCATTTCAGAAGGTGATAGAACAGCATAATATGCAATATTTGTGAGGATATAAATAACGGTACAAATAGGCATCGATATGTAGATAGCATTTGGAAGATTCCTGAAAAAAAGTAATACAAATTAGTATAACATGTGCAACAAGTGGTACATTATACATCAGCTTGTATTTGTCTCAACTGTTTTAAGTTTTACGAATTATTCTACTTGCATATATTGGATTTCAAAACTATTGTATTATAATTGACATCATCGAAAAGTCGCCAAATCCACAAAATAAAAGTTGAAAATGGAAATGATACAATTTCCACAAGACTTCATATAATTCATAAATTTTACAGTACATAATTTTGATTTTTTTCTCGTGAAATCTTGGCCACAGCCCACAGCACAAAAATACTATTCTTCAATCTCAGTTACTTACATACCTGTAGGGGTCTTGTAATTCTTCAACCATAAAGTTCAATGTATCCCTGTAATAAACATGCATAAACAAATTGATTCAAAACAGAAAATTCAAAAGGATATTTTCACTGTCTATAATACACAATCACACATTCTGATTGGTCGATGGATGAGAAGACTGGTACAACTTTATTATGCCTTCAGTTGAAATTTAACAATAAGCAATATTTACCGGTTGGAAAAAATAAACTAGACTTGATGTCTAGGTCGAATATCAGTATAGAACAGTTGCCAGAAATTTCCCATGCTCATAATTGTGGTTAACCAGTACCCATTAAATTTTAACCTGGGTGAGATTTTTCAAATGTACATTCTTAAAAATGAATAGAATTTTTGGAAATTACGAATTACGTACAATTTGAAATCCAGAAATATTCATATGAAGGCTAAATTTCACCAACCAGAATACATTTTGTGACCCATTCAAATGACAAAATTTGAAATTTTAATTTCAATATAGCTTAAAATCGTCTTAATAAGAAATTACTAACCATCCAGAATAAGCATAAAGACCGGAATACATAGCAAGAGCAATGTTTCCAACATTATCTGTCATCCCAGCCCATGGTTCTCTGAAAGAACTTGAACTTTTTCCTGAAAGTATACAAAAGTAATGTTATATAAACTGGGAGTTTTATTACCGACTATTAGTCAGATCATCATTTGTTAAATTGAAAATACTGTAAAACTAATGAAGAAAATTTGACTATATTTTTCGTGGTTTCATTGCTTTATTGCCTCAAAAAAATGAAAATGTTCAATGCTAAAAAACATGATTACCAACTAAGAATTAAAAATCTGAATTTGGATGTTCAAAGTCCAAAATTCTTTATAATTGACCTTTTCTGTAATTTATATTAGCTTGTGGTATAGCGTAATTATATGTTTTGTATTACAAGGTAATGCCGTCTGGATTACTTGCTTATATGTATGATTAAAATTGATTTATTCATTTTTACTTTTATAAAATATGAATAAGCATTCAATTTTTAATCAGCATGCTTATCTTTTCAATCTGTTATGTCTAGGATTAGGAATGAGAGCTTTTTCAAAAGATGATCCAGAAATATATCAAATCCTGCATAAATACAATTTGTTGTAATACAATTATAAATAAACTAAAATTTGATCATTTGCATTTTTCAAATTTACAAATATGATTGTGTCGTAATCTTTTTGGAAAAAGTGTGGCTTTTTATATATGGATGGACGTTGTTTTTTTGTTCTCTTGAAAAGCATATCCAAATTCATGCAACCTTTCAATATCATCCCTTTCAATATTTTTTGTTTACACATGCCCACAACGTGGCCAATTTTCAAAGACATTTATAATGTAGTTTCCTCAATCAATATATCCATTTCCTTATGTATGCAGAGAGTTTAACAATAAAAATACTACAATCTTTAATATTTAATATTACCAGAATTTCGTAGAAATTTATTAAATATAAAAATGAGAAGCTCAATAAACAAAGAAACGGAACAAACAGTATGTGATGAAAAATATACAATTTTGCGGTAAAAGTCGTCTCTTGTTAAGTATGGGTCTCTAGAGAGATGATGTTTTGATATCGATTGGGTTTCTGCAGGACATAACTTGTAGTTGAATTACGTACGTCTGAAGAAGTTTGACATTGATCAAATGAAATATTGCAGAAATACAGAGTTTTACTCCTGAACATAATTTTGTCCAACAAAGTACCGGAATCGAACTATACGTTCCCTATTTTGAAATATAGGATTCAGCTGCATGAGAATGTTACCTGAATTTTACAACTACTGTAAATTTATATAATATCGTTGACGTAGAGTAGAGAGATATTGAAAAATGTTGTTCTGTTATCAATCATATAATATCCAAACATTTTTCTAATTGTATGTGAAGTGAATTCACATGCACCGGTATTTGAATACTGTCGAGATGTTAGATGCATTGTAACATAATTAAATCTATCCCTCGGTCAACATTAACTAACTAACCATGTTCAATGAAGAACAACATCCTTAGTAACCAGTAATGTGATGATGTATTCAAACGATATAAATGAATACTTATCGAAATGACATATGTAAAGCGATGATAATGATATCAAGTACCTGAAGTAGTTTGAAACAAAATCAATCTATATCTGTGGTGTTTTGATAATCTAACAACAGGTGGTACAAGTATTAACAATCAACCACATAGTCAAAGCGTAATATGAAAACAATCATTAATAATATTGTTCTGTTACTTCTGTATTATGTTTATTAAACGAGGTCTATTTATACCTACTGAAGATAACTGGAAAATGGAGTATTTTTCATAATTGAAGTTTATGAAAAAGAGTCATTTTTTATATGGGTTTATAATCAGGCATAATATTTGGGTACGCCATATAATTATTATTATAATTCTGACTGATTTTCACTGTACCAAAAAATATAGTTCGGATCGGATTCGGATCGGAATTCTATTATGAGTTTCCTTGATTAATAAACTGGGTTCAGATGGTACCTCTTTGGTCAATTACTGATGTCAACTAGTAATTTTATTAGAATGCAATGTCCATCTCTGTTATAGGTTATTCCCAAGATATTTCTTTATATTTTACCCAAAACGAATCTAATCTTTGCATATTGGCCACTCAATTAATGCCAAATTGATGAGTATTTTCCAATTTAATTTAGCATGGAGACCCATTGAATATTCTTATTACGGCATCATGACTATATGTAATGAATTGTATAGAAAAACACCTTAGTTAGGAGCATCTTCACATGAAACATATAGAGGCAAAAAAACTACAACACTGAAAAGAATCATACAGTAATACCGGTAATAAAAAATCAAATCTAAGTGAATTTTTGGCTGTTACCTAATCCAATCCAAACGAATCCTGTAATAATGATGACAATCAGTGCAAACACTTTAGCATATGCAAATATATCTTGAATCCTTGTTCCATACCGTACACTTATGCAGTTCATTGCCATGATGAAACCTGAAATTTATGTAAAATGAATAGAATTTCATTGTCATTAAAGTCCAAACCTAACTAAATATAACAACTGCGGGGTAATGTATCTCAATTTTAAAAACATGATAACAATACGTCGACAATTCCCATTTGGTTTCATCAGTTTCCCATCTGACTTTTTTGAGGGTTTTCCCCACAATGTTGAAAAAATAGTGGCAACCACCGAAACGAGTTTCCTATACAATGAATAGGAAAAGGATGAATGGCAATAGCTTCGCTCGATCAACCATAAATATACATACAGTATTCATTTGAATGGCAGGAACCTTTCAAAAACTGGGTTTGGTCAATTCTGGCATATTACTAGGTTCAGTCAATATAGTGATTATTTAACCACAGTAACCATAGTAAATGAAAATGTTGACATTTGGCATAAATCATGACTAGATTCATTTGAGCTATTCAAACACATACGAGATAGAATTCTGCTATTCATCTATCAACATCATGGTGGATTCAAAACATAAAATAACATATCTATTTGAAAACAGATTGATATTTATAAAATTTCTAGTAATCTGTATAGAAATCAGGGTTTCATTTCATGCTTCGTTTGTTACACGAAGCTCTCCTTAAATTTGATAAGGTACTGTTCTGCTGTCACATCACTTATAAATTGACCTGGGTCACTTGTTTGGGTAAATCCTGGCGACAAGCCATCTTTTTTGTCAAAAAATATGAATATGGGAATATTTCAACTCACACACACAAACTGCAGCAAGAAGACGAACAGCATAAAACGGCGGTTCACAAGTAGGAAAGAATGGTTGAATCAGGTAATTGGCAAATGTAATCGCAATTGCTGCCTAGAAATATAAAATAAATGAATTTAATTTATCTTCTACTTTTGTATGTTGGCTTCTGTATTAGTGAAAGTCAATCATAAAATAACTAATGTTAACATGTTACAAGCAAAACTAGATAATTTTATAATAGCTGGGAGACACAAATGTCGAGAGTCAATATAAAGGGGATTACGGATCATGATTACAGTAGTTCATATTTCTACAAAATTCAAAATAATAAAGTTAAATCTCGATAATGTGTTTTTAATAAACTTCAATATGATAATGAGCATGCAAACTTTACCTGAACAGTTGGCTCTATAATAAGTACTGATACCCAGAGTCGGACAAATCCAATCATTGGGCCGAATGCCTCTAAGATATAAGCATAACTAGCTCCCGACTTTACAATAGTAGTTCCAAGTTCAGCGTAACATATCGCACCAATCATTGAAAATACTCCACAAACCTGAGAATATTAAAACTGGGTTAATAAAATAAAGTAATCACAAAATTAAGTAACACATATAAATCAGATTTATAGTTTCGACATTTTTTTGTAAGTATAATAAAATGATCCCAATTTAGATAGATGAAACCTTAGCTTGGAGAAAAGCGAGTCTGGGCTTTTTATCGACATTTTGAACGGAGATTTATATCCCAAAAAAATATGGTCGTAATTTCAGCAGACACAAGTGGGCCGGATGAAACACTTCTATGGGCCGGATCAGGCCCGTGGGCCGTGATTAGCTCACCCCTGGATTACTCAGTACCAGTGTCGGTTGCGCCTTATGTATGAATGAAAAAACAATTTATTGAGCGTACACATTATAACCTGGCGCAGTAACAAAAAAGAGCCGGACATTATACATAGAACTGAGAGTAAATCAAGAATAAATCTTTATCGCACCATATACAATGGGTACACGTGGGCTCGGTGTTGACCGCTATATGACTAATTCTTGATGGAGATACACAGTTCGTTTAATTTTATTGCCAAAGAAAATACAAAAAATGGGCATATATTGAGACATGACTAGGCAGGTGCTCTCTTTTCATTATAATTCATGTACTTTCAACTCAACGAAACATGGTATAAGAAAAAAAGGTGCTCCAGAAGTATGTGTACCAATATGTTCGCTCACTTTACATCAAGATGTGTAAAGGGACTGAAACCTATGGGCAGGGGGTATATTCACTTGGCTAACCTGGTACACATACTACGGGAGTACCGAAAAAAAACACTCACTGTCCATATAATAAGACTTAATCCTGGAGATCCACATTGTTCCTGAACTCCTTTAGGTGTCAAGAAAATTCCTGATCCAATAATATTTCCGACAATTAAACAAACTCCATTAAGTAGAGAAATCTTTTGCTTCAAATTAACAGATTCATTGCTTATATTTGTGACATCATTTGCGTCACCTGTTAAAATTAAAAAACATTATATTAAAAAAATAATACATCATAATCATAAATATGAAATGATACATTTCAGAGACTTAATATGTCAATTTTGAGACGGAAAATATTTTACAACTAAAATGCAAAGAATATCCAAAATTAGTTATATTTGATATTGCCACCACTTCTTTGGCTTGGCAGTACTGCAGTAAGTTAAAATAACCTCATTTAATTAAAAAATTGTTGTTTTGAGAATTTGATAAGTATACTATAGTTAAATAATAAAGGAAATGTATGGAATAAAATATCGAACGAATTTAAACAATTGTTTTGACATATTAATATCTTTAATATATATGTTTATTGATATCGACTTTTAATCTACGCTTGCTTTATGTTACAAGGTATGATTACCCATCTAGTACTTTGTGTCGCATGTTTTAAACTAAATTTTAATCCTGTGCATTTGTCTTGCATATTCTAATATTTTGTTAAAATGGCGAAGTTCAAAATACTTTAGGTCTTAATGTGAATCTATCATTATACAGGGCAAGCTAAAAGTTGTTAAAATTATGAATTTGATGACTGTTACCTTACTCTTAGCATATCAGGTATGATTAACATTGCATATTCTCCAACAAATATATTCTCAAAATTATCAGAAGTTTGAATAATAATATATACTGGTATTCTTAATTTCAAAAATTTGACAAATCCATCTTAACATAATTGGTATATTTCTGAGGTATAGCTTTTTCACAAATTCAGCAAAATGAATGCCCATTTTAATCCAGGAATCGAAAAGGCATTGGTAAGTAATTGAAAGTAAATTTTTTTTACCTGATGTAAGTCTTTCATCAGATTTCTCAGGCATATCGTTGTTATTTATTTTATAAAACAGATAATTCTGTATGTGTTATCCAAACTCCAAAGTCTGTATTGTATTTCCAAACTGATTAACTGAGTCTGGAAGCAGTTTGACAATTCGACAGTTCAGAGTTCAAAGTCCAAGTTGCTTGAGGAACAAGGTCCGTTTTTAATTTTTTTTTTATAAATCCACCACTTAATTGATTGGGAACACAGGACAGCAGGATGGAAGGTCCCTCGATGAGATAGATTATGGAATAATGTTTGAAGGAAAAAGATGAATCCAAACTTCTGCAATACCATAAATCAGTAAATACAATATACCGTACTATATCTGTATATGAATACAGTAATCTGAAAAATTAACAGAAAGTTATTAACTACGGTACAAGATAGCAGTCCATTTTCTGATACCCCAACACTTAGGTAAGTCTTAAAGTTGATCCATCTTTCGCCAAACTCTGTTGCGTCATATACCGGTACCGCTTCAGTAAACCCTCGCAGTTCGGAAGTTGGCTTGTTGCCTACGGCGAAAATAGTAGTAGCCTAACCGCCATCATACTATTACAACAGACAGATCAAGTTTATAACTTCTGAAGTTGACTATTGTGACATCCGTAATTACTGACATTTGAACTGATAAGCCTATTATTTAAAAACAATTTGACTTATAATGAACAATAAATAAAGAAACAAGGTGAAAACAGCCGCCCTCTACTCGCCCGCGCTCGCGGTTGGATAGGTACCTAACTATTCAAAAGTCCTCACACGTGGATACTATTACACGCCTTCATCACACCCCTTTTGAACCGTGGATCGCTGTCAAATATCGCGACGATACTACTGTATCAACATTCCACACATCGACATTCCAAAAACTTTAAAAATATATTACAATACTTACATTTAATAGTACATGATAGTTATATACTTCTTCCTTTTCAACTTAAAAGTGGCGTAAAAGTTATTGACACTGGACAATTTCATCTACTTCTGTATAATATTCAAACCCACCGGCAAAAGCATCAGTACAGCACGGTACTTTTGAATAAACTTCCTTCACCAACGTTGGCTATCGTTGAATTAACGTAATCCTGCGAAAATGAGTACATCCTTTTCGAAACCACGCCAGCTTATTCGCGACCGGTTTTATTGTTGACGACATATTAAGGTCGAGTGATTCGTTTTATTAGCAATTAGTTGACGTCACTCATACATCAGTGTAGTAAATTCCATTGTATTTAGTTTACGAGAGATAGGCTAGTTTGCCGGTACTCCCGTAGTGTGCGTACCAGGTTAGGGTTAGGCCATGATTTTATTCCGATTTTCCTTATTTTAGTTCCATTACGAGTTCGGGACTGTTTGCGTTAGATAAGGGAATATACCCCCTGCCCATAAGTTTCAGTCCCTTTACACAACTTGAGGTGAAGAAGGCGAACGAAATTAGTTACCCTTACCTCCATATTGCTACACACACTTCTGGAGTGCCAGTTTGCCTATATATCGTATGTCATAGTCGAGTTTATTTTTTCCCATTCAGTAAAAAATAACATACGAAATTAACAAAATACAAAACTGAAAACAGATTTTATTATACTAATTAAAAACAATGTGATATATTTCTCAAATATATATGTGCAATAATTTCGACTTGATTCGCGATGGAATTTTTATTTTTTTAAATAGTTTCTTATTATGAGGCAATACAGAGGTATCCAATCTCGTCGAGGATCAAAAATAGCCTTGTGACGAAGATCATAAATGTGAAAATATATATCCCATACGTCACATTTTTGCCGTGCTTGATATTCTTGATCTATATTGTAGCAAGTTTAACAATTCTAATTATGATTACTGAAGATTTTCCATATCTTTATGATTTTGTGCTTAACAAAAACTACGTAATGTATTACAATATTTTTGTCGGTAAACATAAAAACGTTTATTACTAATAAACTCACCATTGAACAGCTGGTTACCCCGCGAGGTGTTCCCTTGGGAAATGGTTAGGTGCGAATGGATTCCTGGAATTACAGCCGTCACAAGAAGTCCAAGTTTATATTTTCGTATTCAACCATTTTTACACGTCATCTTCACATTTTTCAAAAGCAATAAAACAGGGGTGTGCAACAGGCGGCCCGTGGGCCACAGCCCGTCCGTCAAGTCAATCAGTGTGGACCTTGTCAACACTCAGATTCTTCTCCATCAAGCATACAATCCTAATTCATTGCTCTAAGGCTAAACGATTCTCTTCTCTTGTCATCTGACTAATAAACATTTGATAAGTCAGTTAATTAAGGGTTGCTAAAACATATGTAAAAGTTGATGTTAACAAACTATGGGAGAACTCAAAATTTCAAGTGTCCCACTAAAATGTTAAATAATTCGAATTCTGCATTGTGAGTATTTTTTTTATTTTGTTGTGTACACGGAAAAACTAGATGCGGCTCAGCTAGTTGTCTGAAGTTGTTTATATGGCCCACTGACAAAAATATTTCACGCCCCTGCATCAAAATATCTTCTGCTTGATTTTACATGTAGGCTACACTGTAATATAGTATATAAGTTTAAAGTAATAATTGTAAATAGCGCATATATGGCCAACCTTATCTACTGAATGTGTCAAACATAATAATTTTAACATGAAAAAGTATAAGTTTATGTCGACTGCATAATCAGTATAACAGCGATAAAACATTGATAAAAACAAATATATAAATAAAAACTGATTATGAAATCAGGAGGGCAAACAAAACCTTAGATAAGGTTTAGATTAGAACGTGAAAAATAAAAGATGAAAGGTTTTGCCAAAGAGGTAGGTGTTCACTGAGCTAAAATTATTAAATTAATTCATACACACTCACACGCACAGACATACAACCGCAGAGATATTATGAAGTATATATAAGAATGACAAGACGAATACTTACGTGAAAAGGGATGTTGTTCATTGATTTAACCAATGTCTGCATCAATCAAAAACTTTCTGTTTCCTTATTCTAACTGGGTATTCTGGTTGGGATTGTGTGATTTAGAGCTTTACACATGCGTCAGTCGCCAGTTTCTGGTTCTCAATTTTATAAATATTCAAGCATGAAAATATGGATTCACGTGATTATGAACACCGAAATATGTTAAGACAAATCATTTCATGGTTCAAAAAACGTTTAGGGAGATTTATACTTTGATTATGTTTAGCTCTCGACTTCTAACCCCTCTCAAGTAACTAGCATCGTATTGGGGTTGACTTACGTCTATAAATTTAATTTTCTAAATGACACTTTTTCAAAAGTCTATCATCCCCATTTCAAAATTGAAATTGAAAGTTTTCACTTTTAGACAAGATGGCAATTTTTAACCAAAAAAAAAGTTCACGTTCTGTTTTTTTCTTCAACGAATCAAGCTTGCGAATTGTTGGAATACGTCCAGAATATTCTGGTCTAGGTCGGCATTGAAAAGAAGGTTTTCCAACGTTGACATGTAGATCTGTACAGTCTCTTTGTGCATCAAAAATATTTGTTGTAATCTGTCAATGGTATATTTATACCAAGGTGTATTGAATTCTTTGCCTGAACTTCTGCATCTGACCAGATGATCAGTCAATATCATAATGAATCTCTGGAATATAATCAGAAACAAATTTTTTTGTTGTGCTTTTGTTGTGAAACACGACCTGTACAAGTTCCTGGAAACGAATAGGTCATCTTTTTGTTATGTCATAATTGTCGTTACAACATTATTACGACAGCTGCATACCCGTATACAAAAAACACTATAGCATTCCACTTATTGTTATATTGAATTTGGCCAGTGGTTCGACCTACCTACATAGAACATTCTTGTACCGTGGATGAAATTTCATTTGTGTACCCAACAATAAATAATATCATATGTATAATTTTATCTAATATCCGAATGTGTCCAATTCTCGTAACGCGCGATTTTCAAAAATATAAAGAAAAAATGATGTTCGATATATCGCACTATTCTACGTTTTCGACTAACCGCCGTTTGTATTTCATATGCAGTAATGTCGATACTTAGCCAGACGGTTGCGACAATGAGCTATATTGAGAAACATCGAGGAAGCCGATGAAGCGTGACGACCAGAGGAACAAACAAATGAGGTGTTAAAGTTGTCATTATTGTAATTGTTAGTTAGAAATATATTTTTTACATTTTTTGCTATTAAAATCAAATTAAATATATCAGCAATGGCGTACTAACGTTTTTTAATTGATTTTTTTTGGAAAATTTTGTTGACAACGACTATATTTAAGAAACTACTGACAAGACTGATGTTCAGTGACTTTTTATATTAACCACAATCATATATCAGCTGCATTCCATTTCCACCCTATGAATGAGTAAGGTCTTAACAAGTCTATTCTGATTAGAAGAATCGTCACATCCGGGACGCTTTCTGTTTTGAAATGGCCTTCTTGATAGACAACGCATCGTGACGTGGTTGACGCATCCGCGTTTCGACTTCAAACGAACAGTTGACTTTTCCTGCCAATCAGGACATTTATTTGTCGCCGGATTTGGAAAGTATGTACATGGTATTGATTTTTTAAACTATAGTGGAAATGAATGTGATAGTAACTCATTGATAAAATTTTCGTGATGGTATTTTTAGCTTCTTTTTGTACGGCATGATTAGATTTTTAAAACAAAGCTGATGTTCAGTGTAACTTGAATACTAGAGATATAGGTCCATACAGGGAAGAAACAAGTTTGCGCTAGCCATGCATGATCACGCCAGGAGGGTTAGTTTTTTTCATAGCCATACTCGAACGTACATTATGAAACGAAATAATTTTGTTGTAAAACCGGATAATGTTTCATAGTTAAAACGTATGTTTCAGATTTATGAAAATATGGAGCGATGACGTTTTTACATTTTAAAATAGGGTGCATTATCATTTTTACTACAATATAAGAATGCATTTGAGCTGATTCAAAGAGCAAGTACGTACATTTCTATGAAAATAAACTTTTTCGTGTCACAATTAACGTAAAAACTATACTATCTGCTATTTTTATGGTTTTATATTTTTTTAGGGTCAAGTCGGTACATTTTAACAATTAGTCCAAAATTTCCAAAATTTTTATTTGTGTATCGCTAAATCTTAACCGAGAACGATTGATCCAAAGCAATAACGGTTCGGGTGGTGTACCGTGGTAAACTCTCATCAAATTGCAATTAATTATTAGTATTGATCTGAAAATTTCTATACGTGTATGTTTTCAAAGATTTGCGTGAGTTATTAGGTTGAAAGTAGTCTTTATTTAGTAAACGAGTAATCAGGGAAGGAATAGGCTAATCTCTTTTTTCGCTTTCATCAGGTTTCAACAAGCCTAAATCGTCAGATATTCCATTTAAAATTCACTTAATAACACAAAGAAAAGACAAAAATTCAAGTGGTATTTTACAGTATATTGCCGGAAGTTAGCTTTATTATTGATAGACCAGGGATGGCAGCGCGTAGAAAAGTCTTGACTTTATCGCCTTCTGTATGTAAAGTAAAGATGCTGTAATACGGCCGTTATTTACAGTCAGATTGAAGCATACCATAAAGTTGGCTAGTTTTGAATTTCAAGTATGAAATTAATAAACATTTAATGGACTTTATATTGAGTCCAATTTTTGAATATTACTACGAATATAGGCGTTTTGGTCGCGTTTGGTTCTACCTTCGAAAACAAATTGTGACAATTTTAGAGTAGAGTTTTCAATTTTGCATAAGATGTAAAATACTTATGAATTTCAATTACTATAATATCATCATTTCATGACTGTTATAGCCTTTACATATAGGACAGTTAGAAAGGCCGGAAGATGACTTCATCGGTGCTGATTTAAAGGGGAGCGAACGTCTGAGCGAAGTCCTAAACCATATCACGCTATGAATAGCTTCCACACTACTCTTAGCAACAGCCAGTCAGACCACGAAAACAGTCGGGGGATGCGTTACAATTGTGAAGTGATCGTTTTCTATATTATAGTGTGACGCTTAGCAACTGCTGTCCAGTTTTATGCAGCTAGAAAGATTGTAATTTTCAATTTATTTTATGATGTGAAAGGGTGTCATAGAAAACGAGTGAAATCGACAGCCTAATGTTACGGTAATTGTGCTACTCAAATATTGGGGGTAGAATGTCTCTGAAAACACCAACTTTTTTGAAGATTTTGAGAAGTATCCAGCAAGACGTTGCCAGATGTAAAACAGGACAAGGAATGGAGAAAAGTAATTAACATGAGTGAAAGGCATGTAGGCATATTAACATATGTGGCAGTGTTTATTCACTTACTTATTAAAAACGCCTTAAAAATAATAAAACATACCTTGTTAAAAATACACAGATAACATTCTTTATCAAAACCATAGTAAACTTACGTATATTCTAGACCTATTTAATTGGTTTGTCGTAAAAAATCTGCATTAAGTTACATGTAGAAATAGATGAAATTCTAATCTTAATTACTGATCATCCATATCTTGCTAGTATTAACAAATCGTAGGGTAATTACCGAAAAGTAACAGTGAATCTACATATTTTTATTCGACATTAGTCAGTGTAACGTCATAATGTTTATGTAATGACGTCACACATCACGCATCTTACAAAACAAGTAATGTTTTGACATATTGTTACGTAATTGCTTGCTGCGCGTCCGATGCTTGTTCGCATTTCATTCATAAATTGACATTAAAACATGCTATTAGGATTAGGAAATCAGAAGCGAATTTGCTAGTTTTAATTTCGGGAATAGATTTTGCTTATGATTCGGAACCTAGCTTTCAATATTTGCAGAAATACCAATATGCAATGTATCATTCATTCTCTCTTCCAGAGTCAAGCGTTGCCATTGTATTAATTTATTTTACATACAAAAAATTAAAGCACCGCTTCGACTTCTAAAATTTATCTCTTACTTGAGTATCAGTTATCACATTTAACTGCAGAAAATGATCTTTTAACCGATGGTTTCTGTGCTCAAATATACAGTCAATAATTTATTGCTAATTATTGGGATAAAAAACTTTTTATCCACATATTAGTTGCTATTAAAAAGACATTTTAAACAAGAACAAAACGGAGTAATATGGAATACTGAGCGAAAATAATATTGGATTTATCGAATTGAAAATTGAAGAATATTGTGAAATATTGAAACAAAACGGAAATATGACGTCACTAAAGGAAATGTGTGAAATGGTTGATGACTTCGTCGCCAATGGTGGATCGACGACGAAAATAGATGGATCGAACGAATTCTGGAAAAAGTTAAATAAAGACTCGGCAGTCGCTCAACTGTAAGTCATTGTATTGGAATTTGTAACGCTATATGAGAATGCAAAATTTGAACTGTTTCTCCATCGTTTTCAGTTTGTCATGTATGGTGTAATACTGCTTTTGTTATCCAACAATGAAGGTATTTTGACATCAATTATATTGATGAATATACATGTGGTTGCCATTACGAGTCGAATTGTTAGATAACGGCCAACCTTCAATATAAATAAAGAGGCTATAACGGAATTGTGATAAATTGTCTCGTTTTTGTTCCATTTTTTTTACACTTTTATGGTAATAAAGTGTCATCCGTCAGTTTTGTTACTTTTATTATAAATATAGTTTCATCTAAATGACAAATTCCAGTGAAGTTCCAATTTATATTGATCAAATTTCTCGGAAAATATTTTGCCTCGTATACCACTAGATTGTTCCAACTTAAATTAATCGATTAATCTTTATGTTATGGAGTATGTATGACAGTAATGATGAATATTTGAAATTACAAATAAACCAATTAAAATTGACAGTTTTTCTAATAGCACTCTATTTTTAATTCGACAATAATAATACTGTCATATTTTTCACTTTTCGAAATTTTTCATTCATGGTTGTCACTTGCATAACGTCTGGGCGGAAATGACATTTCAAATTATGAGCCCAAATTTGTTTTAAAAATTTATCAATGACAAAAAATGAATAATAATAAGGTGGGGTATATTGGTTAATTGGTGTGATCTAACAGAACACTAGACCCTGAGTTAGAACATGCCTATAGTTAGTTCACGTCTGCTAGTTCATCTACACGCACCAAATACTTGGTATCCATACTTGGTCAAAGTCGTGTATATATGTACGGGTTCAAAGAACAAATACAAATCGTTTTGTGATCAATAACATGACTGAGAATACAAGGCGAAACCGGTGATGAACGGGATCCAAAAATCTCGATCAAAATAGATCACAATTTCGAATACAACTTTTGGATAACAGTCGGAGCCGGGCTGCTGATTTTATAATATCAGAGTCTTACACGAAGATTCAGATTTGACACTAGGTTTTATACTAGTTTACCAGCATGTTTATATATTCTTTGTCATTAAAGCCTAAGATTCTCTGAATCTTCTAAACAATCTATTGTACAATACTATCTGCTTTAAGTATCCCTCGCCCACTATCTAAAATAGATCACAATTTTCATCGGCACTCCAGAAGTGTGTGTACCAATACGAAGGTAACTAATTTTGTCGCCTACTTACATCAAGTTGTGTGAAGGGACTGAAACTTGTGGTGTATTCACTTGGCTAACACAGACAGTCTCCGACATCGTAATAGAACTAAAATAAGGAAAATTGAAATAAAATTATGGCCTAACCCTAACCTGGTACACACACTAAGGGAGTACCTTTTCATCACATTACTGTTACATTCCATACTATAGCAATATTTTTATTGTATAACTGTACTACCCAATTGGTACCATAATTATAAAAAAACATGTTCGACATGAAATTTTACAGTTCTGTGTCGTAAACCTGACCAGATTTGTGCATTATTTCAATCAATATTTCTCCCTATAGGCTTCAGAAACGAGGGTAAAGGTTAATCAAATTGACCAGAAACAATATGGTTGTGCCTTCTAACGTATTATATAGATCTTAAAGTTCTAACGAAAGTAAGGCGGACAAATTACAATAGCAGTTATTATTATCACAGTTTCTACTTATCCTACGGTGCAGAAACTTATTGTTCGGAGGTTGCAGGATGCGTGACAATTTTCGGTTGAGGCTATTAGTGAAACTTTTACTTAAGATAACATGTAGATGAGAAAATGACGTTCGGAAATGACGTAATCATGACGTAGCGTCAATATGGAACAGTTGCGAATAAACGATCAACTAGTCAGAGTAATTTAAATACGCGTAGGTTGCGTGATGACAATAAAATTATGACGAATCAAATTTTATGTAGAGTCATAATAATTACTATTATTTAACGTATCATGGTATAATGTCAAATGTTTGTTTCGATATTAAAACAAGGACATTTCTATCCGTCTAAAAGTAGAGTTCCCCTTTTAGAAATATTACTCTCTCACGAATACTTGAGATTTTAATTTGCCAGATGATATAATTTATGCATATACAAGTAAGTATAGCAAAAATGATTTTATGAATTCCCAATCAATCACACTAATCCTTATAATAAAGCAATGACAAACGGCAATTAATTAAAAGTCCAAACTGTTATTTCTATCGATATTCAAATAAACTATTATTTTTTTGTAATCTGTTGTTGAGAAGGAACAACAATGACCAATATCCGAAAACTCACTTCCAAGACAATTTTTGACGCTTCAAGGTATAAAAATGCGCCGAGTTAGTCTTAGTTATAGGTAAAATGCAAATACTGAATGAAAGTCAACGATGACTGTAACCAGAATTGACATAAAATGATTAGATATTTACCCAGTTTATGATTTCTAGACCAATACATTATACCAGCGATCAAACGGTGTTCCACAGAATACTGTAGTTCCGCAAGCTTCTTCGGAGCGTTCCGCGCTAAAGGGATCGGAATTATCTCGGTCGTAACTCGTTGGTTTGTCTCTCAACTGGCGACAAACAGGCGGACAGGTCTCGCGTCAGTCTGGAAAGCATGGAGTGTTCGTTAATCGTCGAATATCGTTAACCGTGGGCATAACTATTTGATTGTCAAGTTTGCAGCAAACTTTTTAATTTTATCATATAGGCTTAATTATTTGGTACCCAAACAATTTTACCTTCTGATTTCTTTGTGTTTCACGAGGCTAGATAAAAAGGTAAAGTGTTCCGGGCAAGAAGTATTGAGAAACGCTACAATATACCATATAATTTGGGATGAATTTGCCTATGTGAATGTCTGTTCATTAATAAATACCGTACACTTCTAAAAATCCAAATGGTCCGTGAGTTTCATGCAATTGCCTTGTAAAAATAACCGTTAATACAAATTAAGCAGACATCATCGATATTCTTAAGTCATTCATACTTGTCTGATAGATTTTCTATTAAATACACTTACGGCACATGTATGGCCAATGTATACATCAATTTCCTTTTATGTATTAAAAATAATTCATGCCAGCGCAGAGGGTTAAAATGAGTCAGGCAACATTGCATACCGGAAGTAGTGAAATGCAGTAGGCTATATGTAGAGTGAGGCTGACACTTCCAAAAAAATAAGTAATTGAAAATCCATTTTATTAGCTACTTCATACACATCAAGTACGTTTGCAGGTAATATAAGTTTTAAAATGATTACAACATTCAAGTATTATTAACATTTTTATTACTAGTGCTGTGATTAAGTTATGACTCGACACCAGGAAGACCAATATGCACTATAACCTATCAATTACCTTAGAATCATGTGATCGATTTTCTCGGACAAATTAATATCGAACATTTCCTTTATGGTCATGGAAACTTAAAAATACCAAACTGTTTTTGTTGCCTTCACTTTCACGTCGCCGACGATGACTACCACGAGGTAGTGGGTGCCATAGTTTGGTTTGAAGTCACCGAACTACGGCGCGTGGGCCGGATCTCCGTCACGACCACGAAACAATTAACGATCATGACAAACTTACCTCCGAGAAAACACGTTATTATCGACTTTTCCAGTATTAAAAAACTGACTGCGTTACTGATCGGGCCCGTGAATCCTTATATTTATTTGGCCCTTTAAAAATAGTTTGGTCACCCCTGGTCTAGTGGAAAATGTGTTAGATTTGACATGTTGTCATCACAAGTACAAGATCTTCTTCCATATCAGAACCTCGTCCGCACTTTAACCTTTGTACCTTTATTTAATCGACTTCAATGTGTAGTGATTGGTATTAGCATTAATATTAAACGTAGCTTCACAGGATATACCATGTCGAGGAAAAATGAAACCCACAACGACAATGATTCTGTTTAATCCAGACAGTTTTTCGTTAAAATTGAAATAATACACGACAGAAAACCATATGATTTTTTCATATGCTCAGATTTCAAAAACTTTTAACCTGAAATCAAGATGAGTCATCATCACGCATACTAATCAATAGTAGAATTGCATGATGAATACACCATATTGCACAGCAAACCATCGCACGATATTTTCAATAAATGATATAATGATTATACCACAATGAAAATATTCAACAGAAGATCATAAAACAATGCATCTATGACTAATAAACCAAAAAAGCATTTTTTATGGAATTTTTCCAAAAGTATTACTAAATTAGTAAGGCATCATTTACCAAACAAAAACATAGACATCAAACATAGTCACGGCGATAAAAAAATAAATTCACTGTGATTCTCAATTTTATATGTGTCATGCTTTAAGATGCACTTGTACTTTGTTACTACATGTTAACACGGAAACAAAATTAGACTAATTGTCCCTGTAAATTAAAAATATATTACTTGAGTGAGGAATAAGCATTAATTTTAAAATGATACAGATAATTTATAATCTGCTTCCTATAGTAGAGCAATTACGCTCTAAAGCAGCGGTTTAATTTGCAGCCTTCAATATCTATTTTGTTCATGTACGAGAGGATATATTTATCGATGATCAATATAATTTAGTACATTACCCATAACACGTTCACAGCCGTTCCATTTGTCTATTTCAGGTACACAGAATGTCTCATCTACAAGTATATTGCAGTATCGTATGGATTAGGTAAGTCCGTAATAATACCTAGTATATATGTGCTTTTGTTAAGTTGAGACAATCGCAGGTTACTATATACTGTTTACTTATTCGCTAATGGCAAAAACTCGATCACATCTTTTCAACGGTTTCCAGACCGGATAGCGACTGTCATAATGGCGACTTCATAATAGCGACGTAATCAAGTGAGCGACTGTCAAAACAGCGACTGCCATTATGGCGACCGCATTAAAACAGCGACTGTTATGATAGCGACTTAACGTGTTAGGGACCTCTCTACACACGTATGCACACACAAACAGGCAAACAATGCGTAGTGGGAGATTGAAACCAAAAGGGACTTTAAAACAATATTCCATTTGGACTAACCCTAACTTTAACGCTATCTTACCAGTCGCTGTTTGACAGTCGCTCACTTGATTACGTCGCTATTATGAAGTCGCCATTATGACAATCGCTGTTCTGACAGTCGCTATTTGAAACCCCGAGCCCTTTTCAACATACTTTTGTTTCCCGTTATTAGGAGGAAGACCATTGTTCAACACTTTAAGTCAAATCAAGAACATATCTGCCCCGGGCAGCCCCCACCACAAAAGCGATCTATCGGGGAAATCCCCAAGTGCGAGTCCTCGGGGATCTTTGACCCCTACCGGGAAGTCAAAAAGAGGAAGTGGAAATTTTGATCAGCCCATACCTGAAAACAAACCAACACCAAAGAAAAAATTCAATATCAGTCGAAGGAAAAGTGAAGACTCAAAAAAATCAAAAAAAGAATTGGCAATCGAGAACTCGGATTTTAGGAGAAAAAGTAAAAGTGTGTCGAAGCCTAATATCGTACAGGAAACAGAAAATACAAGAGGTATTTGACAAACTTCAGTTTCACAAGGACTAACTTGATTTTAAATTTACTAATTAAATTATTGTCCCCTTCCAACTACATATAAACAGTCGATACAGTGAAATAAGTGCAGTATACATTTAAACAGTCGATAAAGTGGATTGGGTGCTCCTGAAGTACGCGCACCAAGATGTCGCATAAGCTGAACCCTAATCTGGTACACACCCTGAGTCCTGGTTGTGCTCCATCTTGGTGCGCATACTTCAGGAGGTCCGTGGATATACATTATGCAATACAGATCCCAAATATGCATTTTTTCCAAGTTTTATCTTGAGGAAGTCATACAAACGACACGTCTCAAATATTCTGTGTCCCAAACATGAAAATTCACACCAAAACTAGCAACAATTCATATTAGCGTTGTTTGAAAATGATCTATTAGTATTCTAAGACTTCTTTAATAAATAAAATTGAATATAAGGATTTATATGATTTTCTTTGCAGCAGAAAAAGAAAATCTTCAACAAAAATCAGATTTGGATAGTGTTCTCATATCTCTCACATACCTGGCTAAAATGTGCGATTTGACTCGTTGGGATTTTACAAAACTGAGAGACGTTTTTCTCATTTGGAACAAAGGTTAGTCTGTTTTTTCATGAAAAAGCGCAACAACGATGAACGTGATAAATATTATTAAACTAAATGACTTTTTTATATTATTCAGCGCGCGGTTGGGAACAGAATTCTTCAGACTATGAATTCTCTGTTATGAAAAGATTCTCGATGGCACCGGCAGCTAATGTTTATGATATGAATCATTTAACAAAATGTGTGAACGACGTTTTATCTTCTGTTAGTCATGAAACGGGAGAATTATCAGTTTGCAAGAGTAAAATTGGTAAGTACCTAATTGAAATCGAGAATATAAATTATGAACTATGATGGATATGTAAAGAGTGACCCAAAAAACAAAAAGGAGGTCAGTAAGAAAATACATTTTTTTGCAAAGTACAAAGTGAATCATCTTACATAACTTTGCGGCTCTGACTGGAGATGGCGGTGACATAACTCTCCGGCCCCGGCACGAGCGGGCATATTATATGAAATAAAAGTTAGGTGAGCAAACCCTCAACAGACTAAAATCCTGTGTCGTATCGTAATCAAAATTTCTGTTTGCAAGTGCAATGACGTCATAAATGATGACGTCAGTATCTATTGAAAAAGTATAGTCGTAAACAATATTCTATACACTAAACAGTATCTTTAAAATTAGTAATAATTTCGTAAAATAGGGATGGGGTAAAAAAAACTACATCGCAGAATTCCATAGGAAGCTTGGCACAAGGAGTATGCAAAAATACAACATCCATGCGTAACAAATCCTAACATAGCTTAATATGCGTACAGTATTTATTGATATTTTTCTTTCATCTTTTATAAAAATAATTTACAATGAGTCATTTATTTGGTGTTTGTTATAAAAAAAATCCTACATTTTATTATGAAAGTAGGTAATTGTTTAGCTGGTAAAAATTGCTAAAAACAAATAATCCATTACCTATATGATTATGATGCATAGGTTATCTATTTCTTGGGCCTGCCTGGTATAAACCTAATTATTGTGTAAATATTATTGCAAGCCAAAATTTGATCTACGTAATATGCCATTTAATTTTGCTAAAATTTTTTTACATTTTTTTTTTGACATACTCGTCACCTCACCGCTCATTACGTAAACCTATAGATAGTATAGTTCGTACGAGTACTTTAATTGTTTCAGTTGATTAATAGTAGAAAAAAATATGATTCGCTGTAGTATAGTATGCGTAGGATGCAATAACATAGTAGCAGTTTATGTAGTAGGAGTTTTTGAAATGCGGAGTTAGTCTATACATAGTGAGCGTATGACTTGATCTAGTTTATATTTTTTGATTTTCATGTTACAAAGATATCAGAGAAACCAAAATTTGAGCTTTATATTTAGGAGAGGAATAAAACGGTTCAGTACAAAAGTAAAAAAGTACAGCTGAGGTGCAAGATTTGTCTCAACGTAAGCATTTGAGATAACGAACCACGTCCCAGATGATTCTCTCGTTTTCTTTTTCTTTCTTCTCTGTCTCTCTCCTTATATGTCGGAAGACATTTTGCTGCTAAACTTGAGGTTTAGTGGGGTTCAATCATAATTTAAGTGATATTAAGCAGTACAGTAAAAAATTTCATTTTGATCTGTCATATAATGTATTTTGTTGAATGGTAATTTGTGATGTAACATCGTGATAATTTCCAATAAAACCGTTTCTATATTTAGTAGCGGAAATTCAAAAATAGATTCTTCCAAAATATTTTTTGGGGTTTTCCTCAAGTTTATCACATATAGTTTGAATCAAATGCCGCTCTTACTTTTGGTTAGTTGGATAGTATCTGCTTTCAGCGCTAAAAAATTTGGGTTTGTTATCGCAAAATCCTAATCTAAGGGATGAGATAATAGCAGCTACAGTTTGAACAAACTCGTTTTAAAGCAAATGTGCGGCATGACAAGTTGTGATTCATTAGACTACACCATGCTCATTCATGTATTCCAAAATAAGCCCGGCAAATAGACGTTCTTAAGCTCATTTCGATACGTAACGGAAGTTGTATTCATCCGTGCGTAAGTGGACAACAAGGTGAATATGACGCTTACGAAACTGAATTTTGCAATTTTATCGAGTACGTGTAGGTAATTAAAACAAGGAAACAATATATTACAAGCACACTAGCACGTATACTAACAAAAAATTATGTATATTACTAAAAAAATGCTAAAAATAAGTGACGTCGTAGTAACTTACCTTGAAAAGTATTATGTATGCTTGCCAGAGGAGAGTGGGGTGAGAGAACTAAAACAGAAAGTGGGAGAAAGAGAGAGATATTCACAAAGAAAAAGAGAGAAAGGATAGAAAAATAAGGAGCTTCCTACTTTCTTCACAATCATATATTTTTCTGGGTTCCGGATTATGTGTAATAATTTATAGAACGGTTACAACAGTAATTTCATACATTTAAGCTGATATTTTCATATTTGTTTCGTGCTTCTTTGGAGACACTTGAAGATGAATGTTGTATAAATGCTTAATTAATGTGAGAATAGAATATTTTATATATATATATTTTTATCATGAATCCTTTGAATATTTCATTCAGATTTGAGGCTCAACTCATGTATACATTACACATTTCTTTAAAGCTATATTAAAGATTTATTAATTTATAATCTCGTGTGGAATGGAATTTTATAACACAATGTTTGACAATATTATGAGCGACATACTATTATTTGCCAATGGTACAAAACTGAAAAAGTTTAGATCCAACTCAAATCGTTCTAAAAGTAAAGGCTTGATTCGGAATTTACATGCTATATTGCCGTCATCGGATCCAGAACTTCTAAAAACAATGACTCAATTTACGATACTCATACATAAACAAGGAAAAACAACGAGTATAAAACGCCCAAATTCACGACAAGGTGCAGAAATCTTTTACTACTCGAAAATGAACTTTACTTTTGTATGATAAAAACACACAAGTAAAATCATGTATTAATATGTGATAGTAGATTGATATGTATATATGTATTTTGGTGGCCAAGTTTATTTTATTTTATTTTAAACGACAGGTATGACATCTGAAGGCGCAAGATAAAATTTTTCGAGTAGACTAGATTCATTCATTTGACCCACGTGGTATGCCATAATAATGCTGATAATTTATATAGTAGGTAACTGCAACAGAAACCAATAAGCAAATCATTATCAACGCACATTGTTTTTAAAATACATAACCATTTTTATGTTATGATGACACAAGTTACGCAGTGTGTGAATAAATTCACAATGCAAAAACGAGTTCACGAATGATTCTCTCCTACCGGTATTTCATCAACCTTTCGTTACTTCTTATTATCTCAAGCAAATTGGAGTTTATCTTCATTGAAAGTGCATGCAATTGAGAAATCAGGGGATTTACTGAGCCAAATAATCAAATGAATATTTTTTTCACCAATAACTAGTACCAGTTTAGCACATCATTTCACGCGACATATATGACATATATGGAGTACACTCGAAGATGAATTTATATACCGTGTATTAACATAGATAGGAATATTATCGAACTAATAGATTCATTATTGCATTTGTGTCAATCTTTATACATACATTTTCAGTACATTACGGCTTCCGTGGCATTATCAAATGCAGAAAAAAACATCCAATGTGTTTGGGGTCATGTGAAACACCTTCCTTGGCCACTGTTTATGACAGTTATCCGTGTATCGTTCATATGTGTTAAAAAAGATAGTGCCATTTCTATGCCCCTTATGTACAGTATACCTTATGTTCGACTAAGGACCAGCTATTGATTAATTTTGCCGCGCAGCCTCAGTTCATTTTGACCCCAATAGAAAATATAACCGACTGACAGATTAACGTGTCCGGAAGTTCACATTTCTTGCAAATCAATCTTCGGGATACTCAACTTAAATTTCTACAAGACATAATTAATTTGTTATTCACCGGAAGCATCACTTCCATTTCAATTCTATTTTGATCATAATGTATGTCATTTGTGTCGGAGGTGGATTATACGTAACTGAATATTTATCAGTTATAGGGTCCGGACTAGGTAATCTCTACCTATTCAGCATGGCAAAATATGTAGCTGAAACAGTTTTACCATTATACGCTAACATGAGTCATTTTTTATTTCTGATTAAAATCATGTCAAAACAAAATTTATATTTTCTACTTTCAGTCGGAGAAAGCGTTAAATACTGGGAAATACGTCACAAAATACTTGCCAGGCCGGAAGAAGCTATTTCCGTCATCAAATGCCTGACAGAAGTAGCCAAAAAGGTGAGAACATTATTTCATTTCTAGTTTAAGGTCAACGGGTTTCTGGAATTTAAAGTTTACTTCATCGATTACGATGGATATAGGCACACAAGCAATTCGTGAACTGTCATAAAGATTGTAAAGTTATAGAAAAAAAGTTCAATGACACCTTCAAAAGATTCGACGTTTCACATAAACATTACAAGCCTCTAGTCCAGGGTGGTCCAAGATTGTCGGCTCCGCGGGTCACAAATTTTTTTTTTGCATTGTTCGCGGGCCACAATAGTGCCAAGAATAGGTAAACAGTACAATGCAAAACAAACGTTTTATTGTGCAAACACATAGTTATCAGACATAGCCATCCCAGGCTAATAGAATCCGCATTCGATTTTTAGTTTTCTATGATGCCTATATTGTTAGCATATATTCCTGACCAAAAAGATAGAAAGCCAGATAATAATTTGAATGCCAAGCACGTCATTCAACTTTGCTGGTTGCCTCAGCTAGCCATAACACTAGTCAATTCAGTGACATAAGTGATGTAACAATATGTCAAAAAAAATTCTGATTAATTTTATCACGAAACAACACGAAATGCGATTTTTGATTGCTCTCCGAATGTGACGCGGGCCACAGATAATGAAGCGGCGGGCCACATGTGGCCCGCGGGCCTGGGTTTGGACCACCCTGCTTTAGTCTATAGGTATGCTATATTGAATCGTTATCACTAGTCAATGACTTGTTTTTTATTCACTAAGGATCTAACCATTATTTTTCACTAGTTGAGTAGTGAGCGAGAGTTTTTGAATAGACCTTACGATTTGTACTGAGTGAAGTTTATTCAACACAGCATACCGTTTAAGTTACATTAAAGTGGCCATAGCTGTCATAATGCAAAATTCGTTTTGCTATGAATTTTGCTACAAACAAAGGAGCATAACTGTATTTGTTTGATCTTCATTCATAGTGCAGAATATTCCTATTTTGAAATGTCGGCCAACGAAATCAATTGTTCCCCCTCACAAACCTGAATATCCTGCTTTCGTTTCCGTGCTTTTAGACTACAATACATTTTCATTCAACACAATTGTTACGAAATAATAATGTAAACTGGTAGGCGTTTTGTCTTTCAGGGAAAAACATACTTCCTGTAGTGTATTCTGAAACTACTATATCATGCTCGCGTACTATATAAAATTCTATGTTATTAAAGCCCCAAGATTGACATATCATAATAAAATGATAAATGACTCTAAATTTTATGTTAATTTTACAGATTTTTGAAGACGGAGAGGAAAATAAAATTTTACCGTTATTGCATATTTTATCAGAGACAATAATAATGGTGAGATATGGAAATTTTGTAGACTTATTTATACAAAAAAAAAACTCATAATAATGTATTCATAATGTTATTTTATCGTTCAAAAAACCTGATAAAAATACCTTTAAAAATTTCAGAGTCCTCACACTCCGTTAGAGCTTCTACAAGAATGTTACAGCACATTTGAAATGTTTTATGTTTGGCCGTCTTACGTCGCACATCCTGTTAAGGAAGTATTGGATATGATACAACTTGAAATGAAATGCCCAGGTAAAATATTTTGTATGAAGATACAGTCGTATGAAAATGTCGAACCATTACTATGCGCTTGGACAAGAAACAAAATAACCAAACAGTATTGAATACCAGCTTATCCAGTTGAACAATTGTTGAGAGAGAGAATACCACTTTTGCTATCTATGTTCTGCTTCTATTTGCATTTATACACATTTAAATAATTTTCAATCTAACAATGCATGATATGTATAAGGCCGTTTGAATGAAATATATTTTTCATATAGCTATTACATTCCTTTTGATAACAATGAACCCGCATTCTCGGTGCTTTACGCTTTTACCTCAAATAGAACAAAATAGGTGCACAAAAGGACGGCAACCGAAAAATGCATTGTCGGTATTTGAAGAATGAATAATGTCGTTGGATTTTTGTTTTGGAAATGTTCGCATTGTTGTAAAAAATTGAAACTATAGCATTGGGAAAACACAAATGTAGGCAAATAACTGTCACAAGAAACTACAGTGTTGGACATGGCCCGTGGTATAACTTGATAGCCAATGCTTATTATTTCGACTTCCGAAGTACTTTATACATTCTAATAAAAATAATAATTGGATGAACTTGTAAGACGCCCAGCAATCAACTTTTTGAACGATTTCCAGTGATCATATTCGCATGTAGGCTACTATGTGAATTTGCAATTCATGCCTTATGCAAAGACAGAAAGCTGGGCGCGCTTATATAAGAATGCTGGCGCCAACCATTTCTCTAGCAGCTGAGATTTTCATCAAATATGAATAGACAATTATACTTTCAAATTCGTGTTTTATTTTGAACATTCAAACGTTTTTTTTGTAGAACGGGTTTGCAGTATAACCTAAAGAAGTTTATCATATGTCAGTTACCAGATTGCTAAAATTAAATTCTATAGACGCATGAATCTATAATACTCGTGCTAAGTATTTCTATTTCCCAATATAGAAATTTGGTGTAAAAGTCACGCTTACAAGCGGCAGTTTTTGTATGCATTACTATGATAAGTTGATATATCAGAAGTCATGTATGATCGATTATCACTGAGATTCGGAATATGCTGATGCATGGTAACGTCATATCACGATGCAATAATTTGTTTACTGCATTACAAAGGGTTTTCCTGGGCAGGGCAAAAGTGATGACGCCATACATTTACTCTTGTATTGTGTATATTATTTGCCCGTACAAGATTTATTTATAGATTATTCTTTTTTGAGTGAGATTTACAATATAGTGTTTGTTTGTTACTATTATTATGATTAGTTCTATAAACACATGTGTCGTGTCCATGTTCAAAAATAATATACTTAGTATATAATATAATTAGTATTCAGTTTTGCTTTGGATTGAACAAAAAAAGAAAATTTTATGATCAACACGCATATTTTTCTGGTCATGGCACAACTGACTACACAACACGTTTAATTTTTAAAACACGTTTAAAAAACGTAAACTTTTAAATAAAATTTTATATATACAAATAACAGATTGACACAATTTTGGTATAACCATAATTGCGCAGCACAATGAACATTTCGAAACCACCACTCAATTGTCTTTTTCAATTTCAATACTGATTTTCGTTTTGGTGTATTGAAGCGACAAACGAAATTTAGTAGCGACAAAACAACCGTCATTCGGACCATTTCATTTTTCTGGTTGTTCCTTCAATGTAATTCAACTAACAAATTATATGTAGGGCAATTGACCCCAGCACAATAAATGATATTTATTGACGTGAAAATTTTTGCAGGTCATTTTTATCGGATGATATTTTTCCAAGACAACGAAATTCCTCTGGCTGACTACCTATCAGCTAAAATGCCGTGAGTATAACATTTCAAATCACTGTTCGAGGTTTTGTAGCTATATTTATATTTTAATTTGGTGAGTTTCGATCTGTAGAATCAAGATACATAAACTGTTTTTCGAAATATTCGATAGAAAATGTGATGCATCCATTTACTTGCTTCCTGTAGTATTCATGTTATATATATTTTTAGATCTTCCGAAACCCATGTTTTCATTGACGAAAGTATACCGGAATGTGAAGCTGTTATGGAAGCTTTCGGAAAACTTCGTGAGACTCGTGGATCTTCATCGAAACTAACAGATGAAACCGGGATGTTTCGATACGTAATGAAACATATATTTGAATCAGTGTATGGAGCAGACTGTTGTGATTTGGCAACATTGGAGCAATCTTTAGAGGTTAATAAATTTATTATGATATAATGAAATTTTTCAGCAGTTTTTTTCTTTGTTTTGAATTTTGTTTGCTGATATTATGATGACATTAAACACATTGATGTGTAGTTGGGATGAGTAAGGCATGTCATGTGGCGTGACATCATGTCGCCTTGTCACAATGCGATGCCACCGGATTTAATTTAATGTTAAATGAATTCGATGATAAATTGTCTATGAATCAAATGTTATGTTCAAATTATATACGAAATATGTGTGATATAACTATATATCTGCACATCCTCAAAAACCAAACAAATGAGGACAGAAATCATGAATACCAAACATGGTATTTATCAGCCACGTTGCAACAAAGAGTACATGCTTTGTTGTTCATAACTTATTTTTCATGCGATAATCATGGCTTCTATTTTTACCACAAACTGCTATCTTAAGCATCATCTAGTATAGAAGTTCATGTACAAAAACACTGGAAAAGTAAGACTAAAATAAAAAGTTAGCGGGAAATATTGTGAATAAATAAATAACATAATGTCAAAATTGTGACAGGACTTTATGAACGCCCAGTAACTATATGAATAATATTCATTCAATGCCTGAGATACATCTAAAGTAGATTTTATACATTACAAATGAATTATTTAATATATTAATACATAGAAGAATTGTGTTTAAATTCAGAGTATACCTTCCGAGCTGGTCCCGGAACTATGTCATGAAGCACTCTCGATCATGGAAAGAGCCTCCACCATGAAAACGCACGGAGAAGCACAAGATTTTTTGCGCGTGGAACTAGAAACGTTTTCAGAAAAACTTGTCGATTTTTTAGAAGGTAAATGATGACATAATGCAGTCGTTGAATTTATTGGCATGTAAATTTTGAATAGCGATGAAATGTTAAAAAAGAAATCCATCTAAAATGTCACAAATTTACAGTAGGAGGCTGACTTTGCAATTATCGTTAAAATTGTTTTTGAACCTATATTAATGTTTGAATTTGATATTTCAACAGACAAAGTCGGCGAAAAAGATGCGTCAGATATGGCTGAAAAAGATCCATTGAGTCATCTGAAAGGGTCGGGCCATCGGAGAGTTAGCGTTCTATACGAAACCTGTCGAATTCGAGATCCATCGTCTCCAGCTCGGTCTTCTTCTGTCGGACAATCTGGCGCTGTCCTACCGGGCACCCCACGGAGAAACAATTCGTATTTACGACGAACAGCTTCAGGAAGTTTGGACAATCAAACTGGTGCAAAGAAACTTGCAACAAAAGCAAATTCTCTGGCAAAAGATACTCCAGCAGAGCTGATTGGGTCCAAGGTAAGAAAATAGGCAAAAATTGAATGTAAAGATAAGATAGATAGTAGTATTGCAGTTCACATTCAATATACATCAATGACTCAATAACAAAATGAGAACCAAAATCAATATTTCTTCATTGCATTTGATTTTTGTTGCAAATCTACTATTTCAGACAGTCTCAAATAAGCACAAAAATACAAATGTTCTCTAGTCTGACCCGATACGCTCATCGTGACGTTAATTTTGATCTGTTTCATTTTAATTCTATGAAACGTTTAATTTAATTTGAAAACCACGGCACGGTTTTACACATTCATTTGCCAAGTTCAATTTTATTCATACTACTTGGAATCTGATAAAACGTTGTCTGTCTTTTTTGAAATTGAAAGACCATAAATTACCAAGCAAGAAAATTGACAGTCAAAAATTTGCCTTACAAGCAACCTGCAGTAATGTGCCAGAATGACATTTTTATTTCAAAATAACAAATATCGACAATGCCGCCAGTGTTGTCTGTAGTTCCTTATTTGGATAATATTTGCCAAACATGGTTTCAATATTTCTTCCATTCGTAATTCCGTGATGCCATGCACTTCGTAAAGTATGGAGTAAATCAATAGTCATCATACAAAAAAATTATATTTTGAACATTTCCACAGGTTTCTTTATACACATTTGACAAATCTGAATTGTCTGATACGATGTACGAACTTGTGCGAAACAGTGCGAAAGAATATGTTCAGGAAAAGAAAAGAAGTACAAGGAAAAGCATCGGGAGAAAAAGAGGTAATACTGAAACTGAAAAAGCTTTAGAAATATTACTTTAAAATCATCTTATAAATTTAATTTCATATTTCCATTGCAGTTTTAATTTTGTTTGCAAAAAGTAGTTGTCGCACTTTTAAAAATGCTATTTTGACTCTTTGAAGCAGATTCAGCTCACCTTGATGACCAGGATGCTTATCGTGACAGTGGTGTCATTGACGATGAAGAATCAAATAATGAGACAAGAAATCTAACTACAGCTGTGCAGCATCTTCGCATAGAAGAAACAGAAGAAGAGTCGTACAAAACAAATGTAGTATTACGAAACAAAGGAGATAAAACTCCACTTTCTAACTCTTCCAGTACAGACGATTCAGAAATATCTTTCACAAAATTAGCCGAGGCGGAAGATAGCGATAGTTTTTGGAAAGAATTCAGTGAAAAGGGTTTTGATCAAGAGGAAAATGACGATTTAACATCGTTACTAAAATCAATGACTTTTGATCAAAGAAAATCATTTTTATTGGAAAACACAATAAAACGACGACAGAGTAGTTCGGTGGAACCGGTGCATTCGAGCATAACGGAAAGCGAGATAATAGTAAACGAGAGAGACATACCTCCATGCTCTTCTCCGACGATTATGATTGAACGTAGCGAATCCATAGAGACCACGACATCGAGCCAGATTGAGACGGAGGTATCCGTTGAGTCTGGACCAAATGAACAAAACATTACTATGAGACGAAAAAGAAATGAAAGCAAGAAGTATAATAGGTTATCAAGGTTTGTGCGTAGCAAACGACGATCAATCAGGAAAGACAAAAAGGAAGGAGAATTAGAGACAATTTCGGCCGCAGAATCTCGTGAGCTTTATTTCATTTCAGAAATATGTCAACCAATATTATCCCATTGTTATTTTACATTTAACATATAAACATAAAATTCTGTTTATTCTTGAGTTAAGTTAAATTAGGTAATTGTCCTGCCCCATCTTTCAATCTACCTCAGTCTAATACAAACATAATCAATCCAAAAGCATCAGAATATTAGTGACGAGACAATAACAAGGTAATATCTAGCGGTGTTAAATGTTCACTAAAAAGTATCTCAAAAGTACATCTGATAAGTATTCCTGATCAACAACTATTCCTTTTACTAAGCTCCCGAGCTAGATAACATCATCCTAGTTTTTATTTTTTATCATTTTAGGTGACTCTGTATCTTCGATGTCATCAACACAATCGTCTACAACTTCAGATGAATTAGTTGATGCACAATCATTGCGCACAAGAACAGCTTCAGATCCGGTGTTTGGACGTAAAAAGCGTGAGAGGTGGACCCGGGGAACAATTGGTGCGTCTTCATCACCTCTGATAACTAAAAACAAACGCAGTAAATTGAACGTTGACGTAAGCCCTAGATCTTCCTTCAACTTGAGCATAAGATCACTTCCAGGACATGATAGAACTAGCATTATAGGAAATGATATTTTCACTGATGGAAAACAGCAACAAATGGAAAACCATTATGATCCGACCAGGACGAATAAAGCTTCTACACCCACGGATGGAGGTATGAAAAGGAATTTGTTGTTGAGTATTACAGTTTGGGCAGGGTATTTTATAGTAAGATTGTATTCCATAAACAAAATATAGACTTTCAAAATTTTCAGTTTTTGAAGATAATAGTTGAAATTATTTATTTAATTAGACATTGATTAACGTGATTTTTAACGCCGGTGGAACTTTATCGGCAAATGAATCCAGTCAGCTAATTTTCAGTACGGTTTTTACTGCATCGATTTTATCAAATGGGTTATTCATATTAACTTCATTTTGCAACCAGTTTTTGGGAAAAGTTATTACTCAAACAAACGATAAAAATTAATTTCTGGTGACTTTTGTTATTACCTGGTGTGTCGGTCAGGTATGATTAAACGTGATGCGTAGCTCAAACGCACAGTCCTATTTTAAACTACCTTGCAATAGAAATTTTAAAAGCGTTTGATACTGAATGTATGCTCGAGATATCCCATAGTCCACGCAATTTCCTGGAAACTTGAGACAGCAGTTCCAACTTCGTGCAATACTGACGTCATTTCAAAGCAACAATAGCATTCTATTGCGAGAACGATACCAGTTGTACTGAAAACAATACCTGGCAAACTATATTACTTTATTATACATTGAACGAAAGGTAAAATGTATAGCAGGAATAACTCAACGCTGGAGTTATGCTACCAAACCATTTTTACACGAATCGTTGAATGTTATTTCCTAACTCAATTTGTGACCATATTCATGTACTCTAAATTTAAAACCTCCCCATTGGGTTAACGAAGAAGCAATATCATATTTCATTATGCGGTTATACTGAGTTAGCGTATGCATTTGTAGTTATTCAATAATTGTAATTTACACCAGGATAATTTAGAAACAATTGTTAAAATTTTTTTTACAGAAAGTCCTAGAAAGTCAACGTTTTTGATAGGAGCAGGCGAAGATGACGAAGACGCACGTCGAAGGTAATATAGTAGTTTATTGACTGGGATTTTTTCAATTTTCTGACCGAATTTTTTTTAATAAATTTTATGTTTATATATTTTGCCTTAAAAGCACTTTTTACCTCATATTAATTACACTTGCAGCGTAGCTTAAAATTTTTGAAATACATTAAAATATTTGAATTCGTCGACATACACCTCATAAGTTCGTTCTGGCAAATCATCAGACCTTCCAGCCGTTAGATTTGGTCATATTTTTTATTTGTTGGCCTTGGCTTAATGTTATTCGATCTCGAATTTGTGATCTCAAATTTGATTTATTTTCTGCAAGATCAATTGCATTTCATACTTTGTAAGTTGTTTATTTTATTGCAAGCTTGTATTCACGTTTTTGTGATTTTCAGAATCGATTCCGGAATTGGTCACGAGCACGCTTCTGATGCAATGAGGAAAAGAACGTTTTCTTCCTTCGGCAAATTTCGTGAACCAGAAGACCACGGTATCGGTGGAGTAAAGTTTGCAGTCAAGGAGGCTATGAGGTAGAATCTATAATTGTTTTCGAGAGTGTGAAGCAATTTTTGCAGAAACACGATATAGTTTAACAAAAAAAAATTGTCGAAATGGCGTTCTATTTCACTTGAATGAGTTTTCTCTTCCAAAATCAAAAATGTCTGCATTCGTTTGTCATTTATCTAATATACAGTATTTAAATAATATACATTACTCATCTAGTTTTAGTATATATAATTACTGCAATCATAAAGCAAACGATTAATTTAGTATTGAAACTGGAGCGTTTCCAACAATAACAGACTAACAACTCAGACATGCCTCGCATTGAAAACTTTATTTTAGTCTCTCAACAAATTTTATAACAATCGTACATGGCAGCATAAAAACTGTAGTTCAATTGATTACGCATTCGTTAGTACTATTGATTTTGTACGGCCAACAACTTCACCTCATGTGTACCAAAATAGAACGAATCAAAATAATCTGTATTATAATAGTAGGATGCCATATATATTGCCATCCATCAACATTTCACGGAAGACTGGTGTTAAAAGGGACTTACCATGCAAATTAGATACTGGAAAAGAAACCAGAAATGGAGTCAATAACCTATTGGAAACAACTATTTTTTAAATCACAGGGCGAGCCGTCGTGGTCGAATATCGATTTCCGATGCTTTAGAAGAACGAACCATTCACAAGAAAGTTGTGAAACTTGTATTTGTTGGGAATGACAAGACCGTGGGCCACATGGCTCGGGCCTACTACAGTTTAAGGTAATACAGCTTAATATCTCAAATGGATCCGCCCAAGTGAAAAGTTATCAGAAAACCAACCGACTAACCATGCATGCAGTGTTCTCAGTGTTGGTATACATTATAACATATCAAATTTTGGTTCCAGGAAACGTCAAGTTACAAGAGCACCTTTGTTTCAACACATTGATCTGAGATTATACTTTATTCCAATAGGCTCGAATCAGCCTGTTGCAAATGACAACATTTTAAGTAGAGGTAAGGTTCCTTTTAGTTAATCAGATGATACTTTGCATTACATAACTGGAAAACAATGCAACATCGTAATGCCCGGAGGTGCGTTTCCTTGAAGAGAATTTAAATTTATCTTAGTTTAAACCTATCTACTGATATGAACTTGGCCAGCAGCAAATTTCTCTAATAATTATTTTTTTTTAATACTTTTTTAGCAGATGTACCGGCGCAGTGTGACGTAAAAATTGGGGAATTACTGGGAACTTTCGACTCCTGGTATCACACGGCTGTGACATTGAGCATCAATAACCTTGTGCGAGTATTGCCAAAGGTAAATATAAACATTTCAAACGTTTCACATTTGTTAACGTTGATGAAGAATTGCTAAAAAGCAGAATAAAATTTATTCATTTCCATTCATTCCTTTTTCAGATTTCTCCACCCGAAGATATGGACAAAGAATACACAAATACTTTAGGTGGAGAAAGGCAAATCGCCATGCATAGGCTGCTGGCGCCACAAGAGGTAATTAACGAACCGTTAATTGCAAACTAGAAGTGTTTAGGGTTTTTGTAAGTAAATTACGATAGCGGTGTTGGTAAAATATCAACCATTCTTGTATTAATTAAATGGAAATTTTTATTAAATAATTTTCCTGGAGGAGTTATATATATCACCTGCCTGGCATGACGGGGTGTGTTATTTGATGGATGAGAAGAAGTATATTCAACAGCAATTGTGCTAATTAATCAAAGATTCCATTTGTTAATTTTTTTTAAATTGAAATGCCAATTTCGCAATTTATCGTCTGCCCACATTTTCAGAGTTTATAAAGATGTGAACATAAATTCTTTTCAAGTTTCTAAATTGTGATATAATATTATAATCGAAAAAAATTGAAACAAAACTCTGTTAAATATTGTTTTTTGCCCTTTTCCATAAATTATAGCAAAATGATTTGAAACGTTTTGTTACACTCAAGCTTAAATCAACTGTGAGGAGCTGCGAACCAAGTATATATAACCTTAAAAAATGTGTGACCTTTTTACGCCTGTCTGTAGCCGTCTGTCTGTCATCGTATATACAATCAATCATTTTCGAGTGCTCAAGTTTTTTTGTTATGTTGTTACTGTAAAAAATTGGATACGTTCCAAGCCAGGAAATGTATTCCACGTTTAGGAACACTGCTTTGCATTTTTCATAACTTATTTAAATTACCTGGTAAGATGTTGAAACATTTTTGTTCAGGTTATTGCCAGTTCACTGCTGAGTTACTCACGATTTGCAGTCAGCAGGACAGATATAAATATGTACAGGGTAAGTAGAAATTTTCTCTTGCTAACGTACTTCTCACAAGATGCCTTTATTTCTTAATGCCACGTTCCAGCACTTCGTTGTTCGATACCAAACTAAAAATACCTGTGTTAGAGTGCATTTATTTAAAGTGTAATTCAAATATTTATCGATAATTTCGTTGAATTATGAATCAGTATTTTTGCTTCCATTTAGGTTGTTATGGTGACAAGTACGGGTGACGTCATCACCGATGTATTCTGTTGTCAGTTGAAAATTGGACACGATGCTTATACAACAGCTGTAAAAGCAGGTTCGTATTTATTTCCCGTTAATTAAGGTATTTTGGCGGAAAAACAAAGAAATTAAAATATAAAGCAAAAATAAAATGATTCTAAAGAAATAGACGAAGCTTTTGTTAAAGTTTGTATGTTTCCAAAAATTTTTATTTCATTTCTCAGGAAAATTTGGAAAGCTTGGAAAATTAGTTGATTTATCTAATGACAATGGACCACCACCTGCTTATACTAAAATTGAATATTCAAAGGTATGTAATGTTGTTGACAATTATGATGAGCATGATGAAGATATCCAACTATGATAGATAAATATTGTTACAGATTTATAAATTGTTTTTATACCACTTTGACTCATTACGAATCATGCCTCATGTGGTTCCTCCTAATCTGGTAGAATTCACAAGAGCAAAAAACATAACGAAATTGTCTTCAAAATTGGAAACAGTCTTTTGGCGACCCTTGGCCTGTTATTGCATACTGTGCATTTAAGATATACGGAATGGGCTATGTCAATCGGAATTTACATCTGTGCCCGTTCAAACAAATTTTTCAATAAAATTTGGCGTTTATTACACCATTTTTACATTTTGTTATAGTGGAGCATCGATCAGCAGTTGATTTATACTGGAAAATTGGAGGATACGTTTTATCACACTGTGTGTGTTACACCAATGGCACTTTGCAAGAATCATTTCAGAGGTAATTTCAGGAGAAATATAGTATAATAATATTAGCCTTTGACAAGTTGAAATGAAAAGTTTATAAGTGGTATTTCTTTTAGGACGAGATGTATTGCAATTGGTCCTTATCGACAACGAAAAAAGAGAGAAATCTTATCGACGAGCATCAAACAACAAGGTAAACTTCTCTCGTTTTAATTATTTCGTCATAATCATCTTTATCTCTTTTCTTAAACAATCTCTCCTTTTCGTCACCTGCGCCACTCTCTGTTTCTGATTTTCTGCGAATGACAGTGTCTGGTTCAGACTCTAACCTAATTAAATAAACGACTCCGGATAAATAAAAATTCTGACTCTGACCCTCGCTTCCTCGGCTCCATCTACGAGAAAAATGAATTTCAAACGCTAAAATGCTGGCCTATGCAGTCGCACATACCTTGCGGAATTTTAAAAAATGACTACTAAATACTACTAAATAAAACATGGTAAACTCCGACTATTTCTTCTCACTACCTGTATATTATCTCACACATCCGATAGTAATCCGAACTGAGTAAAAAATGCTTTAAATCTTTATTTAGTTATCATCTCTAGAAGAAGTGGAAATTGCAGGAAACGTGTTGGACATCGGAACAATGAAAATTGAAGTTGTTCGACCAAGCCAAGGAACTTTTTCTTTGGTGATGGATAACTCAGAAATCTACACAAGTATAAAGAGGTCAGAAATCAACTCTTCTCCTTTTTTACGGATATCAAAACGTCTTTAAATTAGTTGTATTTTTAGGCAAATGACGATGTTCCACTGTAATTACATTGTAAGTTCCATCCAGACTTTAGAGCTTCTAATCTTTCTTGTACTTTCAATTTGCGTTGCTTGTTCATACTTCATATAAGCAAATTTCTACTCAAAATATTGGTCAGAAATGTTTCCGTTAGAATGTACAATGACAAACTAGTGGTTGGCTACATTTTTTGTAATTGCGTATCAGGAAAACTTGAATTGATTGTAAATTTACCTCACTGTAAGCTCATATATCTTTTGTATCTATTTTTAGTGTTGAGATTTCACCATGCGCAGCTCCTGAACTGGAAATGGCCCAGAATAAACGAAGAAGCAGGCTATTAAGAAATCATTATTTGATGCACTTACCAATCCGTACATTCTGGCCTGCAACGCAATAAGTGGATAAAGCGTTCATAAAAAGAATGTGCTATTTCAGTGACGAGTTATAGATTGAACCATGCCAGAGAATTTCAATCATGTCAGAGAACACGCGTAGAGAGTACAGAACAATTAACAATATGCGTGTACGCCATTTTGCGAGAGAGACATTTTTCCTGTCGAAAGTTCACGATCTGCAGGCGGATCTTCGACGTTGTCATCTTGAAACGGAATGGAAAAGTTGATTATAAACTAAAATGAAGTCAATTGCATCGATGGAAGAACATTATACATTTTTTCAGATTTATATCTTACGTTGGCTTTATTTTATTTGATTATTTTTTAGCTTTATCTATGTATTTTTAATTTTGTTTGTTTAAACTATTGTTTGTTTGTTTTTTCAACGTTAGAAGATTTGAAAATATATATAACTAGTTTGAAAAATATCTCATTTAATTAGGTTAGTTAATAGCCATGATATTTGAGTCCTGTATCGTACAAATTATAAAACTGATCAAGTTTATATGTATCCGTTTTATAACAAGATCTCGTTATAAATCTTTCATAATTTGAATTTAAATTTTGATTTGGATTGTCACATTTGAGGAAGAAATATAACAGTTCAAAACTTGTGTAATATAACGCTCCAATAAAATTTGTCGTGTTCGAATCACTTTTTATCTGTTCTGTTTTTAAAAAACAAAAATTTGTTTTAAATTTTCATATTAAATTGATAGCACGTAATATTTTACTCACGATTTTCTGTAAGTCATTCAAAATAAAACTTGCATTTTTTGTTTCTGAAAAAAAAAATCAAAAGATTTGCTAAAAATTGATTTGATAAAGAAATGTTTTGAGTAAGTTATTTTTCTACCTCTACATTAGGTTTGTTAAGTTAAAAATGTAATATTAATACAGTGAGTCGTGGATGATAATAAATTATGATGAAAGTTTTTGTGGAATTTATGTTCTTCATTTACTACGTGCGTTGAATAGTTTATTTCAGAAGAAAGTACAGAAGGGTGCACGTTAACTTTTTCATATAAATTTCGTTTCAAAAAATTTCATCCTTCATCTAATCAGATGCGAAGCAAATTTAATTTTTTATTCAAAGACTAAAAACTCCATCTGCGCAATACAAGACGTAACACAGTAAAAAACATTTGCTATTAGAAATTCAACACGACACAATTCAAATGAAAGCAACAAAATATCATCCATATATATATATATACAAACATATCATCTATTAGGCTGACATTTTTCTATAATAATCTGCTCCCCTATTAGGCGTAAATATTACAAGTTCCATTGAGCGTTTTGACTAAAGATGTGTGAAGATGTTGTGAAATGAAAAGATGTTGTTTGATGATGTGTTGATCATGTTTCTACATTATCTTGTAGGGGATATTCGGCCTTCCAAAACTCGGTCGCATTTAGTTGTTTGAAATAATAGGTATTGGATTGATTGCCACTCCCCTATTAGAAAAGTTTCACATATTGTGCCCAAGGCTAACTACCTTATACTATAATTACTTATCGATCTTAAGATCGGTAAGTATGTTAATAGGTATTTGTCTGTTAGTCTGTTTGTTTGTTAGATGAACGCGATATCTCACGAAGGCTAGATTTGAATCTGCTCCAAATTTTGCATGTGCATTCATCATATCTCGAACCAGAAGCCTATTGATTTTGGATGAATTATGTCATATAATTAGCGAGTTATTAATTAATTAGTAGTGATGGGACACGCGGTGTCACTATAGAGTCATGAATCGAAATCGCAGTTCCGATCGATAAGTCTTCGGTCTCCGACCAATATTCTCGTTTGTGAACTTGGTGTTTTGCAAATCAGTCTTCATTTGAGCTAAGTTTCCATTTCTTTCGACTTTATTCCTAGTGAATTTACTTTACGAACTTCAATGTGATGTTATTAGATGTTCACTACAATATTCGTGTGGATTTATGAATAAGAATCGACACATGCCGAAGATGATCGTTCAATTTGATTTTCGCTAGATGGAAATCGAGAGCCATCGTCTGTTACATTGAAGAAGCTAGCTAGCTTCCTTGATGACGTAGTTTTCATCCTCCGCATATTCCCTACAATCTGGACTTGCATTTCGATTCCATAATTTAGCTATTGAAGCTTTTTCAACACCTAAGGTAGTGAGCTTAAGTTGGCTCGAGAATCAGTCTCTAATGCGAGTGCTTGCAACATAGGTCACTTATACTAAATCAACGCGAGTTTGTACAACACCGAATTCACTACATTATCCTGTTAACATCAGTAACACGCATGTATCCTGTTCAAAGGACCAAGTGCGTTACGCATTGTTGGTATTCTGCTGTAACGGTGTCTCTTTCAAGTGGTACTTATAACGTGCCCAGATCATAACACGTTCTGCCTAATTTATGACGTGTTGAAGGGCATAGTTTATGCCCGGATGAAAGCTTTATAGATTGAATCAAACAAAAGACAAACAAGCATGGATATTATAACATAGACGAATTATTATTATTCATATTGCAATAGATCAACAGTTCAATTGACTTCATCTCTCGACAGTCGGCTGAATTATTGATGCATATTTGAAGTAAAATGAAAGCTGAAGATAGATTGCCTATCAATTTCCGTCGGGTCAGTTCGAGAACGAATAACAGAAGATGTAGCGAGTTGCGAGCAATGGCTGCTAACAAGAATCGGGATTTTCTTAGCCAAAGCCCAACTGAGGATACACCGACAACAAGGTTAGTAAAATCATTATGAAGTTTTAAAATGGAACATTCACAAGTTTGCATGAACATGTTGATTATCTTTAATATCTTATTCTTTGCCTGTATCGATATCTTACATCCCCAATATGCTATATGTAGGGTTACTGTAGGGTAAGAGAACAAGACACAAGTACGAATGAAATCTTTGTGGTAGAGCAGAGGAGATCTACGGTTTTCAACTTATTCCAAAAGGTCAAGGGGGTGTTCTACACAGCAACTAGTATTACAAAGCTTCATTCCGAACAACATATTACTAAATGCGTGCAAATTTATCATTGATCTCTTTGAGCTATAAACACTTGCTAAAAATACATGCTGCTTTTCATTTTTTCACGAATTTACGAAATATGTTTGATCACTTTTATTCCACATGCGTTCTCCTGGATGACTAAAAACTGCAGACTTTAAAGTCATGAGTTATGACTGAATGAATAGGTTTGGGTATGAAATGCAAATCTCTTACTTTTCTCAATTTCTTACCTTTACGCAGCACACGACATCTATCATTACAAAAGTTGGAAAACAGATGTAGTGCTTCGCATACTGAAAGAAGACGCTACAAGTATTCACCGCTCTGTTGTGTTGAAAAATGGAAATATCATCAGAAATCTATCAGAAAATGCGTTAAAGTATTTTTAATCATAATTGCGATATTTCAAATGGTGAGTGTGACCATAACTTTCTCATTTCAAAACGGTAATCAGTTGTGAGTTGTTATATTGACTTGGTTAACAAAAGCTCAAGTCTATACAGCTTTCAATGTAATTTTTCCGTCACAATTTCCCTTCATCAATTTGAACTGAAAATTACGAAGTTTATCGGGATGCGGGCATTCCAAACTATTGTAGTCACGGTCCTAGATAAAAAAAAAAAACTTACGTAACTCAGGTGTATATTAAGGACTCACGAACAGAGTCAACAAACGAGTACTTTGGATTTGTCGTGACAAGACTACAACTAAATGTCCATATGTTCTTTGCCTGCATTATCTCCGTTTCTTTGCTGTAACAGACAATGCTAAATGAAGCGTTAGCGTATGCCTAACCTATAGGCTATGTTTCAATAATTCATATTGGATATATACCATCTATTATACTTTACCATGTGATCAAAAATTCCATTTTGCAAACTACAAACATTGTTTTGTGAATAAGTCAGTGACGTTCCCAACTCTTCAACATACTAGCCACATTAAGTAAACAGTAAAATTTTTATGACTTCAGGTATGCGGAATGATTTTTGCAGCAATTCATGTAGTTCTCTCATTCTCATCTGATCAAGTAACCAATGAATTACAAAATCCTTTGCCTATTTACTTATCAGCGGCGATGGTGGCATTATCAGGATTATGTGACATGGTACTCTCAAGAATAAAAACACCCTACATGGTGAGTAATATACTTTGCACTTTTGTTGATGTGGGAGCATGTACACGATAACAAATGTAGTAATCACTGAATTTTATCGGGTATTTTATCAAATTCAGACAATGTATCTGGAGGTGTATGACGCGTCGGAATTCCTGAAATTTGTGCAAAGTGTTTCAAGTATAATCAAATTTGTATTAGTTACCTCTAAGTTCAGTTGGGGAACCAATTTTTCATTGAAATTCCTTTTAAGATAAAAAAAAAAGTGAACGTAGTATACAAGTAAAATTTTCTGTCTGACTTGTGGTAAAATATATTGCAATTTTACTTGTAACAACGTAAATATTCTACCATATCTCTTCGTTCTAGATTCTAACTGGAATATTCTTTAGCATCAGTTCTTGCGTCATCACGTTGGCTGGGTTACTTTCATCCGCAACAGTCTCTCTGCCCAAGTTTTCATCGTTTGTGAAGTTTCAATTTGACTCAAAATTGCAAACGTGTACAGCTTACACACGGTGGGATAAACAACTCAACGGGACTTTCACAGGCATGTTGAAACTAAACTATGGGTTAGCAAAATAATTTTTTTCCAGTAATGGGGAATGAGACTGGGAGTGTATTAGGCTAAATTGATATTTCTTTACAGCAGGTACAATGCTGAAATTCTATTTCTTGCCGTATGAACACACTATCATAATGATTTGAATTGTTTACATACTTTTAACTGTCCTAGATGCTCTATTCAAATATTCCATTACATATTGTATTATTATTTCATACTAAATTTATATATATTGAGGAAAATTCTTCGTAAACTTTCTTTTATTATGCTTTAGCTTATGATAGTAGAAATCGTTAAATTGAGAAAGAAAATTAACAACCACCGATTTCGATCAACACAAAGGAAAATGGAAGATGTAGTAAATGATGAATTATTTTACATTCAGGGGGAATAACATATAACAAGATTTCGGGATGCTCTCTCATTGAATCCACACTTCCTCCCATCACAGTAACGCTAGTTATATTTTACGCCATTGCATGTTTCACATCATTTGTGGCTTGCTTCTTGCTGACAATATTGCTGTGTGTTCCAGACAACAACAAAAAATTGAATCGAATGGAAAGCAAGGTAATCATAGGAAGTTTATATGAAAAATACTAACTTTTCATTCTATATACATTTGACATGGTTATATACATTTGTACCATGTTAAATCATATTGTAACTAGGAATCAAGTTATGTCAACTACGATCTTGAGCTAGATAATATTTGTGACGTTGAATCTTGGAGAGATGAGTCACGTGTAAAATCACGTGATATTCGCCGTGATCAGAACGAAGGATACCTCCCCGGAGTGACGATACCTCATTATACTCTACCGTACATGTATGTAGAGCATTTATTTACAAGATTCACTTTTACATGTGCATTACTATGTTACTCGTTACTCATAATTCACTAAATGCAGAATTCCATTGTCCGAAAATGAGTTTTTAAGAAGAACAGCAAGTTGCACCACACGCGATGATATCAGATTGGAATTGACCACGCCCCAAACGTTCTCAACTAATACCGTATGTGGATGCAGTAGCGGAACAGTTGTGAGTTCAGTGGTCTCAACAAAGTAAGTACGGAATTTATGAAGAGTATTAAAGTAAAACTATTTAATCATCATGATTCCAATTGTTATTATATCAAAGAAATTATCTATATAAATCACATACTGACAAGAGATAACCTATATATTAAAATTCGTAGGTAGGTAGTAATAGTAGGTTTCCATAAGGATTTTATTTATATACAGAAAGTTGATATAATTCTAGGCCCTAGGGCCTAAACGCTTCATTACTGATTTTAGTCTACCGTGCTCAAAATATAAATTACAGTTATCCTAAAGCAACAAGTGCAACAGTTGGAAGACACAAACAATATAGAAGACCTATGCTACCACTCGAGTTCGGAGGTATTTCACTTTCAAAGCCCAAAGAAGATGAAGGTTACTAAAATTGCTTTCCACGTTTAGCCTTTCTGCAAATAATGCCGAATCTAAATTAGATGTAGTTTTCATTTCCTGGCAATATTAAATATATATATACGTGATCGATATATCTTTGATCAGTTTTCCTAATTAAAGTCAGTTTATGTAAGCTTACCACACACTATATTGTTAATTAATCAGCTGATTCTGTCTTCAAGAGTAGGCCATGTGCTTTTTTCAACTCCAACTAAACCCTGGCATAATGATTTATTTACCTACTACAACATGAAATATTTATCATACACTGTTGGATCATTTAAAAATTGAACCACCAAATATTTTTCACAGAGCGACTGGCAGGTAATGATAGAGATGACAGACTTCCGCAGCATAATATGCGAAGTTCAGAAACACAGCATTTTCAGACAAAGCCATTAACATACGAATCAGAGAGACAGAAGATTACTATTGGAAAAGTGGAGGACATCAGAAGATTTCAAGACAAAAGAGGCAAAACAGTTTCTTTCAATCGTGACGAAGAGAGTTACTCCCCTCCGCCATATTCTGAATTGCCTGACTACGGAAGCCGAGCACAAGCCAATGCTAGGGTATTAACTGGATCAATTTTACCAGAAACTCCTGGCATGGCTTGCGGCTCTCATTTTGCAGGAGAAACTATTCTTTGAGTTCAATATTTATATACTCCTGCCAATGCCGTCTTTCCATATTCGAACCGCTATGCCAGGGCCATGATATTATCTGAAAATTGGAAGAAACCCACATAGACTAGACTTCTTCATTATTCATTAGTGTTTGTAGTTCGCAAGCAACACATTATTGTTTTTTCTCTGTTGTAAAATTGTGCTAAAGAGATAATTTTTGGATTTGTGGAATAAAAGAAAATTCACTTGCAATACTGTTGCATTATCGTGTTACGCCCGCAGTGGTTCTCAAACTTTTTTTTGCTTACTTTTTTAGGGTATATGTAATGACGTTTTCTGTCATATGATATTCAATTCATGACAACTACGAGAATTTAACATGCCTTTCTATTTTAATTTATTGTGTTAAAGGTATCTTGCGGTTGCGTCGACTTACTAAAACAAAATAAAAGCATTATTAATGTAAAATACCACGCCAATCGCGGGCATGATAATAGCCTATTTGATAAACTGCCCGATTATATTGCGATCTTGCAAAATATTTATTACCGTATCCCAGAAAGTACAATTTAATTTAGAACAATAAAATGTATATGAAGGACATCATTATTATATCTCAATTGTGATAAATTTGAGCTGCGCTTGCACCAACAAAATAAAAGCATTCTACTCAGAAAAAAACACGCCAATCCGCAGACACAAAAATGCGCGATAAAGTGTCCGATTATATCTTGTTTTGATTCGTATTTTTGCGAATTCGACATATCTGAACTGTTTTTCAACACTCACTCCGCTCAATCGCAATGTAGCCACTAAGATTATCACCGTAAAAAGAATTTCAACGTTTGCGATAAAATGTCAAAATTTATTTCAAAAAATTTAATGGAATATGCTTCGCATTTATCATGTTATATATATATCATCATAATTCCGAAAAAGGTCGCGTCAGCTCCAGTTAGATTAACTAAGCGCGCAAGTCAACGTGGTGGAGAGTGTAACGCCTTATTCACAAATACATTATATCATAACAATTCAATCCGATTACAAAGTAACAATCACCCTTATCCAAGGCAAATGCAGTAATATCATCCCATAACTAATAGTCAATATCACAGCTTTTTCAAGATATAATTTTTAATATTGCAACTAAACTAAAGCTCCCTTGAAGACATAATGACACTTAATTTATCTGATTTACAACTAATTTTTGGAAACATAACTGAAAACTGGCTAATAAAACGTAAAGTAACGAAAACAGGGCATTGTTTACATTCAATATCTGTCTGAGCAAAAGAAGTGTCTGAGCGACCCCCACTTTTCAATTGTTACTTCATTATTAATTCTTTCTGATTGGCCATTGTTACCAAATTAAACAATGAGTCGATGCTTGCGGGAACATCGGTCGCGTGGGAGTGATCGCCTGTCCCTCGACCAAGAGTGGCTAGAACTTCATCGGCCTAGGTGTCGTCTTTTCGTTACCTGGTTTGCGTCCTTTCTGTATTTTAGTGTAAATCATTAAAAATACGAGCAAGTTGCACTAGAAAAAGAAATAGACCATTCCATGTTTAAAATTTTTGACGATTGTTTTAAAAGTGTTTCGGAGAGTTGGTGCTTTTAAACCGGTTTACCTGTTCAAACCCATCATTTTTATAAACACGTTCAACCACATGCCGCTTACAGGTAGGGGTGGCTTACCCACTTTGCGGACACGACCTATTTGCGGTCATCAACTTCATCGATTTAATTAATGCCGAAAAAATTAGTTACGACCGAATAACCGACCGAAGAAAAAAAACGGACTATTTTCCATGTTGCCAACTACCCATCGTCCCTTTGGGATAGCTTGAAAATCTATAGAAATATGATAGATAAAAACATGAAAATTGGGAGGTGAGTGGAGTTGTGTTTTTTTTAACCATCTTCAAAATTTCGCGCCAGCGGTAACATCCTTCCACCCTACATACTTTTCCCCGGCAAGCGTATGAATCCGTCTCATGCACTGGATTTTCCCGATGGCAGCAGATGTCATGTAACTGATAAAGGCTGGATGACTAAAGATTCATTCTATGACTGGATGGAACAACTATTCATACCTAATTTACCTAACAAGTCAACAAGAGGGGCCGTCGTATTTCTTCTTGATGGTCACACGTCCCACAAAGATTTTCGCACAAGCACGTTAGCCCGAGAAAATAATATCATTCTCTACTGTTTGCCTGCCCACACTACACATATTCTGCAGCCACTGGACAAAGGATTTTATGGAAATTGGAGTCGCTGTTGTGATTCTTTTTTTGGAAAAGAGCAGTGTGTGGTTGATAAGTACACGTTTGGTCGAGTTTTTACCCAGGCGTACTTACGAACCTCACGCTTGGATGTGATAGTAAATTCATTCAAATCATGTGGCGTCTGGCCTCCAAATATTGGAGCTGTGGATTTGGAAAAAGCATTACCGTCCACCATATTTGTTGACGATGAACCATCAATGTCAAAATCCCCAAAGCCCTCGGCCCACGCTAATTCTCAACAACAGATATGGGAAGCGAATGGCTCTGCGATTACTGACGTAGAACCTGTCTTCGATAATCTCGACGTGGCCCCAATGTCGCTTGCTGACCCAAAGTTTATTGAAGGTGGAAATATAGAATTCCCGACTAAAAGCATGTTGGCGTCGAATGAACTAGATCATGATGTGTCGTACTTGGATTTACTTTTATTTGACGACGAACAGCCTGAAGACGCACTTATCACTTTGAATATGTCTGATATATTGGATGACCAGCCATCTACATCTCGATCACCCGATCCTGGTTGTAATACATCAGATGTTGTTGAGCTAAACCTAAATGATCAGAGTACAAGTGCTTTAGCATCCCCGGCTTCCAAAATGTACGAGAGTCTGTCACCAAGTGCAGGAGAGCTTTAGAGGCGTTGGAAAGGGATATGAATAGAGATGAAAAGACACTGTTTGAAAAGAAGTTAGAGTGTGGAGACATAGAAGGCAGTGGGGTATATATCGCATGGAGACACCTAAAGTTGGAGACTTTGAAAGAAATAGAAAAAGAGAAATAAGAAGTTTTTGTGTTGATACGGATTCGACAAATTTGGCTAGAAAAGAGTTGTTTAAAATACCAGAAAAGAAAAGGCCCGTGAAAAATTACAAAAATATGCCACTATATAATTTGTCATCTGATCGAGCTGTAACGGAGTTGAAAGATTCAATCGAGAAAAAAAGGCTAGCTGAGGAACAAAAAAGGAAAAGGGCAGACAGAAAAGAGATAGGCAAAATTCAAAGATCAGAAAAACATGAGATTAGAAAAAGTCAAACCTCTGAAAAGGAGACGAAATTTGTCTATAAAACAAAAAGAAAAACATATGGTCATAGTTTATATCAAAACATAGTCTTTAAAAATTGCCAGTGATGTACGAAATACGCAAAAGGGTAATGTTTCTAACATATAAGGCAGAAACTTGAAAATATCACATATAACTTTTGATGAGAAGTGAACACAATGGCAATTTTGTTGAAAATATCAGGTAAAAATCGCTGTTTGCGTCGAAAGCAACAAAGTCATTTAGTAAAATTTTATTGTTTCAAGGACGGTTGAGGTTATGCTATTTTATTGTTTTGATGCCACTATTGAAGGCTAAATCGCGGCACGTATATTCAAAAACATATGGGTTGTCGAAATAACCGTGTTGTTAAAATATATGACGGTCAAAAATGCAATTAAAAGTTCAATTTTTCCACGCATGACTGCGTATGTTGTAGTCTCGACGCAGCCGAAACGATGTTTAAGGCTCGAAATCCGTGGTCGCACGCTGGTCGTTCGGTCGCAATTTCGTCTTCTGATTGTCGTACTTTGGTGGTTTGTATAGCTTTAACCCCTGGTCGTAAAAAGTTAATTCGAGTTGTAGCGTGTACAATAAATGCCAATGAACATACAGTGGAAAAATTACCGGGTTAGAAATATTGGTTTTTATTTTATAGCGGTTTGAATGAAATCGTACGCAAACTGGCTGCACCACCCCTGATAGCTACTTTCACCTTGGTCTATCGCACCTTTCCGGGACTAATTTTTGAATATTGGAACTAAACTAAAGCTGCTCGTAAGACATAATGACAATCGAGTTATTTGATTTTACTCAAATACAACTGAAACGAACATATAACACGCGAACCACGAAAACGATGCAATGCTTACACACATGCTTAAACAGCTTGTTTGAGTGAGAGGAGTGCCTGAGCGGCTGCACAAATTGTGATTGTTACGTCATTGTTTACTAATTGCTGATTGATCATTGTTACGGAAATAAACAATGAAATCGATGCTCGGGGAAACATCCATCACTACTTGAGCCAGTCAATGTTTAGTCATGTATGTCCAGTACATACTGCATACGTTTCTATTAATTCACAAGTATTTCATTGTAACTGCCCAAATGTTTCACTGTAACTGTCTAGCGGCTAATTTTAGACTATTCAAATAATTATACAAGAACAAGACGTATATTACAATATTTATTATTTATTCCAACTGGTTAGTAGATTGAATTTTTTTCTCATGAAATGCAGTTTCCGGTCAGATTTCCGTTTCCCGCGATATTCTGCGTGAATTGTTGCCATACTACGATCTAGGAATAAACATTCATAGGTGCAGAAAATGTTCACCAATAAAATATACTAATTATTATTATCATAGAATAAACGGTTATTACAGAATATTTAGCCGCATAGCCTGTGTTGATAGCAATATTACCAATGTAGCAACTCAAATGTAGAAACTCTTTCGGCATACAGCCTTACCAATGCTGTGGCGACAGAACTATGATTTTCTTGCTACAACTCTGTTTAGAATCTAAAACTACAAGTTTTAAAGTAGTTCGAAAATTGAAAGACTCAATTAAATTTAATACATCTATATCTACAAGAAAAAAATGATATTAAGAAAATTCATATTTTGCCTCAGTTAATCAAGCCTTAACTCAGTATTAAAACTATACGGGTGTTTCCTTAGTATCTAATTAAATTTCAATTTACTCACATAGTTTTTCTGCAAATACCAGGCTTCTGAAAATACCACGGATCATACAATGGCATTATCTTCCCATCTTCCGTTGTGATGGTCTCAGGTTTTTCCTTGTGGCACTTCATGTGGCTATCGCAAGCACCTTGTAAGTTCCATAATCCACCACAAAGTTCACCTTCTTGTTTGGCACAAACGTCGCAACATCTGATAAAGTTTAAGTGAAAGATCAGTTTCTAAATAATTATTAAAATGAAACTTTACATGTGATTTCTAATAAATATTTTCCACAAACTAGTTTTACTAAATTCTATCCTTATAGCTCTTTCCAAACTTTTAAGCTCGCGACCCCTTCCAATATATTAAAATTTTCTGCGAACCCTGTTGAGTCAGCATTTTTATGCAAGAGCGCCACTTTTTGGCTTTTCCGATCAAAGTCGGCATTAGCAGATGCACCGATTCTTTGATCCTATGTATTTTCTCGAAATCGTGAGATTTATGTTCTGACTAGTTTCAATAATTGTGTTCCCAATCAAGTCTGAAAAAGTACAATAGATGTGCAATTGGTTTACTCTTTGCGGCCCCTAAAATTCGCACGCAGCCCTGTGGTGTCGCGACCCCCAGTTAGGGAAGCCTTGATAAGTATGATAAGGAATTCTATTGTATTTTGTGAAAAGATTATTTCAAGACAAATTTGCGTTTGAATAACAAATTTAGTTGAACACATCTTCAAATAAAATGAATGATTATAAAAGACACATATGCAATTAGCAACCTGCAGTTATCTTTTATGATCGATCCCATACATTCGGTTAGCTTCTTGCACTTTTTCTGTTTGCAACGTCTACAGGATGAAGCGTTACATGCGTGCATTATGCCAGCACAGATGAGTAATATCTTGATGAGCATTTCAGATGATAATGACAGCAAACTCCAATATTTAGAGCTGTGAATAATTTCCAATGCCCTGAAATATAAATTCATTTTATGGTAGATCGCCGAAGATAGCTTTGGGATTACCAGGTTTTATCGTAAGTAAAGAGGAGGCCTGTTCAACGGAGATCGAGACCCCATCCATCCCTATGCCTAACTTATGAATACCACCAGGCAAGTACCGCGTAAAAACGTTCTAGTTGGCACAAGTAATCGATAGATATCACAATATTGAAAATTTAGTGTGTTCCACCACTCATTCTAACGCGGTTATATCTATAAATTCTCGTCAAAATTTCAGTATAATTGTCACAATCCCTAAAAGACCAAAAGCTATCACTATACCGGACAAAAAAGACATAAGGACGCTGTGAAAGTTACAGCAGCTATGACAGTTAAGTGATTACGGTAGTTAATGCGGTATATTTTGACGTTGCAATTGTGACAATTATAGCGAAACATAATATGGCTACGATTGGTATTATGGTTATCACTTTATTTACAAATTCCCATAGGCAATTAAATCTAATCAGTGGTGGGATTCAAATTTTTTGTCAGCAGGTTCCATCACACAAATGTCATATTTTTCAGCCGGTTCTGTTACGAAAAGTCATGTTATTTTCAGTAATGCTAACCGGATCGCTGATCTCATAAAATTCCGTGAGACGATTCTATATAACCGGTGCGAACCGACTGAATCCCACTATTGGGTCTTATATATATATCACACTGGCCTTTCTTCCGAAGTGGCTTGCCACGGAATAATAATTTTAAAAGAATGTCCTATAACAACTTCACACAACACACTCTTGTGAGTTTTTCAAACTACGTAAGGAACGGTCGTAATTTTCGAATAATATTTCTGTGGAATTATTTTAAAAAAATTCAGGTAAATCTGATTATGTAAATAGTAAAATCCTAAACAAAATCGAATACCATCAAATTCACCAAAATTCCCCTTTTAGCCACTCAACTCTGATGTCTCAGAAGCCAATGGCAATTGTATCTTCAATATATAACATTTAAGCGCGCGATATAGAGTCAGTCTTACTCAATATACAGAAAGAGGTGACAACTTTTGTACATTTTATCTGGCCATATCCCGTAGCTTCTACGGCCCATGTAGCTAAAATGGCTAAATTAAGAGGATATGTTTGTGCCACTCATATAAATTTTGTACTTACTTGCCAAGAATTACTCGCATTTGCAAACTCGTAAAATTTTAAATATGTGTGTGCAGTGAACTATGTGCATCCAAATTTGGGCCTGTCTTTTGCTCAGGGTAAATCATGTGTCCATACTTGAACGAAAATACTCATTGGTTTGACCCCCAAAATACTTTAATTTTATAAAACTAAATACTTTAATAAAAGATATATATAAAACGCAATTTTAATAAAAGCAAATTGAATTTTAATAAAAACATTATTGAAATTTGCTGAAATGAAGCTATGTCAGTATTTTTCCTGTCATTCTAGCAAACCACCCAGTCGATTTCCATAATTTTACGAAGAAATACTACAACTGCATATGACATTTTAGCTCAAATTTAAAAGAATTTAGGACGATGTATGTGAAACATTTTGCGAACGTTTGATTTGAAAGCCACGGCGAGCAAATTCCGAAAACCTTCAGCATAGAAATGGATTTCATTAGCAGGCATTGTATTAATTCAAAATTTAAACACCAACCTCCTATTATACTTTGTTTGAACTCAAGCATACATATCAGACTTCTTTCAAACTTCTTATTATAATTCATTGGTTTGATCTTAGTTTTTCCGCGTTACTGATCCTAGAAAGCAACTACTTGAATGCAAAACGATCAAATTCAGATCCTATACTGCTTTCGGCCCTGCCTTGGTTCTAAAAACATGTTCCCCCAAAAATCTTCAATTTTATCAAACTTAAGTATATCCCCATTTCCAGACTGATGGAAATTAGCTGAAGTTGTTCCCGCTTTAAAACAACTTATAAACACAGTCATTGCTGGCCACATATTGAATCACATTGACTTCTAACTGTCAAACAATATGATTTTATCATGATCAATTTTAGGATAGTTATAACTGAAAATTGAATCGTAGTGGTGGAGGTTAGTTAATTGCTTTTGATATTTCATAATGTTTAAATAGAGCTTGACACGCCGGACTTTTGCACAAAATTTAAAACTGAGGTATATCTAGTCAAATTTGTTCCATCATCAAATTATTACGTTGTTCTTGATGGCTAGCACCAGCTGATGGACATACCTAATCTCTTATAGAATTCCCTAAAGCTCAGTTCTTCGGCCTACATTGTTCCTAATATTCATCAATGATATTCCATATGATCTCATTTGCAATTTACCTAATTCAGCTGACGACACAACATTTTACATGCAGTCTCGACCCGGAGTCCGATAAACAATACCGTTTGGATCTTGCTAATCGTAGGAAACAGACTTGTCACGGGGTTCCGAATAAGAGGCGCAGTGGCTGGCAACTATTATATTGAAAAGAAAAGTCTTGTCGTCAAATCAATATATCAATTCTGATGTAGCTCCAATTCCAATTTCGGGAAATCCTAGAGTCTAGGACCAGGGTCGTCCAACCCGTGGCCCGCGGGGCACATGTAGCCCGCCGAAGGTCCCCGAGTGGTTCGCGCGGTTTTATTCGAATCACGATGTCTTTCACAAATCTGGGCCATTATTGAAATCTCTAATAATAAAAAATATTCCTGGTTGTTCAATCGCTCGAGAAGTACCACCCAGCTATTGGAAGCTCATTTCTTATTTATGTCCCTTTGTGAGCGTTATTGCTGGAGAAAGATGCCTTGTATTTCAAATTTTTTTTTTTTTGTGAAGCTAGAAGAGGTAGTTTTTATGACCTTAATATTTGATAGCAGTTATTTGTACGAGCAAGTTGTTTTGCGGATGAACCATGTCAAATCCCCCGCGAGATCACTAATTTCTGATAGTCATATGAAAAATTCGGTATGCATGGCTGCATCGACCATCGCACCGAATATGGACAAACTTACTGAATAAAAGCGGTGTCATACTTGAAATTAAAATATCTATGTGTGGTAAAAACTTTTGACTTAACTGTATCTTTGTATTTTCATTGTTTTTATAATTTTGGTGTGATTATTTTGTTTGTTTTTTCATTAGTCAGTAGTCGGTGTAGTGAAAGCTAGAACATAACAACCATGTCTAGTGGCCCGCTCAATCATTCGTAAACTAAATGTGTCCCTTTGGCCAAAAAGGTTGGACAACCCTGGTCTAGAACCTAGGCGAATAATCTAAGTTCGGCTGGTTGGTCTCACCATATCAAAAGAATTGACTTGGAATGAATATAAAACGTCAGTGGCTCGAAACGCGTCAATGAAAGTTGGATCTCTTGGCCGTGCACGCCGATATTAGTCCCGTGGAAGCATACTGCACTTGAAATCACCAATACGTCCATGCATTGAGTATTGCTGTCATATTATGGCTTGTGTACCGTTTTAAGTTTTAAACCATCTAGAGTAGACCGAATTCAAAAAAGAACTGCGCCCGAACTACAAACTCCTAACCACCAAAGAAAAGCTACTTTGCTGTGCTTATTTACAGATATCATGATGTGAACTGGCAGAACTTGTTTCCTCAAATAAGTTTCCACTCGTCAAACTCGGTTGAGTGAACAAGATAGTAAAAATTTTCATTTCCGCCTAATATTTATTCAATTCATCAATCAAACGAGATTATTTTAATTTGATCTTTGCTATCATTTTTATATGAAATGATTGAAGAAAATTGACCGTGATGAGATGATTCATAATTAAATATATGTTAGTTTGAATCAATAGTGTATATCTGAGAAATATAATTTCTCGTTACCAATAATTGATTTATATTACTTCGTTCGCCACATTTGCATGATTAAATTGACAACTAAAGCCTGTATCATAAGTTACAACAAATACCAATCGAAAAATAAATGCGAGGGACATACAATTCTGTGAAAATTTGTAGCATGATTTCATTATATTTCCAAGACTTATTCTGACAAGACTCTAAATTGAATAGAAATGTTTACGGACATCGTGGAAATGGATATAATAAAAGTCGTAGTGTTGGGAAGAAAGTAATTCTAATAAATATTATGATATTGCTTTGAAAATCTCTCTCTATATAATCCTTTGTTCAAGCAAAAATTTTAATCTTTACAAAAGCTGTAGTTTAGTACTGCAGACCGTGTAGCGATTTGAACATCATGGCTTCTAAATTTTCTACTAGCGATCCTTACGATTTTTGTAATTCGAAAACGAAAACAGGCAAAATAAGTATTCATGTTTATTAAAAAATTGAAAATAAATTTTGTTATTCAGAAAAGGGGAAAGACATGCAAAATTTTTGCGTAACATATAGCTTTTGCTAAATTTGTCATATGATCGAGTATGATCTTTGAAATTATTTGGTTTTGAATATATATATATTCTGATACTTTTATAGAAAATTAGGTCCAAACTAGATCGAAGCATGAATTGGAAAATACTGTTTGCTTTGTGCAGCTTTGTAGCATCCACAAGAGCATTGACTTGCTTTGAATGTGGCAGTTTCCCCTGTCCTCAGGTATTATGCCAAGAAGGAAGTTCATTGGCAAAAGGTATATGTGGGTGAGTATTTGAAAAATTCAGTAGTGATTGTTTGGTTTTTTCAAGCGTTTGTTTGTTTTTTTCAAGCGTACGATGTGTACGACTAAGTTATAATGGAATCAGGATAGTCCCACACATGACATCTATCGGTACGCTTTATTTGTACGTTGCCGCACATTAAAAAAGCCAATGAGACTTCAAACTTGATCGTGTTTCTGGCATATATTCGTTTGGTGGCGATCTTTCACAAAATCATGGCAGATCTGGAAAGCTATGTAATAACCTATAAAATTACCGCATTGATATCTAAGGTTGCTTTTTTAATTTTATATGAATTACAGTTGCTGCGATGTATGTTCGAAGCAAGAGGGCGATTCATGTGGCGGGCTATGGAACCTTGACGGAACTTGTGATTCTGAAAAAAATCTGGAATGCTACTATGAGCAACCTAAACCGATACATCTGAACAATGGAGAGATTATTCACATTAGAGTGGACAAACAGAGACCAGGAATTTGCAGAAAAACCATGTGAGTTTTTTTCCATTCAACTTTTATTCAATAATGACATATTGACATATTTTGTCATCTTTGATTCTCCCTGTGTCAATATATTAAAAATAAAATTGTGTTTGTAGGAGAGAATTAGTAGTAAAGTAAAAGGTTTGGAACCCAATAATATGGAAATTACAAATAAATTAAAAACAATTGTCAATTTAGCCTCTGATACGATTTGAAGAAAAGATAAACAATATTATTAATATGTTTTACGACATACTTAACCTGCTCAATAATATCTATTCACATCTCTAGATCGTAAGGTATGGAAAAGTTTCTGGACGACATTTGGTTTCAAGATAATAGGACGAGAATCTATGGAATATCAAAAATTTGAAACCGATAAGAAAGATTATTCTGTCCAATAAATTCCATAAAAGTGGCTCTGTTTTGTTTTTTCAATTTGGGCTTAGAAAGCGAAAAGTAGAAAATGTAAGGAAGCACTAATGTGGGCATTTATCTCAATCTAGTGTGATTGGGAGAGAAAAACATTTTTATGAAATGAATTTTATAAATTTATATGCAAAAAAAAAAAAGATAAACGTTCAAGAAGACACGTTTCGCCGTTTAAAATTGCAATAAGACGCCATATATATATAACACTGCGGCTACATGGAGCAAAGTAATTTTGTGTCTATACTCTCATGCGACTGGCGACTTGATTTAAATGCACCTAACATCAAAATTGTTTTCTAAAGCGATTTGTGACCAGTTTGGATTTAATATTACAAGAGTATATTAAAACATATAGTAGTACCTAACAGCTGCAATCTAGTGGTGTATAGCGATTTTGACAATTATGGCAGTTATTGCGTCATAGCCAGTGGTGAGATTCAGCCGATTCGCACCGGTTCTATAGAACCGTCTCACGAAATTTTATGAGATCAGCGAACCAGTTAGCATTACTGAAAAACATGACTTTTTGCAACAGAACCGGCTGAAAAGTATGACATTTGTGTGATGGAACCGGCTGACAAAAAATTTGAATCTCACCACTGTTCATAGCATATTCAAGCTTTCATACAAATTTAAATCTTCTGAAAAAGTTTCCAACAAACTGATATATCTCACATATTTGCGTTTGTTTAAGAATATGAAAACAATAAAGCGAGCAATGCTGAAATATCGGACATGGATGGCAAATAACTTACGCCAGTGCCGGTAGACCTTACGGTAGCGACTCATACCAAAATGTGTCGGAACACCGACGTAATTCATCAGGCGTGGCGGGATAAAAACGGTGTTCCTATGAATAAGAATAATACAGCAAAATTTTGGATGAAACAATAGATCTCATCGGATTCAGGGAAATAAGAGTACAAATAAAAATGATAGCATTTTAAAGGCAACCACGGGAACCTTTAAAGCAATTAGTTCTAAAGAGAAAATTGAATTTTTTTACAACAAAAACAACAATAAAAAGAAAAATTCTAATTATAATGAAAAAAATATAATAACAAAACGTACTGTAGATTCATCTCATGTCTAACAAAATAAAATTGTAGCACTGGCCTAAATTAGCATCGCCATATAAAAGCGGATTCACAGCTGAAGTAAAAAAAAAATTCAAACTATTTTGTCTCGCCATATCGGATAAATTGTACAGACTTGGAATTTTGTTCTAGATGATTTGTACAGATTAATGAATTTGGAACTGTCGTTTGTTTACCCCAAGATGATAATGTATGCACTCAAATGTAGGCCAGAAAGTCATGTGATGCATTCTGCCTCCAGACATCACCAAACTCATTGACAGGTTTACCATCTCCTATAAATTGAAATTATGTAAAATAAAATAAATCTGTAGTATGTTGAAACAAAAATAGTTAATGTATTCAAAATTTTGGGATTTCAAATATTTTGTAATAAAACACTTATCTCACATTATAAGTTATTGTTTAAAAGCTAGCATACTTGTCAGAAATTAAAAAAAAAAATTAAATGAAAGTGCAAAGAACCATTTTTAAAAAAATTTCATTGCTTACAATAAAGATAACTCAACATATTAATCACATGTACACCTAAGTTCATAAAATAACTCAAATGCAGTATATATTTTGCTATGACCATATTTTCATAATTATTAACCCTTTCAGTGGTCTATTGGGTTAACATGTAACAAACTACTTGTCTTTCCGCTATGAAATTTTTTGTGTATATAAAAAAGTATGCAATTAATTCTTAATCGTGTTTCATAGTTATAACCAACAACTATTTTGATCAACTACTACAATTCTATAGCTGAATAAAAGTATTTCAACAATCATTTTTAGAGTTTGTTCTGTAGCTATCGTTTTTATACAACAGATGCTTTAAGAGATTTTAACTTTATTGTATGAAATGTATCATAGAATTATTTGAATGGGTAACTTTCAAAATTTCATTTTGCATCTAGAAGACTACAATTTACTGGTAAGTTCAGGTCAACTGCTCTTAGTAATTGGTCGTTTCTAAATTATTGGTATTTATGTTAGCTTGAATCAAGACTGAATTTGAAAAATAATAAAAAAAAAATTTGTCACCATTAATTCATTTGTATAGACCAGTCATTTGTATTGACCTCTAAAATCTGTATTATGAGTTGCAAGAATCAACCGAAAAAAATAAATGTGATCGAACGGGACATATATATATATTTCTGTGAAATTTTGTAGCATAATCACTTGGGTTTTAAATGAAAGAATTATCTTTTAATTGGTGGTTATACTCTTAAAATATTTTAAATTTTATATATTTCCAAGACTTATTCTGACAAAACTCTAAATTGAATAGAAATGTTTACGGACATCGTTGAAATAAAAGCCATAGTGTTGGAAAGAAAGTAATTCTAATATTTATTATAATATGGCTTAGCAAATCTCACTCTATATAATCCTTCGTTCAAGCCTTCAGTTTTTAATTGTTACAAAAGCTGTAGTTTAATACCGCATACCGTGTAGATTTTGAACATCATTACTTCTAAATTTTCCACTAGCAGTCCCTAAGATTTGTGTCATTCAAAAAAGAAAACAGGCAAAATAAATATCAAGTTAATTATAAAATTGTGAAGTAGCACAATATTTCATAGTTACCCAGAAAAGAGGAATGAAATCCAAAATATTTGCGTTACTTATTGATTGACTTATTGCCAAATTTGTCATAATATCGAGAATAAAAGTTTCGAGATGATCAATATTTCAATTTCATCATTTGAAATTATTTTGGTTTAGAGCAGTGGTTCTCAAACTTTTTTGGTCCCAGAGCCGCATTTCAAACCTCAAAGGTATGAAGAGCCGCACACAAACAACGCAAGGTAAAATAGCAACAAACCTCAAGCGCGTAATTAAAATACCAAGTCATCGTAACAACAACACACGTAACAACTAGGGCTGGGCCAAATATTCGAATGATAAAATATTCGAATGGCTTTTTGCTATTCGAATATCCGGTACCACGTGACCTGCACCGCTCTGCTTGGACACCTAACTCGAGCGTCTCCAACTCAATCGTGAATTGTGCGAGATTTCCCAATGGCGCTCGCTATGATTGTCAATTAACATTGCCGGTCGATGAACTCATTCAGTAATAGTTCTCTTCAATTGTACGAGAAATAATTCACTCATAACAAAGTTCAAATTAAATTTCAATCAAAATTAAATATTATCTAGACGTCGGTAGCTGATTCTTTATCCAATCATGACAGGGCGTACAATAACTCAGTCGCAGCGCAGGTGTGCTGTTGAATATTTTCATCAAAATTATCACGAATTTTTAAGTATACGATCTATTTAAATTCGCGCATAATAGAAACTTAGGCTATTTAGTGGAAAACTGAACTTGCAGTTTGGTGGAAATTACGCCACACATCATCTGGAGTGATGCGTAGAAGAGTGTATTGTGCCGAATTTGAAACAAATGACGACAGATAAGTAAAAAAGTCAATCACGAAAAACTCATTTTCATTCATTTCCGTCCCGTAATTTGATGTTATTTGGAGTGCCGCATAAACGCATTCGGCAGTTTTAACGCCGCCGAAAACAACGATTAACAAATGTTGAATGTATTTCTTTTGGTACCGTAATTTGGTGTTATTTGGAGTGCGCATGCACGCATTCGGCAGATTTAAAGCCGCCGAAAACAACGATTTATTAACAAACGTTCAATGTTTTTTTTTTTTCGGTTAATCGCTCTCTTTTTCCGAATCGCGTAAATCTGATTCGAATCGATTCGGAAAAGATGCGATTCGAATCGATTCGATTCGTAAATCCTATTAACGGCACATATACTTTTGGCACGGGTATATATTCTGATTGTTTGTCGTCAAGTACGCGTGTCATTTAGTTCGTCGACATCGATAAACTAAATTCCGACACAATTATCCCTCTACGCAAGTATTAATTTAATTTTGTTTAACTACACAATTACTTTATAGATATATTGACGTGACCGCCTAGCCCTCTAGACCAGTGGTTCTCAAACTTTTTTGGTCCCAGAGCCGCATTTCAAACCTCAAAGGTATGAAGAGCCGCACACAAACAACGCAAGGTAAAATATTACATTACTGAGTAAGTATTTTAGCTATAATAACCATCGGGGTGTTGTTTTGTTGGAAAGAAAACGTTAAAACTTGAAGTAATTAGGTATAATTAGATTCTGACACTCTATTAGGCACAAAGGCCCAGAAATGCCTTTATTGACAATTTATTTAATCGCTATTTTAAATCAACTTCAGGATTCACGCATTCGTAAATTTGCTAGGTTCATCTATCTAATACTAAAATAACACGAACACCATAGAAAAGCATGAGAAACTCAATTATCATTATAATAAATATCTGCATCTCGGTTACCGTTCACTTAAAACAGGCACGGTTAATTTACAAGCGGTGATAAGGAAGATCGAATCCAAGGCAGAGGATAAAACTCAGAATAGAATTAATTTGGTTTTGAAATCAGTCCTTAAATGTATTCAACAGCTGTCGCTGATGAGAACGCAAGGGTATAGTAGAAATATGGAATTTCGATATTTGGCGACCGCTTATTCTTGCAAAAACGAGAAAGGGCACAAATATAGAATACCAACTTTAGGATATCGCCGCCAAAACGATCGCGGTGACAATGACAATCAGCCATTATGATAAAATTAACCATTAAAAAACGCTTTATTGCCGACTTTTCAATGTTTCTATTAATTTCCAAATGGACTATCGGCCTCCGACGTTCTGGATCCCTGTTATGTATGAAAAAATATTCAAATTATTCAATTCGAAAAAATTTTCGATTTTTTAATTTGATTTAATTAGGCTTTGATTTCTAATAAGTTTGTCAAAGCGGGTCGTAATCGTGGAGGATGCAAGGTGCAGTAGCTGCTTGAGATGATCGCCAGATTTTTCGGGACTATTTTCGATTGCTGGAACAAAATTAAAATGCTCTAGAAATTAAAATAATCATTGAGTTATTTGATTTATACATAAGATCTGGAAATGCGACACAAACTGAAAATCCACGGAAGCAAGCCAATGATTACAGCCATGTCTGAAATCTTTCCAGTGAAAAGTGTCCGAGTGTCTGCGAAAACGCTCACTGTTGCGTCACTATTGTATCCTGTAGGTTAGTCAACGCTACGCAAATAAACACGGGGGAATCCATTCGACTAACTAATAGACTTCAGCATTTTAATTTCGAGTCAATGATTAGTTTTCAATGAAAAATTTTCTTTGAAAATAATTAATTTTTAAAACATTAACGGGAGCCGCAGGGAAGGTTGTTGAGAGCCGCATGCGGCTCTCAAACCCTAGTTTGAGAATCACTGGTTTAGAGTATATTCTGATACTTTTATAGAATATTACGTCCAAACGATATCGAAACATGAATTGGAAAATACTGTTAGCTTTGTGTAGTTTTGTAGCATCTTCAAGAGCATTGACTTGCGAGAGTTGCGACACGTTCATCTGTCCAGAGGTATCATGTCCAGATAGCTCATTGGTAAAGGGTGTATGAGGGTGAGTATTTGAAAAATTCATTACTTATTGTTTGATTTTTGCTCTGTAATACACTTCAAGCGCACGATGAGTACAGCCAAGTTATAAAGTAAACTAGGATAACTCTACACGTGGCATCTATCAGTACAAATCATGTGTACTTTACATACAAAAGCGAAGCCGATAAAGTTTCAAAATCAACCGTGTTTTTAATATACATTCGTACGGTGGCTCTATCTATTACACAATTACGATGGAATGCGAAAACCAATAACTTATAGATGTATCATTTTGTTATAAAAACGGGGTTTTTTCTCGTGCATATATTGGTTATATTGCTTATATAAGTATTTGAAGATGTCAGAATATTAGGGTTTACTTTGAAGCAACTTCGCTATTAATCAATATGCTCTCTAATAATGCAAACATTCTGGAAGGTTATTGTTACTTATCGATCTTAAGATCGGTAAGTATATTGATAGGTATTTGTCTGTATGTATGTATGTATGTATGTCTGTCTGTCTGTGTGTCTGTTAGATGAACGCGATATCTCGCGAATGCGAGGTTGAATCTGCTCCAACTTTTGCATGTGCATTCATCTTATCTCGGACCAGAAACCTATTGATTTTGGGCGAATTATGTCGTATAATTAGCGAGTTATCAATCAATTATTGATATAGTGATCTAGATTTTTGTAAAGCGAGAGAATTTTGAGACCCGCCGAGTGTGTGTGTGCGATGCGCAGTGCGCAAGTTACAAGAGCGGATGAATCGAAACTGCAGTTTCTGTTTTGGGGGATCCCCTAACTATCGATCGATAAGTCTTCGGTTTCCAACCGATATTCTCGTTGATATTATTTATCATTTAATTTTACAAAACTTACGAACAATTCCTCTAAATTTAAATGGACATCAAAAACTAGATGCTTATTTGTTTTATCGTTACAAAAGTTTTGTTTTATAAATAAATACAGTTGCTGCAATGTATGTTCGAAGCAAGAAGGCCAGTCATGCGGCGGAATATGGCACCACGGCGGAAAATGTGATCCCGAAAAAAACTGGAATGCTACCAGCCTAAAACATTACCCTTAGTTCAGGCTGATGGTATTGTTCTTCATGTGTTTTTGGACAGACAGAAACCAGGAGTTTGCAGAAAAACCATGTGAGTATATCCCCATTAAGTTCGAGATATTGCAAGATTTTGTCATTTTAAATTGGTGAATTATGTGTCAAAAAATTGCGAACAATAGTTATTGTAGTAGAGTAAAAAATAGTAAGTTACAAATAAATTAAAACAAATATAGATTAATAAGCCGTTGATACAATTTGTGGAAATAAATGATTTCTAGAAAATAAAAAAATCTAAATTTATATGTTGAATTTTGGTAATGCGATATGAATTGTATGACCTTAGAAGAGAGAAATAATATCATTAATATGTTTTACGACATTCTTAACGTAATCGTTAACCTTATCTATTCACATTCCTAGATCGTAAGGTTCGTGGGAGAGTTTCTGGACGACATTTGGTTTCAAGATAATAAGGATTCTAATCTATGGATAATCAAGAATTTGAAACCGATTAGAATGATTATTCTGCCTAATAAATAAGATTCGATGATCGGTTTTTCTTGTTTTTTTAAATTTGACCTGAGGGAAAGAAAAGTAGAAAATTTCAGGGAGCGAACATATGGGTAATTATCGAGATCGAGAGTGATTGGAAGAAAACAGCAGTTTTTTAACGCTTTTCCATCGCTTCATTTACTGTGTTTTATAAAACGAATTGTAAATATTTGAACGCAAAAATTTCTAAACGTTCGACATGTTTTGTTGGCTTTTGTAATCAGTAAACTATCACAACCACCATAAAAGTTTTTGCCAGGTATAGCGGCTATTGCGTCAATGCTGCTTTTGAGGGTTAAATTATACTCGTAGGACGTAGATGGATGTGAGGTCGTTATTGAATTGATACTGCTTCTGGAAGACATAGCGCCACCTAAAGGTTGAGACCTAGTTAGATATGACGGCGTTGACTATTATGGGGACTGTGGCAGTTATTGCGTCATAGCTTATTTAAAGTTTCATTAAAATTAAACCAAGCTGCTATATCACACATATTTTTATTTGTTTGAAAATTCCAAAACGAAGCGAAATTCTCTCACAGACCTAAATTGGTGTCGTCACCTAAAATCGGTTTCGCATCTGGGACAAAAAAAAATCATTAACGACTTGTGCATATTTTGTCTATAATACCATATGATTTGTATAGCCTTCTATTAGATTATTGTTAATGGATTTGAAACTGTTATTTGTTTACCCAAAGATATGTGATATATTATAAAGTAGCGATAACTTACTGATTTGTATGAAGTCAAATGTAGGCCAAATCGGCCGTAGGTCGAACTCACTGACAAGTTTAACCTCTCTAAAAAATTGGTATTATATAAAACAAAATACCCAGAATGCTGAAACATAATAGTTACCGTATTGAAAGTTTCTGGAAGAATAAAAGTTGTTGTGTTTTCGTGGCATCTCATAAAATTTCTCAAAACGATTTCCTTACTAATACGATGAAAAATAAGAACTGTTGACGATATTTGACAAAAATTAATTTACTTAAAGGCGATGTCTGTGAATCACTATTCTTCTGCACCTACTTAATGCAAAAAGTCTGTAGGTTGAATAAACACATTTCAATAGAAATACTGTTTTTTTTCAGTTCGCGTAGTTCAAAACAAATCGTCTGAAGAAGTCCTATTTTTTTATATTAGATGTTGCTCGGTATTATATTAGTGGTTACATTTTAAAATGAACTTTCAAATCTAGAAAATTTATTGCTAGGTTCGACTTTCCCTGATCATCTCAGCATCTGGTCGTTGTTTTTAATTTTATATCCTTCATATGTTAGCTTGAATCAGGCATTAATTTCCATTTTTAACGAGTATTCATATCATTTTGTTTTTAATATTTCAATGACTAAATTTATGAATAACACAATACCAAATCTCTAAAATAAATTCTATAGAAAGTTTACGAACATCTTGTAAATCATGAACTGGAAAATAGTGCTAGTTTTGTGCAGTATTGTAGCATCTACAAAAGCATTCAGTTGCTGGGAATGCAGCGAGTACATCTGTCCAGACGTATTATGCGAAGGATCATTGGTGAAAGGGGTGTGTGGGTAGGTACTCAATATGTTCGAATTTAATTTTTGCTTTGTAATACAGTTTATGTTTTAAGCGTATGGGGAATTAAAATAATTATATTTAATTTCTGAATCATTTTGGACAAGACATTTACCCATCAGTGTTTAGGTACTACCGTCCTCATACATACACAAATAACACAAATATAAAATTGATACAATCTATCCCCAATGTAGATATATATATTTATTATTAGGATTTCTGAATGAAAACTAAAGTAGGCTTTCCAACAGAAATATTTCGCCAATATACCCAAGTTCTATAGGTTGCCCAAAGCGACCAAAGCTAATGCTTCCTTCAATAATAAACTAATCATTTTTTAGAATATATTAGATAATTTGGATACTATGCACAAAAGCCTATATCGTAAAAATAACAATCTTTTTAGCGAGTCAGTTATATTTATCGAAAAGTATATAGACAATAATTTCAGTTCGTGTTGAACTTTGTTCTGTGTAGAACAGAGGTTTTAAAACTTTTTGAGCCGCGCCTTCCTTTGAAAATTTTTACAAACTTTGCGCCCCCCCCCCCCTTTTTATTATGAAAAAATGCTTTTGTGATGGGCAGGTTACATTTTATTGTTGAGATGGCGCCATAAGAATGTTGGTCTCATAGCATCATTGCTCAGATTGTTTAGTCATAAAACGCATCGGAGTACAACTTCGCCCTTCACTTTCGTATGTATAAAGCCATACTCAAATAGTGGTCATTATACAATCTCTTGTTTCCACTCAGTTTGCAATAACTGATAAAGTCAAACTAAGTTTTAAGTAAAACTAAACACGCAATAAACGTATGCTTTTTGATTTTTAATGTATTTTCTGCTAAACGTTAAAATAAGACACGTAAAATTTTATTCAATTGTTTCCTGAGCAATGCAAAAATCATTTACTGTGTGTATAAAATATACAGACTTCTTGGCTTGCCTAACGTCTCCAAAATTCACTACCAATACCTTTGGACAACCACCAGGTACCAAAATACAGTTTACAAAATGGAGAAGTGCAAATGAATTAAGTACATTCTCAGCATAAAGAAAGCAGTTCGATTTTTAATAGTTATTATGCATGTTGTAGTTTCCCCAGCCCTTGACCACTGCAAAATAAAGTCGCTAATGACGTTTGCGATTGCATTTTGAATAAATCTCGATTGCTTTCGTCAGTGACGTGTTATTTGAGACGTGAAAATCTTTATTTCAGTGTTTATTCTTTCTAAATCAGAAATTTTCCATGCCTGTAGTGTTCTAAAACTACCGACTTGAAATAAATTTTACTCTGTGGTGTTTTATCGCAGACTTGGGAATTTCTCTAACGGTGATATCTCAAAATTAATCGAGTGGCAGCATTGCGATGGAGTGGAATAAGAGTTGCAGGGACAGCTCATATTGGTGTAATTTGCAAAAATACGAATCAAAATAAAATGTAATCGGGTAATTTGCCACATATTTTTATGTCCGCGAATTGCTGTGGTATTTTGGAGTAGTGGTGCTTTTATTTTATCGACGCAATCGCAGATTTAATTTATCGCAAAATAAATGAATAAATCAACCATTTTAAATACGTATATTGGTCATTGATTAAATATTTTTATCAACAGAAAAATCCTTACATATCCTTTGAAAAAGTCGGCTCTTTTGAGTGGCGTACCCTCACCACTGACTCAAGAGCGGGGGTTTCGAGTCGATGAATATGTATTTTTCAAATATCAATATACTTTATATGTATTTTCATTGTAATAAATTAAATATACTTTTTGGGATTTTATACCAGATCTTTCTAACGACGATGACGAATTTGCATGAGCGCAATATATATATATCAAAACTAAATATAATGGGGCAGTTGATCACACAATATTATGTCCGCGGATTAGCGTGGTGTTTAAGATTAAATTAAAATGGAGAGACATTTTGAATTCTTCTAGTTGTCATAAATTAAATATCACAGAATATATTTTTTCGCAAAAAGCCGGTATTTTTAACGAACACGGAGATCATTTCAGGAGCCGTTACAAGAAAATTTCCGATTCCATCTTGTGACCTCTCGCGTCCCCCAGTTTAACCACTTGTAGTATCTTGAAGATAACCAAATGGTTGCCCAACCAAACTATTTCTTATAATTAGTTGCTGCAATGTGTGTTCTAAACAAGAAGGAGAGGAATGCGGTGGATTAGGGAACCATGCCGGAACTTGCGAAAAAGATCTTGAATGCAAAAGTGAGAAACTTAAGCCTGTAATACTACAAGATGGACGCATCCTGTATCCTCCTGTTGACATTCAAACTGCAGGAACTTGCAGAAAACAAAAGTAAATTGATTTTTATTTGCCTTCGAATATTAACAGTTTGCCAATATGAGTTGATACCTAGAATTTTTTTTTTAACAATTTGGCCAAAATTGAGTTGGCAAACAGAATATTAAGAAAAACTATAGAAAAGTTTAGGATATGAAAAGATATTCTCTAGATTCTTTAGCGGCAAAAATTTAATCTTACTAAGTATGATTCTATATGTTCAAGTTGTAAGAGTATGAAATGAACTAAAATTAGATAAATGATATATATTATAAATTTGTCTTAGTAATATCTTTCCTATTTTCATTTCTAGAAAGTAAGTTGTGGAAGAGCTTCTGAAAGACACTCGGTTTCGAGAGAATAAGTTGTGGAATTATGGAACATTAAGAATTCGAAACAGATACCGAAAAATTTTGTTTAATAAATTTGTTGTCTTGAAGCAAATTCTTGTTTTTTGATTTCATTGAATTAGGAAAAGCGCAATTATATGTTTAGCAAAACAGCGCTAAATTTTATTGTAATCTGCATCGCTAATAGTGGAATCGGGATCCATTATCTTTGTTTTACTTTCATTTTACGAATGGAAAATAGTACCACCTCAACACAAGAATTGATTGATACTGAAAAACATGGATTTAGGTTTCAAAATATATATTTCGATTTATTGCTAGTACAAATTTTATATAACTCTCAGGTGACATTAATTAATAAATAATGGAAATATCTATAAGAAATCAGCATTTACCAATTAATACACGGATGGCCACCATTTATTGACAATTTACTTAGGTCTCGAACAGAATCATCCTTTGATTAGTTATGTTGAATTCAAGAAGATCCTTCAACTTATTTGGGATGAACTGTCATGTGACATGTAGATTGAACGCATCTGAACAAAAACAATTCAACTTTGATAATAAGTATAATTGAGTGAATTCTTACATTAAGCGCACAAGATCAAATTTTCCTTATTTTAGTTCTATTACTGTTCGGGACTGTCTGTGTTAGCCAAGTGAATATAACCCCTGCCCATGTTTTCCGTTCCATTACACAACTTGGTGTTCAGTAGGCAAACAAAATTAGTTAGCCTCATATTGGTACACTTACTTCTGGAGCGCCGAGAAATATGAGATCCATATTCTGGGAACCCATACCAAATGAAAAATATACATGGCTTAAATTTATTGCCAAACCACGACACATAAATTATTAGGGATTTTATTAGGTTCGAAAGAGTAACTTGGTATATTTAGGTTTTGGAATTATTATGGAAGCATAAAGTGTTGCTCTTCTTCGACGAAAATTGCTGGCAAAGTACATTTTCAATTGCAAAGCAAATATTAATAAAAAGGACGCAACCTTTCATATGTGAACGTATTCACTTGTATTTTATAAATATTCGCGTAAACACAATTGAGTTAATCCATCCTCAGCTATTTTTCGTCGAATACAACTGCCAAAGTATATTTTCAACAGCTTATTCGTTGCTATTCTTCGACGAATAATACTGCCAAAGTATATTTGTAATAGCAAAACGAATATTATTGGATAGGTCGAGACCTTTCATGCAGGTTTCCTCTCAATTTGTAACCACGTAAAATACACTGGCATTTTTCGTACTTTACGAAGTAGAATTAAAAAGGCATATAATTATATTACTTTTTATATTATTTCATTCGTATTAATGCGTCAGTGGCAATCATATCAGGTTCTAGACCAGGATATAAGCGTCTTCCATGTATAACCAAAGAAAGCAGGGGCTGGAGAGGTTAAAGAAAGTCTCCTCAATTGTGAAAAATCAACCTAGCCCACAGGTTACGACTCTCGCTTATAATACGTTTACGTATGATTCGCATGCAATTCATATTAAGATATCCTAATCCGCCCCGGAAACTAAGAAGACAAGAAACACAGTAACTTCAGTTTGCCATTGTGTATTTTTAATTTGGTCAATGCATTTTTTCTATATTCTTTTTCTTTAATTGTTTCTGAAGGTATGCTACACGTACCCAACGGCAATGATATTGAAAATATCTTCTTGTTCTTTGCTAAAAAAAAAATTCATTTTTTATATAGCGAATATATTATACGCTTACAAACAGGCTGTAAAAATTCAGAACTTCCAATATATATATATATATAAATAAAAAAGTCACTTTTTATCCGTGTATTTCAAAACGGATTGGTTGCACTTTAGCATCACAAAAAAGTTTATTAACGGTACTCCGTGGTAAAAATAATTATCACCATGTATATGGTATTTAAACAATTCAACTAAATCGTGGGACACTTTGAACATTCAATATGGGCTGAGTCAACAAAAAGATGTCCATAATGCATGCCAGAACTGTAAAATTTGTAGTGTTGTTGTAGAAGTAGTGGTATTCAACTTACGATGTTATGCAGGTTCCAGGGTAGGATGGATCAAGCATCTCATCAATGACTTCTCCGTCGGGCAGTATAAAGTAAGACGCATAATTGCAGACCAGATCTTTATCGGGATCACAATTACCGAAATCATTATATTCTCCTCCACACATCTCGCCTTTTTGGCTTGTACATCGTTGGCAGCACCTATATGAAATGTTTGAACAAAACAATTGCGTGATTATAAATTTTGTGAAATAGTGTGTGTCGGGAGATCATGCGTTACACTAACTTAGTGTAAAATACTGTAGAAGTGCTGCTCAAATGTTCTTTACAAATCAAGAGCCGAAAGTTCGTTGTTATGCGAGTCGTTATTCCACGCAGAATCTCTACAAAAATACCATGCAGCAATTCTTTCGTACTCATAGTACTTACCCACAAGTATCTAGTTCTGTAGACCCTTCACAAGGAGGAGCTTCGCATTCCTCGAGGTTGCAAGGTCCGCAAGAATAACCATTTGTCACGTAAAGGCAGGCACAGAAAATAACTAATGTTGAAATTGAATTCATGGCTCAACTAGTCTTTACGAAAAAATATGGGTTTACTCAGTGATGAGATGAAAAAATCGTAACAACCGGAACGCACCTAATTCGTGAAAATGTAATATATTTACAACACGGCGTTTACATGAATTTTTGTATGTCCTAATATAGAGCCGAAGAACTGCAGTGAAATATGAAAAAATTATCTGAAATATGTCTGTGTAGAATTACAAGAATATTCATAGCACTTCAATACAAATTTTATTATTAAAAACGTATGGGACGAATTTTCTAAGTATTTGTCTGCGGTGATGTAAAATAAATTATGACAAAACAAAACGTAAGGTAATAACTAAGTTCACCAAGAGAAACTAGACTTTCTGTGGCATAATTTTATTTCAACAGCAGGAACGCAAAACGCAAATGAAATGTCAAACAACCGGAACTCAGTTCCGGTGCGTTCCGGCTACAAGCTCACCACTGGCATTTACTAATATATATATATACCATTCTGCTTGATGACTATGAAGCAATTATCACAATTTTGGCAATAATGGCGAAATAAATGTTGTTAAATTGTGGAAAAATTAGCCCACGCAGTTGCTCATTGCAGCTAAAAATGTGACTCAATCACAGAACCTGTTATTCATAAGTGACTCCAAGACATAATGTGGAAGTGTTTCCAATTGGTTTTCCAAGACCAATTATTATCAATTAAAAAAGGAAATATTATGATGTACTTTTTTTCTCTGCCTCAAAACACGCATAGTCTTGACCTAGCCTACTTTATTCAAATTTCTCATTGTTAGGGTATCCGAATTTTATGAAATGCATAAAATAAGACTATTAAAAATGTATCGCACGACGCTAGCGTAAAGGCCGCGAGACAAATCAATCAAATGAATAACTCACGTGCCCAGTTACCAATCGAATTCAAGGAAATGGAAACAATTATAATAAATTGCAATGGGACTGTGTCGATTGCTTCTTAATCTAAGCGATGAGAGAAGGGACTTCTTAACTGAGCCGGAGCTTTGAAAACGAGAATGTAAACATATGTTAGAAATCACTGTATTTAACGCGAAGTCCACTCAAATTGCCACAGTTGCGTATGTTAATTTCAAATTATTTTAGACTATGCGGAATTTCTCCAACTTAAATTTTTATTTTAAATGCATTATCCAAAGTTGACTAATTCAATTTCAATAGGTTAATTAATTCAAAGGTTTTCAGTGTACATTGAGAATATTGTATTAGTATAAAAACGGGCAAATTCGTATTATAAATTACGAACGGGATTTTTTTTCTATGACACAATACTACGATAACATTTGCAGTCTTCAGTGAATGAAAAACACATGATTGAATAATCACTTAAAAAACCATTGGTCGAATAATTGCCCATAACTAAACAAACGTATTACTCCAACGACCTACCTTTTTACCGTTTTATGGTACTGTATCGAGATGCACAGATAAAAATTTAGGAATTAGAATATTTTTAATATATATTCTAGTATAGTTTTTAACATTAAACTAAATTCGAGTCTCTAGAACTGGGTTTTACTAAACTTTCAGTTCATCGGTACCCCGTAAAACAAGGAATATCTGCTTTCCACCGCGATCGACTAAAATCTTCAAAATAGCTCGCGATCGAGTGATCGGTAATAAGGTCATAAACAAAAATAAATGGGTACTGAATATGCAGATAAAATCGCCTCAAACTTTGTTGTAATTTTGATTATGCAACTGTACCCGGAGTTAATGTTTCATCATTATTTAAAATTTATTCAAATCATACAATTTATTATTTATATATATATATATAAACCTGCCTAATTTTTATCCGCGACTCGCGAATAAAATTCATCACACTACTCTTGGAGGGAGACAATATCTTTCGCATACTGCAGAAGTTATTTTAGAATCGTTTGTTAGCCAAGACACGCGATATTCGGCACTGCCATTTTTAAACCTTGGCAGAGGCGAAATTGCATGCGGTAATATGCTCTATCGGACTTGCCCAGACTCAAATACTGTATGTGTGTATTTCGTTTTGCGCATGAGCGGTACTATATTCGTTGTTTCAAAACACACTGCAGGCTCTGCATAAAACTGGTTCAAGGCAATATTCGGGGTAGATTATTAAATTCACCCAACATCAGACGCGATCGACTGTTTGAGACGCGATCGACGTGTTGACCACCTCTGCCTTTAGACAATTTATATTTTCTCCTGTAGGCCTACATAAATATTCTCATACTTTTTAGCTGTTTACTTTTTTTCTGATGCTTAACTTATTTTTCATAACTTGGCAATCCCTATCATCCTTTCTGAAGCTACGTGATTAGTCCTACTCAAAGCACGCAAAGTTGTTCATACCAATGTAAGCCGGTTTAAAACAAGCACTAAAATCCAACTATGTAGGCTATAGCAATTGAATAAGTCCAGCAGTCCGAGATAGTGTAATGGATGAGCTAGAAACAAACTCAAATGTTTGTTACAAACAGTAAAACATGACATTATTATTACACATTGAATTTAACGTATAATGGCAGACATTTTCAGAGACTAAATCTAGGCAGAGGAAGGTGGGACATGGGGCACAGTGGAAAATCAGCTCTCCCACTCGTACTATATCCGGAATTACGTATGCGGTTCGACAAAGGTCGTGCAAAGCGCTGTCTGTAAGCTATGAGGTGAAATTAGTTTTGGGGGATGGAAACTAAAATTCCACCATTCCAGTTTTTTCTTTTTTCTACTTTAGCTTTTCCAACATGACAAACCACGGTCTGATATTTTTCAGCTTCACACCACTGTAAAATATTCAAAACGTTGGCAAATGGATGTGCCTTCCTAATTTCGCCGTGGGATGGTCTGAAAATATTTGTTTCCTATGAGGAACAATGGATCGGGGTTCAGTGGTACATGCCCTACTGGGCACATTTCGGCAGTGTTCGATACAATAAGTGCTTAGAGGCCTGGAGATGCGTCAAATTTTGTGTATTATTATGGTATCTTTTGGCCCATGGCCATGGCCCAATATGGAATCTATTCGAGAATCAAAAATATCCCAGAGTTAGAATCGAAAAAGAAAATGATTTAATTTGTTTGCGAAATTTTGTGTGAAAATATCAGAAATGTTTTGGTTAACATTGATTTTAAAAATCTTAAATCTCCAAATTGCCAGTTTCTCTGTTCTTAAGAAGGTAATACTGATCAATTGCTAACTTTTAAGCGCATACTTCGTTGAATTTTGACAGAATGTCCCCTTATTGTGCCTCAGGTTCTGTCCGGATGTGCCCCACGAGTGGGGTACAGTGGGACACTTGACAAACGTTTATCAGAGCAATCTGGTTGTAAGATGTGTGAGTAATTGAGCATCCTTTCAGTTTATTTTTCGGCTGACGTGACAGTGCCCCGCTAGAATATGCTTCTTGGTTGGCCACATATGCAAGTTTCACTGGCTGACGCTAGGATTTGTGAGTTTAGTCAGGATTGCTCAAATACCCATGTGAGTGCTCGGGACAACTTTTTTAGTTGTTTATGTTTAAAAAATCCGTCAAAAACTACACGTAAATACTAGACCTAAGCTGCTTTTCCAAGTTTTGAAATATAGCAAAACAAAGACGTTGTCCATTACCACTCAAGCGTAACAAAGCAGCCGTGAGCTCATATGCTTCGTGTTCATATATTTGAAGATGGCTCTCTTGTTTTTGATCATTTTCTTCTCAACTTTCACACTTACCATATGAATTAGTAAAACCAAAAGTTTGTCTGAAAACGGAACATCTTTTAATAGTATCGGCTGCCCGATTCCCATTCAAGAGTTTATCTTTTTTGTTTTTCTTATACATTTTTTGTATGATAAATAAAAAATATTTTGGGCCATCAACTATTTTCTTGACTTTTACATATAAGAACTACAAGAGCATTAAATGTCATTGGATTTCAGCCGGTATGTTAGTCGTTGATTTTAGCGGTTTATTTTTTGCTGTTGTGAGCATAACCATGATGTATATAAGGACTTTGAGCATAACAACTCACTAGCGCCATCGTGTGGGTATTTGGGGGCATTACCAAACCAGCCAAATACAGAGTTCAGCAGTTCTGCAGTTCAGTTGGACCATATTTACGGTTTGACTGTCTGGTTATTGTAGTTATTCTAGTTCTACTCCTCCGTTAAGAGAGAGGGATTTATTATTTTGTCAACCAAAATAAAATAGCAGTCATCGTAATAATACAGGCCGTACGTACAGTTTAAATATTTCGAACTTTTGGACCGTACTGCCGTACCGGTACCGGTAACTTTTCAAAATATGAAGATGACGGCAGAATCAGCCTGTGAGTATCTCCTGATTCTGTAATCAGTTTTATTTATTTCTGTATTTTGTTTTTATCAATTAGACTAGGGTACCGATACGGTATCATTTTTCCGATCTAAAATGCTGAGTACTGGAGTGGTATCGTATGACAGTATGAAGTCGAAATCCAGAAATCTACCTTCAGACCTTTATTTGTTTATGGTACCGTACGGTACGGTACCGGTGCGGTATTTTATTAGTCTACATGGTGCCTAAATATTATAGTGTGACACTGTTTGCAGTGATTGCAGACTCTGAGACTTGTACAACTGTACGGTCAAACAACCAGGTGTCGGGCTTCCGAAAGTCGGGTCTCATGTAGTTTTGTACCGGTACCTAAAGTAGGGTGGTTTAGCCACTTTGCGGACCCACGACCTATTTGCGGCCATCAACTTCATCGATTAAAATAATGCCGAAAAAATTAACGAATTGCGACGATATTTTTCACGCGTTATCGTCCACTTATTCCTCAGAGCTCTGCGAAATTATACTAAAATGCGGTCACAAACAAAAAAGTTACGACTGAAAACTGGACCTAAGAAAAAAACGGACCATTTTTTCATGTCGCCAACTACCCTTTGTCCCTTCAAAAAAGGCTGGAAATACGTACAAATATATGAGATTTCTTTTAACCATCTTTAAAGTTTTCCTTTTCTATGTTTAAAGGAGGAGGAATAGGGGGGTGCGCATTTCCAATACATCGATAATATCTTTGTCGACTAATTTGCGACCCCTGTGTTTTTGTCTGTTTGATTGCTGTGATGCGGTGCTTTGTTTATAATTTGACGAGTTTTGTTCGAAATAACTGTGTTCTTAAAATATATGAGGGTCAGAAATGCGATTAGAAGCCCAATTTTTTCACGCATGGCTGCATATGTTCTAGTCTCGACGCAGCACAAATGATGTTCAAGGCTTGAAATTGTGGTCGCACACTGGTCATTTGGTCGCAAATACGTCTTCTGAGTGTCGTACTTTGGTGGTTTGTATAGCTTTAACCCCTGGTCGTAGAAAGTTTAGCATGTAGAATAAATGTCGATGCACTTACGGTAAAAAAATTAACGAGTTAGAAATATTGTTTTTGTGTTATTGCGGTTTGAATGAAATCGTCCGCAGACTGGCTACACCACCCTAGTTACTTCTAGTTAGCATAGCATAACAAGTTTTGCATATGTCAATCCTAACTCCCACCTGACTGCTCGATTGCTTTATCTAAAAACTACGTCCCTACGACGTCATCGTGACGTACCTGATAAGGCCCCCCAAACTATACGAACTGTCATCCAAGACGCGCAGACGATCTTAACTTAACTTAGAGATAAGTCGCTATCTAACAGCCGCTGTTTTAATGCGGCCGCCACTATGACAGTCGCTCACTCGATTACGGCGCTATTATGAAGTCGCCATTATGACAGTCGCTGTTTTGACAGTCGCTATCCGGCCTGGATACCATTAAGATTACTTCTAATGAATTTGTTATATACATATTAAACGATAGATTCTTCTCCCAATGACATCCATGGCATACGGTACTTTGTTTGCGGCCTTTGTGGTTTTAGAAACTCACTTTATCAGGGTCTAGGGTAGTTTAGTATCACAAGTACTTCTAGTGGGCTTTTCATAACCTATTTTGCATATGTTATTCCTAACCTCCACCTGGCTACGTCATCCAAACATTACGTCATTACGACATCACAATCACGTCATATAGCTTGCTAAAGTTTAGCTACGATTGCCCCATCGCGGTCCTTATTTTGTCACTGTTACATCGTAGTGGAGTAATTTTCAGATAAAGTAGTCAGGTGTGGGTTAAAAATGAAATATGCAAAAATTGTTATGCCACGCTCACTAGAAGTTATTGTGGTACAAAACTACATAAGATCCCTTTATCCAATATGTATCATTCTGGTGAATGTTCTTAGCTGTTACTGCAATTGGAAGCTTTGCATAATGTCTTTGTTTTATTGTTTTTCATAGTGCTTGACCTTCCAATCCAAGATCAAGAAATTTTGAAGGCTATATGGAGGAAAAAGGGAATACTGCTGGAGGAGATAGAGGTTTGTTTATTTTTTAATAATATTCGATATTTAAGTCAGGTCAGAAGATCTTCCATGTATCGGAGCATTCTTCTTAACCCACCCACTGGAGTGTATAACTTGAAATTATAATGGAAATATACCAGACTGTTTGACATAATTTAGTGGCAGATTTTAATAACCACCTGATCAAAAATTAGCTTAAGCTTTGCAAATTCTTGAAATTTCGCCAGATGAAAACAGAACAGGCCTAAGTCACAATTTCGAGTTTTGAGAAAAACGCAAAAAACAATTTGGAATTTTTTTATTTTCGAATTTCTAGATATTCACACTTAGTAAAGTCCTGAGCTCTGGTTATTTTAATGTGGATGAGAATATCTTTGTAATCAATATTTTTGGCACTACAGCTTCTGAAATTTTTTATATGGGATGCAAGGTAAAACAAGGTGACTTAGGCCTAAGTTGCACTGAACAAATTTTTAGGGATGTAAGTTTCGTACATTTCATTTCTGATGTTCATGCCCATCATATTGGAACTTAGGACTATCTTTTTTTTCAATATTTTAGGGGTTTTGAGCCATGCTCTACAAGGGGTGGTCTTGAAATCCTGAGTTTCTCAATAATAAAAATTTCAGCTGGACTCAGGCCCATTCTGTTCCCAAATATTTTAGTCTTAAGTCCAGCTAAAATTTTTATTATTGAGGATTTCAGGATTTCAAGACCACCACCTCGTAGAGCATGGCTCAAAACCCCAAAATATTGAAAAAAGTCAATTTTCCAAAAATGTGACTTAGGCCCCTTCTGTTCTCATCCGGCGATTTGGCTTAACTCAGCTTGTTAAGTATTTCAACAAACTTTGAAACTTTTCTCATTATTCCACCAAATATGATTTTGGGGTGTTCCATTAGATATGCCACCTCCCACAGATTATCATCAATTCCCTGGGGATCTTGAAGTTAACCAAATTTCTTTGCTAAAAGCATTAAAAAACCAATGAAATTAGGCGTAATAATTCAACTACAATATCCTAACATGAAATGAATACTTAAAAATAACTGAAAAGTAGATCTGATGATCATTTGCTCAACAGTATCATGTTTATGATATACAAACACAACATTGCCTAGTTCTATTTTGCTTATTAATGTTTAACCCTCATATGTATATAGCTCTGTTATCTGTTGGTTCCCATATTTATAGATAGACATGTTATATTATATTCAGTTCAATTCCTTCTTGCAGTTTCGTACTATATACATTTTTATGTCATTACAGAAATTAAAACGGGAACTGAAAGATGTTAATAAAGAAATTGAACAGGTAGAAGATTCTGAAGAGAGGTTAGTGGCTTGGATATTCTATGCTGTGTTATTTTTTTAGCGTAGTATTGAACGTTTGACAAACTTGACTTGGCATTCTCGGACTTATATTAATTCATATCATTTGAAATATATAACATTTTAATCTGGTATGTGAATATACTGAATATTTCCCAATACCAGTATTTTAGAAATTTATTTAAATATAATTTCAGAAAATTATATATTTGAATGAAGTTGCTTAATTTGAGATATTGTATCTTATGTATTCATTTAAATAATGCTAATACTTAAATTAATAACTGTCAAATTAGGAGTCATGTTGCTTGTATATTTGTCATGGGAATATTCTCAAATAGTATACTTTCATGCAAACAAAATTAAACTTGTAATGGGAGTAAAGTACTCTTAGATTTTATTTTGTTTAGTTATGTTCCTTCATTAGAATCAACAACTAGTTTGCTCCTATTTTCCCAATAATTAACAATATCTACCATTATCTATTGTACTTTAACTGAACTTGTACGAAAACGGGATAGACTAATTTGAGATGTAAATATAGAAATGTATAATATGTAAGTATTATCAATTACTTTAATAGTGTGATAAATAGAAATAATTTCCCTTTTTTCTCAATTTCCAATTTTATTTTTATGTATTTCTTGTATTTTTCAACAGCAAATCAAATTCCAGAGCAAAGCAGTTGGCCATAGGAAAAAAACGTTTCAACAGCGATCCTAAAAAGGTAAAAAAATTTTTCTTCCATGCCTGAATTCGAAAAAAAAACTGAAGTACAGTAATTAATTACGGTAGTCAGGGATGGCCATTTCCGAATACTAAACTATTCCGAATACATTCTAAAATAATGTTTTCGAATCTGGAATTCCGAATACATTCTAAAATCGAAAATAACACATTTTTGTTTTAGTTTAATAAAACCCAGTAAAATAGGAAATAAGCTTCAATAGAAATATTAGAATAAAGCCACAAACCAACAGTATATGTACACAAAGTAATTGATAGTTTATAGCTATCAATAAAAAATAATAGCAACTTGTGACACAGTCAGTTTATTAAAATTATTCACTTTGTACAAATGACCATATGAAAAGATAGCCAAGGAGTTCTAAGTCTATTGACAAAAATACTACTTGTATTCAGATAATTGTGTATATTTTCTGAGAGTAATAAAATTTATTGGCAATACAGCCAACAACAATCGAAAATCCATTATGCCTTTAAAAATTCTAATATTTAAGCCTGAGGTATTCTACTACCTACCAGTATATTTGTATATTAATTTATGTGAACCATATTGTTGTGTTTGGAATTAGAAATAAATTAGTAGAGTATAGATGACCACCACTGCCACCACTTTCGAAATCGGAAATTCCCATTGCCGCCTGAAACACCCACCGCGATTTCGCGCTCGTTAATTAAAATAGCCGTCTTTCCAGCGTATAATGATCATTCTGTTACGTAAAAATTCAATCCATGACAACTACGAGATTCTAAAATATCTTTATATAATAATTTAATGTGTCCAACGTAACTCGCGGTTGCTTCTTCTTAGGTCAAAAAAAAACATTACTATTCGGTCCACGGCGATCTGTGACCTAAAATAAATAGATAAACTGCCTGATGTATTTAATTTTAATACGTATTTTTGCAATCTTGCCAACTCGTTATCGCTGTTGGAAAAATCTCAAATAATTATATAAAATCCTGTTAAGTGTAGAGTATAATTCATTTCATACAATGAATATACATATAAAGTTTAGCAGTGAATTAAAAATACATATTCATCGCCGCGATTATGCCACCTGTTAAAAGAGTCGACTTTTACAACAAATAATATAACAACGAATATATATTTTTCTGTTGTGCAAAGTGATGAATTCATGACCGACACGGGCATATTTAAAATGTCTTGCTTTATTAATTTAATTGTCTTCAATTTAACCTGCGGTTGCGTCGACAAAAGAAAATCCTCACCACTCTTATATACCATTGCAATCCGCGGTCATAAAAATAAAAACGTGAGGTAGACTGTTCGATTAAATATTGTTTTGATCCGTATATTGCGAATTCGGCAAATATTTAGATGTACTTGTTAACAGTGACTCCGCTCGATCGAAATGCTACCACTCTGATTATTTTTAGATAAAACCGTTCGAAAAATTCATAAATATGCTGTAATATCTCAGAGTAAAATTTATTTCATCACAATAAAATTGATTGAATATACTTTAGATTAATTATATTATATACAACCTCACAACCCGGAAAAAAGTCGCGTTTCAAACCTTGTATCGTGTTAACACGAAAATATCGACGGCAATTTAAAGTAATGGATAATCAGGCAAATCCCGCCCTCAATTAGTGACGATATGTTTCTAAACGCCGACCAAACAATGTGTGCCAGAGGCACACGAAATTTTGCGATTTTCACTGCCTAGAAAAGCGTTTTTCAAATTTTCGCGGGCCTCGATAAAACTTACATTGTTTACGGTTTTATTTTCAGTATTTTAAATTGCCGCTTTTCAATCAAAAAGTTGCGTTGTCTTCAGAAACTCGCCGCCAATGAACGTATTTACCAGATTCACAATTCCGTGCGCGTACAAAAATAAAATAAATGTTATCGTTATCGTGGAACAAATTTGTGGAAAATTTTCGTTTTAGAGAAAATAACACAATCGTAAAGGCGTTTACGGGCCAAAATAACACGTTACGCTGATGAGTGATGAAAACAATCACGCGCAAGTTTCTATCGAGAATGTTTTCATTCAACGGAAACACGTCTTGAAAGCGGCGTCGAAAATGTGTGACGTCACACAAATATCCGATATTCTTATGAACGTGAATTCCGATATTCGAATGACGAGATATTCGAATACATTCGAATACTTTATTCGAATTGGCCATCCCTGACGGTAGTCATCAAAAAATTAGGCTACCAAATATAGGCTATGCAGAATATTGCTTCCAAAACCAATTTGCTGAATTCTTATTGTACACTTTAGATTCCCAAATTTGTTGCGCAATAGTTGTATGGAATGTAAAAAATATTATTATATGCTGTTTTAAAATGCATTGAAGTTCAATTAAACATCTTGTTTTTTAAATTTGAATCACTCTAATCTTAATGATTTAGGATGTGATTTGAAAGCTGGCATTCTTTGTCATTAAAAACGAAAGTAAACTCTGTTTGACTTCTGCTTTAATGCTTCAATTATTCATTAAAACCAATCACCTATGCTTCATATAATTATGATGTCATAATGCTTATTCACATATATTCAATTTAAAATTATGACATGGTATATAGTGATCCACATACATAATAAAAAATTAATAATAGTGACTTTATCATTACACATGATGACAGTGTGGAATTCTTGGTAGTTGTCACTTTTCTTAAAACTATTTTAACATGTGCGCATCAAGTATGAGCCTATAGTCACTGCGATTCGCATCCATTCTCCATGATCGGACTTTTTCTCTAGTTTAATAAATTTATATAGTTCGGTATAATCATCTTAGTCATATTCAGTCAGTGTATTGGTCATTAGTTAAAATATTTCAGGATTTATGATTGAAGGTTGCAACTAGCAATGTATTATAGTTTTCATGCTATAAGTATTGACTTTTGACTATTTCAGTGTTTTGGTGTTCAAAATTAGAGTTTGCACTCAACTATTAAATCATAATCATGCTATAATAAGTATTGGAAGGCGGTAAATACTATGGTCGTTCGTGGGTTTTGTAGTACAGTGTAGCCTACTTCTGTGCAGGATTATTCATACATTTATAACATATAAGGCATTTCTATTGTGTGTTCTGTGTATACATTGCGAATCATAGGTTTGGGAATAATCAATTTAGCAATTGATGTTGTTTAAGGAGTCAGTGACATGTGGGACAATATAAACTATTATTATCTCCCTTGTATGACCAGCTCATCTACCAATCTTGTTAAAATTTTCAAAAATTTATCATGTAATGTTGTATAAATCGTGTTAAATTTATGTTTACAGTTATATCTTTTATTATTTAATAGCTTTTTCAAAATAATTATAGATTGCTTGTTTTAAACATAATATCCCAAATTTTACTAGGTACAAAAATCCCCTTCCCTCACTTAGAGTACTTACGGTACATCTCAAGCAGATGCATAAATCACATCCTTTAAAAATTCGCAGTATTGCATTCAATAGCTTATTTACTGGTATTTGAGTGTTTTGTATGTTTTCCTTCTTATTCAGGGTATGGAGTATCTAATAGATAACGATATAGTCACACATGATGAAAAGAGCATTGCGGAATTTTTATATAAGGGAGAAGGTTTAAACAAAACCGCAATTGGTGATTATCTCGGAGAAAAGTAAGATCTTAATATGTGTGATGTTGTACTTGTACCTATAAAATTAAGTGTTAAAAACTTCCTTAGTATTGTACATCTAGTTATCATTTGTGAACAAAACTATATAGTACACTAACAGGATTTTTTAGGCCTATTCACTTTGACTAATTCTGAAATATGGTATTAAGCTGTTGGACATTTTAAACTTGGAATTATAACGTGGTGTTTTTGTTTATTTGGAACACAAAATGTAACTTTTTTGCAGGGATGAATTTCACCTCAAAGTTTTGAATGAATTTGTTAATCTACACAAGTTTTCAGGTCTTGGATTAGACAAAGCTCTCAGGTAGAATAGATTTTGTTTATTAATATTTTATCAGTGTTTTATTGATTGACATTCTATCGGATGTATTTATTTTTATCAATTCATCTATTTTTTAAGAACTTTTTTTACAATATAACATGAAATAGCATATCTTTTCACAAAAAATTTCAGTTACTCCATTATAATATTACTCGTGGGCTAGAATTCTAACATTTTATTTTATTATGGCAGGGATTTTCTATGGAATTTTCGATTACCTGGTGAAGCACAAAAAATTGATAGAATGATGGAAGCCTTTGCCAGTCGATATTGTTCTTGTAATCCCGGTGTTTTTCTCAACACAGGTAGGTTCATACGTCTTACTTTTATATTTTTTTAGAATTTTTTATTTTGGAAGAATTCACCAAGAGGGGAAATTGGGAAATATTTTTTAATTTTGTATTTTAAAAATTTCTGTAAAAATAAATTTTTTGGAATATATTTGGAATAGGTATGCAGTTTCAACCAAATTTTACGGTAACGGTTTTCGAAATATTTTCAGATACTTGTTATGTTTTATCATTTGCAATCATCATGCTCAATACATCACTACACAATCCGAGCGTAAAGGAAAAACCAACAGTGGACAGATTTATATCCATGAATAGAGGAATAAATGATGGGAAAGATCTTCCAGATGAATTACTAATAGTAAGTTTTTTGAGCAAACTGCAGAATCATGAATCTAGTTTTCTATAATGTTGGCTACTACTCCATTGGGCACGAGTAGAATCAAGAAGATCATCATTAAAAATCTAGTAATGAATTTTCAAACTTAATTATTAATCTAATCCTAAATGAAGGTCCATCATTACTCTTTATCAACGTTTGATGTAAATATTGCTATAGATGTCATGCCAGGGTCACCAGGGTGATTTAGACTTTAATTTTTACGATAGAATTTCATCCATTAACTCAAACCTAATTATCATGTTTTCATTGTTCTTTACACAAGAACTAAGTTTTTAAAAAGCGATGTAGAAATGTTACATTACCCATACTAAGTCATAAATAAGAATGGAAATTGTTTGATTTATATGTTGCATTATCATTGAGTTGGCCAGTCCTGACTGTTTAATATATATTTGGGAAGTTCGTTATTTTATTGTGTGATTTGCTTGAACATGAAGATGTATCTGTGATTGATGCTTTTTTTTTTAGTATTTTGATAAACTGTGCTTAGCTGTAGAATTATGTATCACTGGTCATCCGAGCTACAACCATTTCAGTTTTATTTTTTATCACTTTTATTTTGAGTGACTGGCACAGTTATAGAAGCCCCAATTTTGGAATTAGCAATTAGCAAATTGGAAATCTTGATTTATCGTACTATTATTTCTACTTATTCTACGAATACTGTGATTCCCCATTATTAAAGTTACAAATATGCAATTTTCAATAAAAGTACGTACGGACAAAATCTTTAATATTTAACGCCAATTCTTGAGGATGAGTTCATTTCAGATTGATTCTATAGATGGAAATTTCTTTTCATGAATGTGGAATACTTCAATTACATCATTCTTTCTTGGACTTTTGATCGGCAGGCATTTAGAATGTCATTTCATTTTTGATTTCGTGATATCTCGCAAATTAATTTTGCCATATTTGGGATAATATGCAAATCAAACTTTTGTTATTTATTTAATTGCAACTATACAATACGTTATCTTTGTAAGTCATTGTGAAAATTTAGAAGGAACCTTGTTAGTATTGTTACATAAAATATACCAAATTTAGTTACATGTTACTTCAATGTATATTCCATTAAATTCCATATTAAATTTTTCGTGATTTTTTGAATTGCAATCAAATCTTTCATGTATTATATTATGCTTAAAGTTTATAGCAAATTTCTTCAAAGCAAGTAGCATATTTAATTATTACTATTCTTCTGTACCCAAACCTACATTTCTTATACCTGTAAAAAAAATTATGTTCAAGTATTCATTAATATTTTTGTCGCCAATGTAAAAAGAATGCTCAATGTAGTAATCTGAACATTGCACATCATTTGAATAGCAAGTACCCTCATCTACATCTATCTATGACAATATTTTTGTCTGGCATGCATGAGTACTACTTAGATGTGTAAAGCAGCCAAAACTTGAAATTGAGTTTACAATTTTTTTTAAACGGCTAGAAAACACAGGAATGTAGAATCAAACATTTTCATGGAGAAACTTCAATTTTTCATGCAGATTTATCGCTTAATTGAACAATTAAATAATGGAGGTGAAGAAATTTTGTTGCGATGTTTATCATTGATAGCTGTCTCATTGGTCTTTTTTATATTTTCAGAATTTGTTTGACAGCATCAAAAAAGAACCTTTTAAAATACCAGAGGATGATGATGATGACCTCACAGCTACCTTTTTCAATCCAGATAAAGAAGGATGGCTTCTAAAACAAGGTATGTTGTTTCATCTTCATCACAAATTTTCATATGTGGTCAGTAGAAAAACTTCAATTCTGTTTATATCTCTTGCTTGAACAGCTTAAATGGCAGTTATACATAAATAGTTGCATAAACTCAGTACTGGCCTAAATCTCAAACTTATTCACTGGTCTTAATTTTGATGACACCGTCGATACTAAACACTGCATCCTTATTATTAACCTTGATAACACCACTGCCCACTAATAATGACTGCATCCTTTTATGATTGATAAAATAACTTTATTTTAAGATCTCTAGTCCTCACTTCTTAACAGAATATCGATAGAATTTTTAGTCTTACTTTTCTGGTTTGCTAATTTTATATGAAGAAGTGGAAAAACGTTCATAAAGGCATAATTACAATTCAATTTTTTATTTCCTTTTCGAAAGCACCCAAAATATTACAATTAGACTTCCATCTGTTTCTTCCAACTTATTACTGATTTTAGCAATGTTACAGACGTTTATTTATTCCGATATCAGATTGTTGGAAAATGCAACAGTGCTATGATATTATCCTAAAAAGGCAGAGCGCTCTAATATGCAAAATATGAAAATCTGAATTTTCAAGTCTCAGCGTACCCTCTTCGTTGTTTCAGTGTAAATAAAAGCATAACATTTAGTTTTATTTTACTTCAGAATATTTCAACAAACAGTTTAAAATTTTTAAATTCTTTAACATACCGGTAATACTAATGTCATATTTTGTGATAATCACATATCAATGTTAGATCTTCATTGTTGCTTATAATAAAAGATGTGGATGCCTTTTATATTTATGTGGATGCAAGTTATAAAACCCTAGTTTACACTGTATATATTTTATGTTTATATAATTCATTGATAATACAAAAACAAACATGGTTGCGACTCATGCCATGACTATGCAATAATACCACTAATGATATATTTTTGTTATTGGAATATACTACACCCACTATAATAGTATGCATTCACCTTGTAACGTAACATGAATGGTTTAATATTATTTAATTTAACCTTCAAAATATTTGATGTTTAAAGTTGCCATTTAGAATAATATATTTTCAAAAATCCCTTCTTTTTGTCTCCGATAACATCTCACAGGCTAGAGGCTGGTTTAATCAAAATGGCCTCACTCTGTTGAGTTTGCATGCTAGTCAGATTTCTGGTTCTGCCATTAGCTTATACGATATATGGCCTAAGCTTGGACACCTAAACTTGACTCGTTTGCGAGCTATGTTAAATCAGTCGGATTCAGCGATTCTACTGTTGCATTGTTTTCCACACTATTAATTCTTCATTAGTCTTAGTGGCTCTAGCATTGTCGCTCGTACATTTGCTCAGAGATCAATCTCTCAATTTCTGAGTGAGTGCGCATGGCGACACTCAGAGGAAGATGAAGATCCTCAACCCAGCTACCTCTCATACTCTAAATATTAATTTGAAATTCTGTTTAAGCCAGTACTATCAGTTTCTTTATGCATTTCTAACAAAATGCTTACATAACTGTTATTATTATTAACAATTCTTTTTCTTTTTTTTTCGCTCTAACCTCTCGCTGGCATCTGACATTAGGAGGTATGTTAATAATGTAGTTCATAGTTGCAGCCTGGGAATGTTTTATTTTGGTTTTATTTTTCATTTGGAGCATCTCGCTCATGGATCATAGTTCGGTTTGGAAGATTTTTTCTGTTCCTATTTTATTTTCAACTGAGTTAATTTGTTTAGTAAAGCTTCTGATTAGTTTATAGCCTATTGTTCTAGTTTTTTTTTTCAGATAAAGGGAATATATTTAGTTTTCTGAAAATTATCATGCATTAGGAATAGTAGTTATTTGGTCATGCTTGACTTTGTATTGCCCATTTATCAGTTACAAAATATTGATGAATTCCGTTTATACTTTCTTTGTAATATTATCGGTATTGAACATTAGATATTCTAAAATTTGATTAAATAGATGATGTTATTTTTATTCGGAAACTCTATTTTTTAAATATTCTCCAAGTTCATCCCAATCTGGCCATATTTTTTTATAGTATTTTTATATTTATTTAATAATCATCATTTAGAACTTCATTTTTACTTTGTGAAATTTGCCAAAAAAATTTTTGGATCTTGTTTGCCAATTAATTATGTTTTCTAACTTCAAGATTGGAATGTGTATTTATTTCAAATAAATGAATTCAGTGTCTAGATTGGAATCTTGCCTTTCATTTCGTGCCAAAGAATGAAAAACTTTTCGTTATGTTCTTTATTTATCGATATTTCTATATTTAAATATCATTTTTTTTGACGTCATGCTGAATGTCTCATGTCTTGCATGATTTTTCTAAATTCTAATATTCATGCATGCATGCAAACACCTATGTAGCAAATAGCAATGCTTTCCAGTAGTGTGTTTTTCATTTTGCAGTAACATTTGAGAATATTTTTATTACCAATATATTACACTTTACAAATACTCTATTGAGATTTTGTCAGTTTGTAATAGTACATCCATGCCTTGGGATTATTTTTGATATTCTTTATTAATGGCATTCTGTTTATAATGCTGTGTTTAACATGTAGTAATACGGGTGTTTCTTGAAAACTCTTTAAAATGTCTCGTATTCAAAATTTCACTTTTTCTGCGCAAATCTGATTTTACATTATGTTGTAGTTTCATGGATAGAAAAGATCATCTGCTCTTAAGTTTATCTATTCCACACTCGTAATTCTCATTTCGAAATAATGAAGTTTTAGTTTTAACCACTGGTAATCTCATTGCAATAAATGAATTTGACTTATACTGCATGATATTCGCATTCAAACCATTGTTATGCAGCATTAGGACTAAGCTAATTCTTTCTGAATAATCCTTTTCTAAGTTGCTAATCACAAATTCATTTTTAATTTTTTTTAGTAAATTTTACCATTTTTGAAATTGCAAATCATTGTTTTGTAATCTAAGTCATTTTCCTTTGTATAGATCATAATGTCTTGTTTCTGTTTTGTAACTATTTTTAATTTTTTTCTAATTCACAATTTTAATATCTGTAATGTGGAAACTCTTGAACGATAATAACAATATATATTATTGATGATTTTATCACAATATTCCATTGTCCAAACTTACTAATTAGATAATAAGACCAATTATGTAAGCAAAATTATTCAAAACAAAATCTGCAAAAGTCACGTAGTCTACTTACTTTAACTAACGTCATATCATATATTTTCTAATGTATAATGTTTTTCACTTTAGGTGGACGATACAAAACATGGAAAAAAAGGTGGTTTCTTTTGACAGATAATTGTTTCTATTATTTTGAATTACCTCAGGTAAATTTCAATTTTATGAAATGTTATTAACTTATTATTAACAGTGATGGCCGAAACTGAATTTTTTACTATTCCGAATACATTGTAGAATAATATTTTCGAATATGGAACACATTCCAGATTATGGGCAAGTTCATGTGGAAAATTAGATAAATCACTATATCGCCGGATGAGAACAGAAGGGGCCTAAGTCACATTTTTGCAAAATTCACTTTTTTCAATATTTTGGGGTTTTGAGCCATGCTCTACAAGGTGGTGGTCTTGAAATCCTGAATTTCTCAATAATAAAAATTTTAGCTGGACTTAGGACTGTAGAAGTTAAGACCAAAATGGGCCTAAGTCCAGCTAAAATTTTTAATATTATGAAATTCAGAATTTCAAGACCTCCTTGTAGAGCATGGCTCAAAACCCCAAAATACTGAAAAAAGATAGTCTCAAGTTCCAATATGATGGGCATGAACATCAGGAATGGAATGTCCGAAACGTACATCCCTAAAAATTTTCTTCAGTGCAACTTAGGCCTAAGTCACCTTGTTTTACCTTGCATCCCATACAAAAAAATTCAGAAGTTGTTGAGAACAGAATGGGCCAAAGTCCATTATGGGGTTAAAAAAGCAGGGAGGAATTGAAGCTAAAGTGCCAAGATATTACAAAGATATTCACATCCACATTAAAATAACCAGAGCTCAGGTCTTTACTAAGCGGGAATATCTAGAATTCCAAATTGTTTTTTGCGTTTTTCTCAAAACTCAAAATTGTGACTTAGGCCTGTTCTGTTCTCATCCAGCGATACCTTAATGTTGATCACATCTAAAACGACATAATATAATAAGGGTCATTGTTTGTTATCAATTAAGATATCAGACTTTGATCCGCTTGTCTGATGGCTCAAAATCTCTGATTTTTGATAAAAAATATTCTGACTAATTTCCAAATTCGAAATTTTTTATATCCAATATAATGAAATATGAATGTATTTGAATATTTGATTCGTTTTGAACATTCCTGGTCATTTATATAAGACCAAGTCCTATATATTTTTCATCTCATGGCAATACTGAAAATCGAACCTGCTATCTACATGGCAAACAGATGGATTCCAAGCTTTCTCAAAATTTGATGATCACAGAATTACATTATAATTCAACAGGAAACATGAAGCTTGTGTTTTGTGTGGAAAATATGAAATAGGCTGAATACCTCTGTGTCTTATTTTGAAGAATTCAAAACAGTCCGTGCTTTAATACTACTAATTATAATATTTTTTTATTTAACAGGATCGTGAACCAAAAGGAATAATTCCACTAGAAAATTTACAAATTAGAGAAGTTGGTGATCAGAAAAAACCTGTGAGTTCGTATTTTTTAACCATAATATCAAATATATAGAATGTGCTGAGAAAAGGGTTGTTAAGATAGCTCAGCCGTATGGCATACCACAGAGATTTGAGTTTTGCACTAGTTTTAATAATTGTGTTTCGAATCAAAAGTATGAAAAAGTACAATAGATATGGTAGGCTACTTAGTGTGAAATATCTATACTCTTTGCAAACCCCAAAATTCATTGCACGCCCCCCTGCGGGCCGTGACCCCAGTTTAGGAAGCCCTGATGTAAACAATCTTAGGTCTGTGAGGAGACCAGCCCGAAGTGCGATGGTAAGCATATTCCTTGCGCTTAGTACGATAGGACAACCACTCGTACAACAGCCATAATTAGAAATTTCCAATCTATTTCATATAAAAAATCATTTGTCTACTAACAGTAAGGTTGGGTAACCACATTGACTAGATTATGTGAGTTTGTGGTAATACATGCTATTAATGCATGTTCCATAATAATTACTTTGCTCTGTGTGTTATTGACTATTTGTTTAGGTGAATTATTGATGTTTATTTAGTATGCCTGCATCCATAACATTGATCCATAAATTAGGCTTCTGATTATGTAGCCTACTACCTTAAAATTGCTTGTGCAATGCAATCTTAATACCAAACATCTTATAAAAATAGTTATACAATGTGTGAATCACTATTACATCAGGCTCGCTTGCAACATGTTATTGATCCAGCCCAATATTGAATAGCCTATTATTATGTCGTTTCATAATTACACTAAAAACTAATAATGCATACTTTTTTTACAGCATTGCTTTGAACTTTATCTACCAGAACAAGGACCAACACAAATGATCAAAGCCGCTAAAACTGATTCTGAAGGAAGACTTATACAAGGTAATTATTAATGATATGTTTTTCATTCTCTCAATATGTGGCACTTTTATTTCATATTAAATGAGAAACATTCCCTTGTTGAAAAATTGGATGGAATAACACTCAACCAGGGCTACAGAACTGGTTTGAAATGTTAATGTCTCCAATGCCACTGTATAGTTAAACTGCAGCTCCAGATCTTCATTTTTTGGGTCTCCTGAAGTACGCACTCACAAGTACTTCTAGTGGGCATAGCGTAGTAGCAATGTTCCCTCTAATTTTTTGTAGTATGTGTGCGCAGAAATTTTGGTGTGTGCGCACTTTTTTGGAAATGACTAATATTTGTGCAAAAACCAATGAAGAAATTTTGGCGTTCTAATGGGGTAATAAGTGGGCCAACAACAAACTTTCGCAACCTGCCAACTGAGCACATTGTACATTACATCGAAATACGTCTGTGCGCAGTAAATCTATGCGTGTGCGCAGCCTCTGAAAGCTGTGTGCGCGCGCACACGCGCACACCTTAGAGGGAACACTGCGTAGTAGCATAGATTTTTGCATATTATATTCCTAATTCCCACCTGATTACGTCGTCCAAAAATTATGTCACTGCAACAGAAATAGCTTGCTCAATTTCGGATGATCATCTGCTCTTACATTGACGACCATCGGTATACTTTGGAGGGCCTTAGTACGCCACTGTTTGTCGCACTGACGTAATTTTCGGATGACATAGATAGGTGGGGGTTAGGAATGATATATACAAACATTGTTGAGTCCAGGACACCAGTTTCACAGCCACTATGGTTTTTGAGTAAAATTTTGAAATTTAACTTTTAAGATAATATCAGAAATTCAACTTAAAATGAAATTATAAGCTAAAAAGTATAAATTATATTATTTGTATTATGTATCAGAAATTATACATGTGAAAAAATAAAATAATTTTGTATTTTTATTTTGTAATTCAGGCAAACACACAACTTACAGAATGTCAGCTTCATCAGCGGAAACAAAGGAGGCATGGATAGCTTGTATAAGGTTGTTAAATTTGGTTTTATTTGCGTTACTCTGTAAAATTTTGACTCTTGAGTCTTGACTTTTTTTGTAATACTTACCATACTCGTGCTTCATTTAATGTAGAAATTTAGATTGTAATGAATTTTTGAGAAAATCATCAGAATGATAAGACATCTTATCTCCTGCTTCTAATTTGTTGGCTTCTATCAATAAACACAACAACTAAAATAACTCATAGCAAACCATTAAAACAAAACTAAGGTTTGAAAAGTAAGGTATCATGGAATGTTAAGAACAGTATTTCTGAGGGGCCAAAAGTCTGAGAACCGTTGATTTAAAAATAAATAACAAAGACGAATTTTAAAATGCCCACTGGCCACTATTCAGATATGAACCTTTCCCTCGCTCTATGAGAGACATAAATAGTATAATCACATTGTTATTTTTCATACCCTTATGTACAAATGAAGCTTGCATACTCATACCATCTTGTTTTTTATTGCAGGAAAAGTGTGAGCAAAGATCCTTATTATGACATGATTGCTGCACGGAAGAAAAAAGCAGGATTGTCAAAATCAAATTGATTTATTTATTCACTATGTTTATCTAAACATTTATATCAATCAATTATGGAATTATGGTCAGTGGAAAAAAAAACTTGATCATGTGTTGGATAAAATAAGTCCTTTTCTGATTTTTCAATTCTATCTGCTACTGATCAATTCAAATGATGAAGTTAGTGTTAGCTTTAAGTTGAGGAGACGTTATTGAAATTTTTAAGCTCGGCCATGATATGAAGTAGTTGATCCACTGATTCGTCTTTATATTTACAGAGGGTTTCAGAATAAAAGACGTTTTCTGATGAAGCGTTTTTGCCTGATGTGTTTTAGTAAACCAATCATTTTAACCTTAAACTCAAAAATTTAGTTTGCAATGGTCCAAATGATCTGTATATTTAGAGTCTTGTTCAAAAAGTTGATCTATAAATTTTATTGAGATATTATAAATGGAATTTATTATTGAAACTGATATTCCCTATTGGATGTACTCGATTGTGAACAATTTTTGTTTTAATGCATCTATATTTTGTTTATCTTACTATTATGACTTCTGTATTTGACTTTATCAGGTACTATATCAGACAATATCAATTTCTAGTTCGTTTTAGAATATTTTTTCATATTTCCAAACATACTAGCATAATAATTCTTTAAATCTGTATATTGTGTAATCACATGCCCACATGTAATATTGACAGGTAAACTTTTCCCTAAGTATATCTATGTAGTACTGCAGTTTCTACGAGTGCCGTAAAAGTATACCATTATTGTTTTCAGTCAATGGATTTATGTTTTTTTTTTTACCAGTGCTCTTTTCACATACTCTCATAGGTAGAGCCTGCCAGTAGCACTTAAATTTGGTAACGATTAAATTTAACTAAATCATTAATCAATTTTGTATTTATATACATATGTATTTAAATTTTATTCAATGAAATGATTTTAACAACATTGGAATTTTCAATATAATGAATTATTTTACTGAATTGAAATTTGTTTAATTTTTATCATTTCTTCTAACAACCATTCATGTATGCTTCGTCTAACTGGTTATGTTGAGACTGGTTACATTCTCTCCAGCTTTTTCTTTAGTTGAACGAAAATTGTAGTTTTTTCTACAAGGCCAAAATATGTTCTTTCTATGAAATGAAAAATTACTCCGGATGTCAAACAGAAAAGTAGCTAAAATATGACTGAGTAATTCTTTTGAGTTTCTGACTTTGGCAATAATTTTTGGTTTGGCACAGTAATAGCGGATTTTTTTCTATTCTATTCTGTAATGTTTTTTCTTTTTAATAAAATTTGTATTGGTAAAATAAAACTCTGTTATTGTTAGAACGAACTGAGATTCTTATTGGCAAAGAGATGGACAAAACTATGAAAACTTGAATTATCAGTTTTTAGGACACCTTGGTAAGAGTTCGGCTTCTAGTAAAAGATTTGCTATATTAGTCTATTATAAATAAGTTATTATTAAGCTGGACTATTTGGATGCTGCTTATTAAAAAAAGAGCGATGCACCACTTATCCACCGTTTTTTTTATTTACAGAAAAGGCCAGTAAAATCGACGAAATATTCTGACCGAATGGCACATTGATGACACAGCATAATGTATGCAAACCTGAAAACATTGAAAATATTTTGTTAACATAGAACTCAAAAAAATGAAAGTACGGTATGTCTTCTAGCGCTAGCCCACGAGTGTAAAACTCGCGGGTCGCATGCGGCCCCAGGGAACTTCCAATGCGGCCCCCGAACGCTTAACAATACCTGTAATATTTTGTAAGGTTTTTCATCTAAATGTAATTCCTTTTTCAAACTTTGAAAAGTTATGTACAGAAATAAAAAAAAATATTTTTGTGAAACTTGCTGTACACCAACACAAACCTTTCAAAATGAAATTGATTATACACATAGAAAACGACAACTTACTGAAAGTAGTGTTGGAAAAAAAAATTTTCTCATGTTTTCAACTTGACACAATTGTGGATACACCTTGAGATAGCAAAAGAATACTCGAAAAAACACCCTAGGGCAGCGTTTCGCGGACTATTTTCTCACCGGCGAAACCCTTTGTGGACTCGATGTGCGTTTATTGCAACCGCACTCTGTGTGAAGAAGCAATAAAACCAAACACTACCGAATTTTATTGAATCAAAATCGGAAGTTGGCCGCAATTACGCGTTCGTAAAAAGAACCGACTTTTTTAGTGTATAATGAATGGCCTTTTCTGTCGCACAATATTTAATCCATGACAACAACGAGAATTTAAAATGTCTCTCTATTTTAATTGTGTTCATGGTAACTTGCCGTTGCGTCGACTTACAAGATGAAAGCATTACTTCTTTAAAATGCCACAGCAATCTACGAATATATCAATTTGAGAATAAATTGCGCGATTATATTTAGTTTTTATACATATTTTTTGCGATCTTGCAAATTTGTTACCGCCTGCTAACTGCTATAAATTTCCAGAAAGTACAACTTGATTTAGTACTTATTAAAAATATATGTATATTAGTAAATCGAAAATACACTTCATCGCCTTGCTTTATTATTAATTTAATTGTGATCTGCGTCGCATTTTAATATTCGGTTGTGTTGACTAAATAAATGCAATACTACTCGGAAAATATCATGACAATCAGTGGACACAAAAATGTGTGGTAAAGTGCCCGATTATTTTGTTTTGATTCGTATTTTTGTGAATTCGACAAATCTGAGATGTCCGTACAGCAGTTACTGCGCTCCAGTACTTTACGTACTGATGTGGAGGCCATGAAACAAAGAATCCTAAGGAAAAACGCCCTGGTACCAATGACATTAAACATGTCGTTGCTGGTGCGTATACTACGACAGCACCCGAAATTTTGCGATTTGCAATGTCAAAAAGTGTTTTTAATCGGTCGCGGATCATCAAAAAAAACTTATGGTGTCACAATCGTTTGTTTAAGCGACGCACAAGTGACCAGTCGCGTCACCTGCCACCAAATTTTCGAATAGTAAATTGCTATTCTAATAGTTGAATATTGGAATATATGTATGCCCAGCCCTACTCAGTAACCAGTAATTATTGACTCGATTAATGTTACGTGAATAAACTTTCTTTGTTTTATATAAATTCCAACGTAAATCGTAACTTGGTTGATAGGTAAGTTTCGCAAAAACGTTTGCGGTCCGCAGTGAATTTCTGGCTCGTTGCGGACTCATTCAAACGCTCCGCGGACTCATTTGAGACCGCGGACTCGGGTTGGGAAACACTGCCCTAGGGATTAAATGAAACACAAAGTACATGAAAAAGGTGGCATTTTTGAAGAAAAATAAAAGTTGCAAACTGCAATATTTCTGCATTTCTCAAAATTCTTAAGCACATTGTTTAATTTGTCACATTTCCATCAGTGCAATGGAGGAATACAATATAAGTAGACATTATCAGAAAAAGCTCCCAAGTCAATATGACAAATTTAAAGATTGACTTCAAACACAAAATTTTTATGTGTTTGTATATTATTATAAATATACAACTACCTAGTCACTAAAATTCAATATCAATCATAACTCAAGTGGTCCTATGCCGTGTAATGGTAGAATATGTGGCGGGAAACGTCAGTCATTTGTTTGTTTACTGATCTATACATGAAATGATAAACGTAATATTTTTGCATTACTGGAATTAATTGAACATTCTCAACGATCCAGATTAACCGATCATGTGACCTCGTTAATTAGAGTTGATACTGTAAAATCTTTTCAGCCTGATATTAGTAAGCTGGTGGCACAAAAGAGATGCCAAACGTCAGGACATCTGTAATGAAAAGCATTGAGTTTATTCTGTAGTAATTCGTGAATCTTAGGTCTATATATTAAGATTAAGTCTTTTTTATTGTATGTAATATTCTTTCCTTATTAAACATTTGTTCAAAAATGTTTTGGATAGTTGTGCATAAAAATTTATGATTTTTTTGTAATAAATACAGTAAATTGCAATAATATTGAAATGCAAAAGTAAACGGCATTTGAAATTCAAGCAAATATCAAAACTTCAGTCGGCTGTTTGATTGTATCACATCACAATGTACTGTTTGCGGCCCTTTGCACAATTCCCAAAATGCAATGTTGCCCTCGAAAACCCACCACCCCTGTTCTAGCCAATAGCGTCTTATTCGTTATTTCAGTCCTGAAATTTGAAATGAAATTGGTTCATTGATTGCGGAGATAAACAATTTTTCCACATTAACAGCAATACCAACAAGAAAACAGCAATTTTAGCAAATCGATCCATAGAATAATTTCGTGTTTGTTGATCTGTTGCTGTTAGCATCTATGTTGTGTGTTATGCTGGTGTAATGAAGAAGTCTAAGCGTATTCAGTTTAACCCTTATTCTAAATAGCTGGGATGTAGAACACATATACCCAAGACATTATTAACATGGTGGCAGCGGTTTCTGAAATTCGCTTACCGTCGACTCTTGATCTGCATGAAGAAAATTTATCAGAAACATTCAAGAAATTGAAGAGACAGATCGATATTTTCATGCTAGCCAGCAGTTCTACTAGCAAGTCAAAGGTAGAACAGAAGGCCATAATTTTATACTACGCAGGTGCTCAAATGATTAAAGCTGCAGAACACTTTGTGTACAGTGAGACTGAGGAAGAAAATGACCCGAAAGTCCTACTACAGAAAATTGCTGAACACTGTATTTTTCGGAAGGATGAGGTGATGGAGACATTTCGCTTTTTCGATATTCAGTACAAAGAAGATTTTGATACATTTCTCGTTGAACTTCGTAGTAAAGCCGATTACTGTAATTTTGAAAACAAAGAGCAAATGATAAGAGATAAAATAGAAGTGAGGATGGAGATCCGTGCATCATCAGAAAGCGAGCAACGAATTTTGTCGACTGAAAATAAACAATACGGAAATTTGCACCGAGCTCGGTACCACAAGAAGCAAATTACGGATGCAAACCAAGAATGCAAATTTTGTGGACGAAAACAGTAGTTCGGAATAACTTTTTGTTCTGCTTAGAGGAAAACATGTAACTCGTGCAAAGGTAGAATTCATTTCCGAGTGGAGTGTATAAATGCACGCCATGTACTACAGATGGAGAAACCTGACCAAAACAAATAAACGCTTGAAGAAGACTACCAGCGTGATCAATATATAAAGAACGTTAACTGTTCAAGAATCTCTGTCTGATGGAAATCAACAATTGTGATGTCAGATTTCAAATTGATAGTGCTGCAGATGTCAACACAATATGCGAGAAATATGTACGGAAAGACCAAATTAGACCAACTACTGACAATCTTGTAATGTGAAATAAAACGAAAATGAAACCCCTTGGTGAGGCAATTTTAAAAGTTAGAAATCCTCGAAATAATGAAGTCGCAGAGGTAAGATTCACTCTTGCCGAGAATAATTTCAATTTTTCTTGGGCTTAATGACCATGCAAGAAATGGGATTGATTACAATAAACAGAGGCAAATTTATTGCAAATGTTGACCTACCGCAAACTTGGGAATAGCAAAATTAAAAGTTGATTCTGATTTTCAACCTGGAGTTTTACCCTGTCTGTAGAAAAATCCCAAGAGCTCTTCAAGATATAGTAAGGTCGGAAATAGATTACCTGGTCAAAAGGAAATCGCAATACCGGTGGATGAACCTACCGATTGGGTTAGTCAAATGGCTGTTACTGAGAAACTTAACAAAAAGCTTCGAATATGTATTGACTCTCAA